TTTCCAGTTCGGACGAGTGGCTTGCGCTAAGACTCCTAAATCCTGCCAACGGGCGGGATGCTGCCGAGCCAATGGGATTTTTTGATCCCACAACCCACAGTTCTTCGTTCGATCAGCTTCTGGGTTGGCCCAGCTCCATCCCAAGGGGTTTTGTGGAACTTGGGTCATTCCGAAGTGCCAACCTTGAACTTGTTGGAAGCCTGAAATTTGAACTGCTGTAACTAATCCTGAGTTTAATGGGATGCAAGCATGATTTCACAGTTTTGTCTTTGCCACAACACCAAACTCTTAGCCCCAGATTTCTTGCAGCTCCAGGGCCAAATCATTGTGTGATTAGCGACTGTGCACGCGGCAAGTAAGATTGTCAAGGATCACATTGGCTGATAATAGGTCTCCCAGTCTCAGGTCTGCTGTGTTGCGCGAGGACTTGACAAATGACAGTCTCCGATGGCAGGCTGAAACCTCGCCGTTCAGGTGCGCCATACATGGCGTCCCCGCACTTTGCATACCAGGAAGGCTGCTGCCTCTAAAACAACTTGCTGTTCGGCTCGAGTAAGCTTCGCTTTCCGTTGACAGCTCTAAGCTGCCGAGCTCCATCGTTGGATGGGAGGATGGTGAGCACGTAATGTACGGCTCACCTACAATACACAGTACGTACCAGTACAGGTATGGAGCGGCGATTGTCCTCTGCAACACGGCACATGCGATGTGGTGGGCCCCTATGCCACCCACCCTGGATGGCACATGGTCAACCAAGATTCGCCAACGACGGGTTTGCACTGGTGCCCTTGCTCGCAGAAACATCCGCTTTTGGGTTCCGTGGTTGAGTGAAAAGTGGTCTTCGGCAGCAGCAGGAACGCCGTTGGCCTATCTACATCAGAAACAGCAGTTTTCCCCCATTGGATCCGTTAACAACACGACGGGCCAAGATCGATCCGCCATCTGGAGAGCTGCGATGCCCAGGTCCGCATTCTGTTGTGACTTGCCAGTGGATTGAGATGCTAAACCTCTAGTCAGTGAAGATGGATCTTGCCGACAGCACAAACGCTGTGAGAAATTACCAAGGGATATCGCATTAGACGCCATCATGAGCCAATCTCGGATCTCTTCTTTTTCCGTGTCGCAGTTGACAGTCAACACGGAGGCAACGGACGGTCGCCGGCTGCGAGCCGCACACCAAGCATCTCTGCCAATGCTGCAGTACTGCTCCTGCTGGGGCCGCTGCGGTGTGCTGACTGCTCAGCGCTGCCCAGAAAGCTCCCCCTCCCCCGCTTTTGCAGTATGTGGGGAGGGGAGCCACCCGTTTGACAGGGGCGGGCTGCATCTTTAGAGCCTAACCCCCAATCCCTGGCTTCGACCAGGGTCTCAGACACGGCGTGTCCGTCGCTTTGACCTCTTCTCTCACCTTTTGAAGGTTCGACAAAGGCTCGAAGACGCCGACCATGGACATGAGGTGGCTAGGAACTGTTTTTGTTGCTGCACCCCGTCACAAGTCCCCTCAAGCTACGGATTAACCCGGTATTCTGTAGGTATTCGAGGTTGACGTTGAGTGTGTTGATGACAGATGATTCCATCATCAAGCCACTATATCGACCTGCCAAGCAGCGCCCTTGAAGCCTTGCCTCCTCAGCTCCATGCATACCCTACCGGAGGCGGACTACACTAGATAGATCTGCCCTCGACACATCTCGGCGCATATTCTCCGATCCTCTTCAGAAACGACTTCTCACCACATCGTTATCCACATGCCTACCTCTCTTAGGTTTTAACAAGTTCTTTGTAGGATCGCAGAGGATTGACGACGCAGGCCAGCCTGCGCCGCAGAAACCTCCTTGGGATTTCATATGTCTACTGTGTAGCAACAACTTTTACTCGACGGCAGTGACATATGAAAAACACCATACGCTCCACCGTCGCTGAAGCCGCCGCGGCTACGATTCCTGCGTATCTAGTGGAGCTACCCTGCTCTGTTCCTGAAGAGTGTATATGCCACGCGCCAATGCCAGGCGTTCTGCAAACGCTTTGACGGCCCCTCTGAGGAGTCTCTTCCAAAGAAAATCTTGAGGCCTTCTAGAAGGCTAGGCAAACCCACCACCCCAAGCCTTTCCGAGCCCCCTGGTATCAAGCTAGCTGAAAACTCCGATCGAACCACGTCTTGCATTACCAGCCTCTCAGCATGACATGTTGATCCTATCTTTGGCCAATGGAGTCTATGCTTAATACTCGGCAATGATAGCGAAGTTGATGCAGCATCAAGCGCATTGTTGAAAGCTCTCGAGACAAGAGATAGTGGCTGTAAGCCAGATGTACTTCTTTTTGGGCTGTGTTCCTTCCGCCCACCACACTAGCGCAGAGGGAATGCACAACGCTCCGAGCCCGGCAGGGCTAACGCTTGAGGGGTGGGGAGAGAGGAAAGCTGGGGGAGCGTCGCTCACCGGCGAGGCCGGTGCCGTTACACCACATAAGAAGTTCGGGTTGGGTTGGATGAGAGAACGGCAAGAAACAAGATGACTGGCGAGTGCCTTCGAGGTTGTGGTTCAAGACGAGATGCAGAATCCCAAGTCACCGTGCTGGATCAGGTTTTAGAGGCAGCTCCGTGATCCATGCGATGCATGCAGCGCACAGACGACTCGAGGCTTGGAAGGAAACAGTCGGACGCCGTACCGCTCTCAATGCCGGAAGTTGGAACAGGGCGTTTGAGAAAAGTACTGTCACCTGGGGTGGATTGACCGCTTCCACTGGCTGGCAGAGCAGCGGGGGTTCACACTTCGAAGGTGGGGGATGGAATCCAAAATCGATAATAGAGGTGACAGAAGCAAAGACAGCACAGCACAGCGTCCAGGTCATCGCTTTGTTGGGGTTGGTCGCAGCCAGGCCTGCCTCCTGGGCCGTATTCACCTGTCCTACCTGCGATGACGCTGGCAATAAACCAAAAGACGAATCAGCTCAAGTCGTGCAACATCTTCTCAATCCCAGAGATTTGACGACGCTCTTGTTCCCGGCATAAAGATAGGCAAGACATTATCAATACTTTGCGCTACACTACACACTATACTGCACGCGCTCCCAATCTCAATGCGCGGGGCTAGACTTTTCGAGGGGGCACGGTGTTGAGTACCTCACTAGGCCCCCAATCTCCCCGGCCAGAAGCTCTTTTAGCGTGCTATTCCTAGTTGATGCGTTGGACGGCGGGCGCTAGGCACTGAGGTGGCGCCCTTGGCAGGTGGCGCTGAGGTGGTGTTCCGGCACATTTATCCAGAATGGACCTGTCGTCTTGGCCCGTACCGGGTACCTGCCGTTCACGACGGGGACAAGCACCATGCTTCCAGGACGGGCTCTCGACAGAGGTGAGCGATCCCGTTTGGAATGGGGCAGTATTCCGTCAGTCACCTCATCAAGACAAGCCAGTTGGTTCTTTATGGCAGGTAGGACTGGCAACCATGCGAAATCGGCCAAGAAAAGAAAAAAAGAGACAACTTCGCGAAACGCAACACATAATTCGCTGCGGAGAACGTCATTCGGGAAACGAGATTGGGGGTCTACAAACGCCTCTCTGAATTCTGAAAAAAAAAAAAAAAACTCCACTCGTCATTGAAGGGTTCTTGTCACTGGACTGTAGTGCCAGCAGTCTATCGACCGCCGTGTTCCGCGAGCACACTCCCGGCTTCAAGTCCCCCCTGTTGCCCTGTCAGATTCGCGGCTGCGCTGTCGTGCCCTGCAGCTCCGTCCCCTGCATGCAGTCTTTTAGCGATGAAAAGAACAAGCTGCCCACTGTTAGCAGCTGTTGTGCCGTCTGGGGTCACAGGGTAGGGCAACTTAGCAAATCGAGGCCTAGCTCTCAACCCTGTCCATCCTACCGTGCCCGCGCACCACCGAGTCACCCCCTGGTCTCCAGTAGACGATGCCCAGGTCATGCCTTGCGACACTAGAGCATCCTGGGGAGCCCCGCTGTTGGAGAAACTGGCCCCTCCCCAGGCATCGGTTCTCTCTCTTGTCAATCATATCATCGTCCCTGTCGCTCTGTTATTGATGCCCCTCCTCCGCTCGGGACTAAGCTACCTTACGTACTTAAGGTACATTTCATACATACAGCGACCCTGCCTAGGTGCCATTGTGGAGTCCCCGTCAATCTCCTTGTCAAGGATTCTCCTCCAAGCCTTTGCTTGCTTTCTTGGTTATATTTCGTCTGTTGCCCTATCTCTCACTTTCCCATCTAGCCCCAACTCATCCCCATTGTGTAACCAGTTCCAGAGGATCAACCCCCCGTTTCTCTCTGCCGGACCGTCCCCTGTTCCCCGGCTGAGATTTACTTACACACCTCCGAGTTGACAGCGTTTGTGTGTGAGTGAGCCTGAGAGGTTACATAGACACGCGACTCCCATCTGCTGCAGACACGGCGTTACATCTCTGGCTTGCCCTGACTTGCAGCTCGCGGCTTTCAAGTGAGCCCGTGGCAAGGACCTGCCTTGTTCGGTGCTCATTCACTCCGGTTGACTGACTTCGCCGCTTATATTACGTGTGTAGGCACTCAAGAGTGCTTCTACCCCTCCCAGAGGGCCGACCGTTGATAAACCCTTCCTCTCCTACACTCTAGGTAGAGAGCGAAGGCGAGGTCTATATCGAGCTCGACAGCAATCAACATCTTCGACTTCCCGACTTAACTACAGCCACCAACCACACGACGTCTCCAACGCCAGTCTCGATAACGCACCCTTGGTTGGAGACCAGCAATCAGGAGAACCATTAGACAGAAGTCATTGACGATAGCAGAGAAAGAGTTTGAGAGTGTCTGGGAAGGGACAACAGAGGGATAGAAGAGTCGGGTTTTGTTGATACTTTAGTCACCTGTTCCCCTGTTCCCGGCAAACCTGCGTTGTCTTCTCGGCCGGATTGGCCTTCGATAACTCGTCTCCCTGACAGCCGCCGTCAAGTGTCCAATGCGCCATTAATCTTCTTCGGTTGGTTTCTCTTGAAATTTCGAGGTTCAGAAGTTAGTCGAAATGATGCTTTCATCACTATCACCAAACGATTACGAGCTCCGAGTGCGGCAGCAACCTAAGTATGCCTGCGTTGCGATAGGAAAAAGGGAAAGGTACTGTTCCAAACTTCGCCAGCAGCTGCTCTTATGGACTCTGCTGACCGCAGGGCACAGAGCGCAAACCGATCGATCCGCCGCCCATTGTTCGGCTTCTCGTCAATCCGAGAAAAGACCCAAACAGGACTTTTCTGCAAAACCCCTACCTGATCCTGACCGCCAGGCTAATCCCCAAGGGTGACGATGAGCCAGACAGTGGGGGAGGGCCGAAGGAGAGCGATTTGACAGGAACACTGGTCTCGTCCCTCTATAGTCTCAAGGATACCGACAACACCCAAGGCGGCTTCTTTGTCTTTGGCGATCTCTCTGTTAGGAGAGTGGGAACATACCGACTGCTCTTTATGCTCTATGAGCTAAGGTTGGCCGACAAAGAGTGCTGGTTGTTGTCACGCACAGTTTCCGATCCATTCATCGTCTACGCAACCAAGAGCTTCCCCGGGCTGGCCGAGTCAACGTTTTTGACGCGCTCATTCAGCGATCAGGGCGTCCGCTTGCGCCTGCGTAAGGACTCGCGCAGCGTCTCAAGCAAGAAACGGAGCTTGGGAATGGCAACGCAAGATCAGATGCGGCCGCCCCAGGGCAGCTATGGCTACCTCCCTCATGACACTAGCCATGACTTGAGCAGCCCGAATGGAAGCACACACCACCTCCGCCAGCTCGACAGGACCAGGAGCGCGATTGGGTCCCAGAGCGGTTACTATGGTGACTCGCCGCAGATGCGGCCAGGAGAGTACGGGTCTGGCTCTTATGGCTACAGCAGTTACGACGACAAGCCGACGAAGCGCGCCCGCCTGGATGGTGCCCCCGATGACAGCCCACACGGCTATGAGAGCGACTATCATCCGTATGCTCAAGCTGGTCCACGCACAGTTCCTGACCCGCTCACCTCGATCTACCCCATGTCCACCAGCTATCCAGTCCCTGCGCAACCTGCTCTGGCTGGTCTGCCGATGCCGAGTCCGTATGGCTCTATTCCACGTCTCGACACGCAGCACCTTCCTCCTCACTCACCAGCCGCGCCCACTTCGGCTACATCGACCTTCTCTCCTGAACCCCGGAGATCCCCGGTCACATCATATCCCTATGGCACACAACATACTCCGACAGCGCCGCCGCCGCCTGCAATGTTTGCCGCTCCTACCGCGCCTACCAGCCTGCCGTATCATGCGGCAAACCCGGCACCGCTTCCCCATCCGAATGGTTTGGGAATTGCTCTGCCAGGGATGGGTCTAGAAGCCGTAAAGGATTAGAATCATGGTCGGCTTTGTTAGGTTAAGTTCTTGTGCGACTTCACTTCGTGGGACGACATTATTCTTCACTTCTTCGTTTCCTTTGTCATTTTGTTGTTTTGGGATTGGATATTTGCATTTTGGGTATTGGGAGGGGAAAGGTTGATCATAAATAGGATATCTCACGAGTATACCAGACTCTCATGTGCTTTGGGGGAGGGCATATGATACCCCTGACTGTCGTTACCGGTATTGATAATCTATTGTCTATTATCCATTATTTATTTCTGGGGCCTCCAGGATATAGCATGGGAGTGGTTTGGGCCGTTTTGTTTCCCTGAAATACCCAGGATCTCATTCCAGTACTTTTGTTCGTTTTGCTTTTATGCTTCCGGACGCAGATACCCATCTCCGGCTATGGAAGACGAAGACGATGGCATAGAGATCTAGACTGACTCCAAATCGAGAGGAACTGGAGTGGGTTAGCTTGGGCTCGTTTTTTTTTGTGTTCAATCTTGGTTTCTTTGTTTTGATGCGATACCTTATCCTTCTTGGAGTTTGTTGCTCCTCTCATCGGCCCCTGCATTCCCAGCTATTCTTGTTGTGGCTCGTTGCCACGTCTGATTTGGCCTGGCTTGCGCTCAGCTGAAGATACTCAAGTTCTACAAACAAGGCGCATCTATGTTTTTTCTGATTGACGACTCTGCGCCGTTTCAAGCTAGGGTTTGAATTGGGCAAAGATCAGTCTAGGTTTTTTGAGTGATGTTGGTCATCTGTTGGATATTGGCAGTTTGACTGAATTTAAATAAGGTTACGCTACTCCTGACTTGTGCCCCCATGTTTTCATTCATTAATACATCTTGTGAGAAGTGAGAAATCATTTTGTGAACAATGGTGTGGTGAGTGCCATCAAATCTCTTCTCGGGTGTGTAAATCCTAGATCTGGCGTGGAGCTTGCAACACAATAGTGTAAGATGATTGGCTGGTGGCTGTCTGCGGATGCTTTTGGGGGCCACATCTCACATTACTTAGGTCGTGTACAAGAAGTCCAGTGCTTGGAAATGTTAAAAGTTTGCGACCTTAGTGAAGAGGCAATATGTGAAGAAATAGATAGCATTGGACATTGACCAGCTTGAGTGTTAAGCATGGTCGGAAGTGGCAGCAGGTCCTCCGGATAGCACTTTACCTCGGAGCCATTTAATTACATCTTCCACTGCTCACAGAGGGATTATATTATGGCTCCGATGACAGAATATAAAAAGAGCAAGTCATTAGATAGAGTTCTAGATCTCTCGAAGATGCCAGAGACAAGACTTGACTAAACATACTGAGTTCGCATGTGAGCCCTTGCGCAGAATTTTCCTGGAAAACACATTCTGAAACATAAAGGTGCCAAGTGTGCTAACAAACATCTTCACTCATCAATTTGGCATCCGGTTCGAAGAGGAGAACAATGAAAGACGTCCGTGTTGGCAACAACATACGTTAGGAAAGGGTATGTGACCTCAGATTGCCTTATCAACCATTGCATCATCGAACTCCTTCTAGTCCCTCAAAGCAGTTGCTCGATCATTATCGGCCATCAATAACGAAAAATCTCTCGCTTCATGATGCAGTAGGTTGACAACTTTTGCCATCAACAATATCGGGCAGGTAGGTAACATTAATATCACGTTCTTCATACAGTGGGCCGCCTAAAGATGGTGATCGGATAGATGCCTGCAATGGCCTGGCCACACACGCAGATCGCAACCCAACCTGCTCCTTTCCCTACCATCTTCATGCCAAGTCCTGCTTGCCTGGAAATCCTTAGCGCTTACCCCAGGCTAGAGTGGTCCAGCAATGTGTTCAACTCCTACCTGGAACAAAACCCCTTTTCTTTGTCCAAAAAAAAAACTCACCGCCCACAGTGAAGAAAAAAAAGCTAAAGAGTTTGGTTTAAAGGTCGCAAGCTGGGTCGAACCCGTCCACTCGCAACCCCCATAAGGAGGCTGACAGGTCCCCATACCACGCAGGGGCTCCCCAGCTGCCTATGTTGGTGTTGAGTCGCAACACCGAGCCGCTATCCCACACAAGCGGTATTAGGGAAGCTCCTAGGTTGTTCCTCGTTTTCCTTTCCCCAGCAATGCGACAGCTGCTGATGATACAACTTACACTAGCACTCAAAAATAACAAAATTGGTATGACACATTGCAAAACACAAATGGAACAAGATTGCCAGCAAAAAGCCTTCAATTCTCTATTTCTCTACCCGAACCGATGGAGCCAAACACCTGCGGGCGAAATCTACCCCGAAAACAAATATGGTTAAGATACGAAATCAAACAGAAGAGCCATACAACATACACAATCAGAATCGAAAAGAAGCCTTTTTGGTTTCACCAACAAATCCCTCCAGGGATGGATGGCGTCAACAGGCAAATGAGCTAAGAATCGAAGCCGATTACCACCTCTTCTTCCCCGCCTGCTTAGTGGGCAGCAAGGTCACGAGCATGGCGACGAGCGCGCTTGAGGTTGTCCAGACCAGGGCAGCGGGTCGGGCGCGGGGGCTGGCCGACGCGGGAGGTCGGGGTCTGGGTGGGGGCAGCAGTGGGCTGAGGAGCGATGGTGCTCGTGCGGAGGGTGGTAGTCGGAATGGGGTTGGCATTAGCAGAGGTAGTGGTGGTGGCAGCGGCGGTTGAGGTTGGGGCGGCGGGAGCAGCGGTGGCGGTGCCGGTGATAGCGGTGGTGCTGCCGATGATGGCCGAAGTGCGCTGGGTGACGGGCTTGGCGCCGGGCATCAGAGCAGGGCCAGGGATGGTGTAGCTCGAGAGCGGCTGGTAGATGTTGATCAAGATGCCGGGGTCGGTGGGCTTGTACAGCTCAGTACCCTTGACTCCTGAGGGGAGGTCGCTGCCGCCGCCAGTGACCTCGAGGTTGATGCAGACGGGGTAGTTCTGGGCGCCGTTTGTCTGGCCAGCGCTGTGCAGGGCGATAATTTCGTGGCGGAGGACGTAGAAGCCTGGCTTGATGTTCTCGGGGATGGTGACCAGCCACGAATTGTTCTGGGCGATAAGCTGATCGGCAGCCCACTTGCCGGGAGCCTGGGAGCCGTCAATCAGACCGGCCTCGGCAATCTTGAAGAACTCGAGCTGGGCCTTGTCGACCGTCTCGCAGCCGGCGCTGCCGCAGCTAGCGAGGTAGTCGATGACCGGGCCGTGGTGCGACTCGGGCCAGGTGTCCCACTGGATGTAGACAGAGTCACCGGCCTTGATGACCGCGTGACCCTTGGCGTTCGTGGCCGATTTGTGGCAGATGATATCGGGGTTCGAGTAGTCCTCGGGGCCCACGAAGCCGTTGTCAGTGTTAGCGGACGTCCAGCCGGCGACAATGGGAGGATTTTGCATGTAGGGAAAGACGGTCGGGTCGTAGGCCTGATACGACAGACCGTTGATGACGAAATTCTTGACGTGGCCGTGGGCAGCGACGCTGGCGGCGCCGGCGAGGGCAGAGATGAGAGTCTTCGAAACGAATGAAGGCATCTTGATAGGCAGTGAAAGTCGAACTCTTTTGAAAGGAAAAGCTTTCAAGTTGTGGCTGTTTGTTGTGACAAAGGTTGCAACAAAAGCTCAGCTGTGGTTACCGGCTAGCGGAACGAATGCAATAATGGGTTCAAAGAGAATGGAAAGAGCCTTCACTCTGTGAAGCGAACGTAGCTGTAAGAGAAACAAAGGAGTGTGAAGAATGTTATTGTATGGCCTTGCTGGTAGGTCGACTTGCGCCTGGTGAGAAGGAAAGGGAGCAGTGGTCAAAAGGGATCTGTAGATGTCTTATATCTTCGAAAACTCTGATGATTTCCCACTTCACACCTTGATGGGAGCATCTCCTTTTCCATTCTCCCCCCTAGCCGTGTAGGCTCAACGTTGGATGGCGGTCGGCCAACTGCAAAGTGTTTCATGGCAAATTACATGGCCAACTGAGGTGGATCTGGGATTCCAGAACCTAGGTTGTGGTGCATGGGTGACGGCGGCAATTGGATGCAGAGACGCACATTTCGAAAGAGATACAAAGTGGTGGCTGCATGACAGGGTAGTCGTTGGGCGGGGCAGGTAAACAGATTGACGCCAGCAAGGGAGCATCCCGGACGATCTTTGGTGGAGCAGGACAGGGAAAGCGAACGCAATGCGGGACGGGCAAGACTAGACAGAAACAGCCATGTCGCCCGCGATGTCAGGCACAGGAAGACGCTAGGCAGCATGGCCTCGATGGTTCGGATAAGATGCCAAGGGGAATCCCATTAGCACGGGAGAGCGAAGGACTGCAACGTGAGACATGGACATGCTGGAAATCTGGATGTTGGACGCTGTGCATAGGGCCAAGCACTGTGTTGGGCGGGCAAAAAAACCGACAGTACAATCGGCGAGAAGCCGGCACCGTCATCTGATGTTGACGATATCATGGGCAAAAGCTGAATAGCATGAAACACGGCCAAGCTGGCGATGGGCCGGAAAAGCGGGGGATGCTGCCGGTGGTGTTCTGGTGCGGCTGCTTGGAGTTGTAACGGTCTGTGCTGTGGCGCCGTCCTCAGGGGTCAACTTATGCAAGGGGCAGATCCTGGGCTCGCTTGTGTCGGGCGCCCGGCCCCACAGCGAACCCCCAAATTTCGAGCCAGCCAGCACATCTGCGCTTCGTTGCAGTTCTGCGCGTCCTAGCACTCGGCGCGTTCCGGCAAGCGCTGGGCCAGCCCGGCCGGCCTAGCCTTGTGCGAGCGTGGCGGCAAGGATGCCCTCGACGATATGGGCAGTTCGAACCGGTCGAGATATCTGGAAGCGGTCATGACGCCGCAAGAGCTTCGTCAGCATTCGGCACAACGGCCCGTCAACATGATTTCTGACCAGGCTCCAGACTCTTCTCGATTATGAGAGAATGGCGGTGAAAGCTGCTCGACAACCGTCAAAGTCATTATCTGCAAAAATTCGCGAATCTCGCAAAGAAAGCGACTGATGAAAGTTCTGCAAGATAGGTCTCGAAGAGCAGGCGCCGTGATGAAGGATCTGCCGTTAGTATCCGGGCCCGGCAGACGACGGCGACGGTGGGTCACAGGGCTCGGAAGATTCACTCGGTACCAGGCTGCGAGCGTCGTGGTATCGTGGTGGCTTATGCCGTGCACCCAACTACCGTGGGTACAACCTCTTATGTGTTCCAGATAGATGGGCGTCTTCACCACGTCACAATATCTCTGTGCATAGTACGCCGAGCTTCCCCACGGCCAACCAGTGCAAGTGCGAAGACAGTGCTGGCGACGACCTTATGCTGATCAATGCTTGTACGCGCAGTGTCAGCCCGTCAGCCGACAATAGCATGTAAGAATAAGCCTGTATGGCTGCCGAGTGAGGCTGTGATATGGCATGATCGCGGGTTTCGTGCGCAGAGTTATAGGCTTGTGGTGGCCATGCACTCATGCTTACTGCCTATAACCTTTGAAATATGCGGTGTTTTACTAAGTCACCTGCTAGCAACGTGTTATTCTGGATGCAGGCACTCGAGAGAGCTGGTAGCGGAGTGACACAAGCGGAACTCGAGGTGTCGGAGACTTGGTGATAAGTCATGTGGAGTTATCGCAGGTACAACCAGAGCTCTTGTGGAGGTTGCCTTCTTATCGATAAGCCGGAGTTTTGGCCGAGCTCACACCTCCACTCAACGCCAAAAATCTGGGGCCAGGGACTCGGGTCAAGACAAGCCATACCGAGATCAAGTGAGTTCTCTGTGGGGCTGAATGTGTCTGGCCAACACATCACTTGGCGAGATGCCAGTCATCCGAACTCTAGACTCTCAACGTCCGACCCCACTTCTGCGAACTTTGACCTGACCTCACCTGCAATCTCCTGTCTTGAAGCTATCGCGAACTTGCCAGCCAAACTTGTCGCTGCCATCGCGAATGCAGCTGTTTGACACTTTTTTTTTTACACCACAAATCTAGGCACGGCATCTTGTTGCGCCGTGCTGTTCCGTTTATCATATCGATTTGCAGAGTGTCGTGGAATACGCCGAAAAGCAGCGCCCGACGTGTCAACCTATTTCATTTGCGGTGAATCATCTGCTCCCATTTTGCTAGCCTGCAGCGTGCATTTCCTGCTTTCTGCATCATACAAAAAGGTAAACTGGAAAAAGGCATCTATAATTTTCTCATCGGATCTTGTGGAGAGGGTTTCAAACCGATAACGGCCAAATATTTGCTACGCCATCCAAGCCTGCAAACCTGGATTCAACGCCTAGCACTGGAGAGTTGAATCGAAATCCAGACCAGGAGGAGTCTTCGCGACATTCAGCCTGACTTTGTGGTTTGGACTCGGATCTTGATCCGTCCGGCAATTTGTCCTATTTCGCTTTCCAGATAGGTGTCTCCGGCAGGCCTGCAACTGCCCATCGCTACGACCGACTTGAATATTATATCGGTCTTCTCAAAAAAATACACCCGCTTTTCTCGTCGCCAGCTATCTTGGATCACTAATTGTTTCCCCTACAGTCGCCTGCATAGGTACTTTCTTTCGCCATGTCGAGCACACAGCAAGCCACTAAGATGTGCCTGGATGCGCGCGCCGCGGAGCTCAAGGAGAAGCTTCTGCGGAGCCGCAGCCAGAACCGAGCCAGCCAGGCATCTCCCGCGCCGTCTAGCATAGCACAGGCCAGCTCGAAGCCAGCCTCGCTCACCCCATCGAGAACCTCGAGCACGAACTCGCTGGTCAGCTCTACCTCGGAGCGAACTGATGCTCGTCAGATGTCTGCCCAGCCCTCATTTCAGGCCGATGCTAACGACATCGCTGCTTTGATCTCGTCCATCTCCTCGGCGTCTCGTGAAGAGGATGTAGATGGCTTGAGCATTGACATTGGCAAACACAGTGCCTTACAAAATACACACACTCAGAAGTCGTCGTCTGCTAACGGACAGCCTTCCTTGCCATCAACTCCTGCCAAGTTAAGCTTCTCAATACCACCTAAACCTTCTGTTCTTGCCAAGGATAGGAAAATCCAGCAATCCCTACGACAGGCAGAACTTGAGAGTACACCCTATACGGGACAGGCTATTGCGAACTGTAGTTCGGATTTAGCTGCACTCCAGAAAAATAGTAGAATGCTATCGAACTCGGATAACAGCGGCGGGCATGCCTCAAAGAATAGCGACTCCGCCGTGACTGTCTACAAGACTGAAGAAGAAACTGCCTGCGCGGCCATGTTAGGCGGCCGCTGGGAGTCTCCCCAGGAAGATCCCCACATAACCCATGCAAATATAACTGACATCGATACAATCAAGGTTTCAGCCATAGCGGCAGCTGTCAGCGACATAGAAAGTGGCGCCGAATCTGCCAACAATTCAACAGGAATCGCAAACTACAGTAACCTTATACAATCTGCTCGCAGTGCCACTATTATAGCGCAAGAGACTGGGCATCTACAGCCCGACAGTGCCTTCACCCAGCTGCTGGCTATTAATCCCGATGTTAAAGATTGGCTTGAACTCACCGGTTATTATGATATCGATATGCGCAGGCGTAAGCTAGAACGGTTTAGGAAAATCAAGACTTTGGCCGCCGAAAAGATGAGGATCGAGGAAGAAGAGCGCAGGCTGCTGCAGGAAGAAGAGCTCGAGATGACGGCCCATCGTCCCACTGTTACTAGAATTGTCAGCACTGTCCATGGCGTTCCCGGACTGAGTACGGAAAACCCCGTTGCTGGCTTTCCAACCCCAATTACGCCCGGTGTGCCAGCCGAGCCAAAGGAGACTCTTGCAATGCCCCCTCCCTCATTCACCCCTGCCAAAAGAGCGCTCGAAGACCGTAGGGAGGAGACCCGCAAGGATAAAGTAGCCCGTGTTGCCAATGACACCACTCCCTCGGAGAGCACTACTATCGTCCACGAGAACAAGGACAACGAAGTTTCTGACCGTCGCCGGGACTCCCATTCTATGAAAGTTGAACCACGGGACTCATCGCCGCATCGTCGGCCACGTTCTGTGACCCCTCATCGCGATTACTACCGCAGTGGTTCTTCACGAGCGCGCGAGTCTTCGCGGCCCCGAGCACATTCGCGTGCCCGAGACTACTCTCCTCGCCGTTCAGCCCGTCAAAGCTCCCGCTATCGTACAGAGCATGGCGACTATGACCGCAGCCGCGATCACCCGCGGCGATATGACCGCTACGACCCCAGCTATCAACAGGTGCAGACATATCCGATCCGCGTAGACCTTGGTCGCAAGGGTGGTCAGTATCTCCCCCGATGCTTTTGTTTGGCTGACGTTTCCCGCTCGCCTTCTAATGTGCACGACGGTGTATGGGTTGCTCGTTCGCTGATTACATCCCAGATACCCGTTTCTTTATTGTGAAGTCTTTCAACGAGGAGAATGTCCGGAGATGCATGGAAGATGTATGTGTCCCCCAAGAATATACGCGAGGTTTTGCTCTGACCTTCCTATGCAGGGTATCTGGACTACACAAGTTCAGAATGGCGAGATCTTGTCGGACGCCTTTTCTAAGTGCAAAAACGTGATCTTGTTCTTCTCCATTAACAAAAGCCGGGCATTCCAGGGATATGTACGCTGCTCTCTGTCCTTGCTTCACCAAGCACTCTCTCATTGACACTGTCGCAGGCCCGCATGGCATCGGCGCCGTCGCCAGATACGCCCCGTCCGAAGTGGATGAGCGGCCTGCACTGGGATTCAACCCATCCGTTCCGGGTACAGTGGCTGAGCAAGACGCCCGTGGAGTTCTGGCGCATCGGGAATATCAAGAATCCATACAACGAAAACCTACCTGTCTTGGTCGGCAAGGACGGCCAGGAACTTGAGGAGGAATGCGGTAGAAGCCTGCTCCGTGAAATGGAAGCCGTGGCAGTTAGTCGGGGCGATCCATCTCTGCATCACCATGAGAGCACCAATTACGGGCACTATGGAAGTTACGGAAGCTATGGCAGCCACAGTCACAGTCACAGTCACAGAGGTTGGTACAGCAACAGCAGCAGCAGCCGACGGCACATTAAGAGAGAGCTATCGCTGGACCGGAGGTGAAGGCTGCGCTTTGAGAGGAATTACTCGTATCACTGTCTTACATTCACTAGCTATACATATCCTTTTCGTTGCACATGTTACGTATCATACTCAGCGGTGCTTTCTTTCGATCCTCATACGGTTGTTTTATTATAGTTACCAGTCCTCTCGCATCCCTTTGGGAAGTCAGAATGGACTGTGCTCGTTGGTCGCTGAGAGCGTATCGTCTCTGAGAGCGCTTACTGATCTGGAAGTATTACAAAATTAAAATGGAAATCGATTATCCTGACGTCTTTTGGGGATAAGCTTAGACCTGATTTTCTAGGTTGCTGAAGAGACTCGATGAAGTGTCTAAACAGTGACTTGGATATCCAAACAAGACTTATCTGGCACCTGCAAACCCATAATACTCACACCTCTCTTTTTTGGTCATGCAGATTCATTTCTGCATAACCAGGGGTTTGTTTTATTTTGCAGGGTTGCTGGGGAAACCGACCAACTTGAGATGAAATGGTTTGAAGGCAGTTGTGTCCCCTACCTAGCCCCTGAACTTGGTATGGTGACTCGTTGCCTTCCTATGAAGTAATAATCATAGAAAAATACGGTGAGCTTTTACTAGTCCTCCCATTATATGTTGCCCTGATCCATCACCCGTCAATTTCGTCTGAAGCCCAAATTCACACCAACGCGAACATCCCCCATTTACACTTGCACTTAATCTTGCAGGAAAATAATAATTTTCTGATTTTCTCTGGTTGCTATGGAAAACTGGCTGATTCGAAACCGGAATCAGTCAAAAACAATCAGGAATCGACATACAAAGAGTCCATTCTTCGGCCGTCCTGGAATCAACTTCTTTCCCAAACTAAACTCAAACCAGCGACATCAACACTTCAAAGAAAATAAAAATTCAAAGCTTCAACCTTGCCAACATGTTCTGGATTGAGAACAACTCGTTCAAAAAGTTCAAGGCTCCTGCCGATGAGGAGTCTCGCAAGAACGCTCCTGCTGCCTGCCCCGAGAGCGGGCTCCCCGATCCGATCATGGGGCCCGCTTCCGAGCTCATGGAGTACCCTGCTGGCCGGAGGCTCCTTGCCGGCCGTCATATTCCGCCCCCTACCCCGCCGACCACGCCCATCAACTCGGCAGGCTCTCCCTGCAGCACCGTGCTCACGGTCCTTGAGCCGGTACCCATCAGCGAGCCGGACCTTGAGCGCGGCGCTACCGTCGACCTGGACGGCGTTGTCCCTGGTGACCGGTTCGCTGTGGACGCTCGCCTGGTCCGGGTCCAGCGCCCGACCTCTCGAGTCACGGGACGCCACGGACGTTACCTCGCCGTTGGCGTCCTGGGTGCCCTGGTCATTTCTGCCGTCATCAACTTTGGCGTCAGTTACGGTAAATCTCATCTTTTCTTTCCCCACAGTAACGTACTAATCAGGGCCTCCTCCCTACAGTTCAGTACGCGCAACAGGCGCCTAGCGCCGTGAGCCCTGATCTCTTCCGCCCGCCGATGTCCCTTGTGGCTGACGCGGGCTTCACCGCGGCCGCCCAGAGCGTCCTCACCTGGGTGATCACCTTGCCCCTCGTCAACCGGGACATCCTCGGGGGTAGGGTCGCTCCGCTACGACTGCGATTCTGGGGACGACAACCCCAGGGTCAATTCCGACGATGGTTCCTCATGCTCGATCACTACAACGCCCACCAGGGTAGTTGGTGGTGCGCCTGCCAGCAGGCCACGGGCTGTGGGACAAGACTCAGCTTTTTCCTTGGCCAGATTGTGCGCGGCCTGCTCATTGGTGTGCTGGGCTACAGCATCCTTATCGGCCCAGGCATCGCCACCTTGATGGCGATCGGCACCCCGGTCGGGAATGACTATGTCTTCCCCAACCGATGGGCTGTCATTATTTTCAAAACTGTTTGGGCCGCGCTGCTAGCACTCATAACAGTGCCACCCCTGGTGGTCATGGTGTTGGTCCGCGCCGGCTGGTGCGTTATGGACTAACCATTGTGTACAATGGGTGTACAGGTTTTTCATCCGCCGCAACAGCGGTACGGTTTTCCTGCACATCGCAAGAGGAGGAGCACCCAGAAAGGGCCACAGTGTGTGGCTAGTAATAATAATAGTGATAATAATAATTTATTTGACTTATTGCATCAGTTGACATAGCTCTCACATAGTCCATTTCGTGTATGTCTTATGTTTCCTGCCAATCGTTATCACATGCTTCACCAATACTTGGTTCATCCCATCCAAGTCATGCAGGAGGAAGAAACGATGCAAACAAAACCCCCTGTATTGACGCATACATGATCATAAAAACAATAATAACATGGCCTAGGCTTTTCTTATTTGACAGTTGCTCGGCAACCCACCAGTACCACAATGGGTACCCAGATGAAATGCGTGTGATGATCTGAACATGATAGTTCGTCACGGCCAGAACAGCCAGCATCGCCTGAGCAGCGGCTGTCGACTGGATTAGCCGCAACAAGCGGGCTGACTCGGCGGGTTTGCTGGAGACGAAGGTTTGGGGTTGGGTGAGGTAGTTGGTGGCCGACCGGAGCATAATCGTGATCATAGGAGCGGCGAGAAGGAATAACGGGAGATTTGGGAGTCGCCAGTACTGGAGAAAGCCAACACCCCTGGCCTAAGGTTAGCACATGAGATAAATCTCTGAGCCTCACTGCCACGTACCAGTAATACTTCTGTACAAATGCGTATATGCTCGGCAAATACGCCTTACACCACGGCCTCACATCCCCCACACCATCACTACAAAACCGCATCCAAGCCACAGCCTGGGGCACGACGGATCCCAGAGCAACACACACGCCGCCTACCCCAAGCGCGAGCAACCTCCTCATCGTATCAACCGGCCTGTGCCCCAACCTCGGCAGCAGCCTGACCATCTCCCAGGCAAAGGGGATGCCATTCAGCACGCCATTGCTGCGGAACACAGTCGCCAGGCCAAAGACAACCCCTGCTAGAACGATGTAGGTGTCACGTAAGAGAGCATTGTCCTCAGAGCGGCAACTACGAGCTAACAGCAGCCAGCCGGCAAAGGCGAGGGCGGCGAAGCAGCTTTCGGCGTACGGGGCTGAGAGGAAGAGTCCAGCCGGGGAGAAGATATGTAAAACGGAGGAGGTTAGGGCGAAAAAGGGTCGGTTTGGCCATAGTGTGATAGTCAGGTGATAGAAAAAGAAGACTGAGAAGATATGGGAGGTGTTGGTGACGAAGAGGGCTGCGAGAGTTTCACGTAGGGCACCATGGGATGACGGATCTAGTTTGGAGAGGATGCCAACATACTCCAGAGCTGGCCTAAAAGTCAGTGTCATGGTATAATATTACATGGCCGAGTGATGAGGATGTATGTCAGATGACCATTGAGTCTAGGTCATCTCACTCTCATCCTTCACTCTCACTCTCATCCCTCTCATCCAGGATTGGGCCCGGCAACTGCGGTCACCGCGCCGGTGCTTGCATGGGGCCGCCGAGAACAGGTTTCACTCACCTCCCAACAACCCCCTCACAACCCCCGGTAATCCCGCGCCAAAGGCCCACTCCTGCTCAATCCGATAACCGCGGCGAGCAATGCTGGTGAAATAGATGGCATCCCAGCTTGCCAGCCGAGTAATCAGGCCAACAACGTGATAGGCCAGACCCGGGTGCTGGGGGCCACTGTTTGAGCCGTGATCAATGACGTCATCATGAGGCTGCACGGCAAGCGCAGCAGACGTGTCGTAGGCATCGCCAGCCAGGTACGCGCCGAGGCTGAGGGCCAACAGGAAGAGTTTCCAGGAGACGAAGGTAGCGAGGAGGACGCGATAGGGGCGGGATGCGGCCTTGTTGAAGGAGGTCATGTTGTGGGTTTGTGATTGCGTTTAGAGGCTCGGCATGGCGGAGCGACTTGGTCTCGGAAAGTTCATACGATGCTAATTTTGACGGCTGGCTGCCGCTGGGAATGTTTGCTCGGCCGTTGCCGTGCCGACACTCTTGAAGTGTTTCGTGATGCGGAGCACAGACCCGCCGTGTTGGTTTGATGTTCATTGTTACGTTGGATCTTGGACTTGGCATCGGAAGTCGGAGCTTGGCGAAGCTTGGACCAAGCGATCAGAAATTAGCTGCTTACCTAGCAACTGCCCCGTTCGATAAAATTACATAAGCGAGGTTACGTGATTGCCTTAAAAACAGGGCGCAACAAACGAAACCAGAAGCAAGCGAAAAAAAAAAAGTTCCAGAAAGTGGACGAAGGCACATGAAAAGCCGGAATGGATGCAACCGCGGAATCCGGGGTTTTGCGGCTCTCGTGCAACTGGCAGCTGCACCGCTATTGGAAATGGCTCAAGCGACAGCGGACGGCCCCGACAGGTGGATGGGGCGCATAGCAGAAACCACAATTTTCTCTGTGCAGACAACGGGCATCGGGATTCAAAACGCCGACCGGGACTGTAGCTCTTCCCATCATCCGATCGAGCATTAAAGCATCTTCGAAATTCTGCGTCCTGGCCGACGATTGCCTAGCGCAGCGCAGGTTCAGCGAAGATTAATCAGCGCCAGCCCGTGCAGGCTTCAGGGACCGGCATTCCCGAAGATGGGCCATAGGCCGGGAATACGGCGATTTAGAAGCCTTTTAGCAATTCTAGCAGTTGTCATCAAGCCTTGTGCGATTTGTGAAGCCTGCTGCTTACAGAACTGATCACGGACTTGAGCATCGAGATCGAGTTGCGACACCTCTTGATGACGGACGTCAGTGCACATGTTACCCACTTACTCTTGTAGATAGAGTCGACCGGAAACTCCACTTCAAGAAATGAGATTCGGTTCTCGGTTGGGTGTTCCCTCACCTTCGGCCGATTTTTTCGACTTTTTCGCAGGAAAAAAGTTGCCGGCGTCGATGGCATGGTCCACTCGCACCGCTAGCCCGCAATCCGCGCAATTCGCAATCGAGCATCCATTCATCAGCTGCCGCCGCGCTGCAGATTTTGCACCAGCTAATGTAGCGCTCTAACTGCCTGGCCGTAGTTGACTGTTGCCACAGCGCGCTATCTCTGCGGTCTCGAGGCCCCAGGCTTGCGTGGCTCTCGCACAGGCGGCCTCGACCCTGCGTGTCTTGGGCCTTGCGTTTTTTGTGCACGCGCAGTGCATACCGACATCTTTGCGCCTGCTGCTACTGACGCTGGATCTTGTCCAACGTCATTTCTTGGCGTCCGACCCCTTTGTGTTCCAGCTCCTGGGTTGGGGGCCTGGGTGGAGGATCCACATCCACGGCAGCGCAGCGCAGTTTCAGCGCTCAGGGTCTTGCCAGTGCGACGTGACCTGCACCCGGCCCACAGTGCCCAGACAAAAGCACCCACTCAGGAAGCCCACCGAGCCCACAGGCGTGCTGCCCGCTACGGACTTCAACAACAAACCGGCCCGGCGGGGCATTTTTTTTTGGTCTTTGTCAGATCGGGCTCTCGGGCTGGCATCAGGGAGGTCATCTGGAGGAGGGCAGGTTAATAAACTCAGCCCAAGGCCAGAGCTCAAGGTGTCTTTGCCCCCTTCCCTGGTTTCCCCCATTGACAGCAAAAAAGTCTTCCAACCAATCAAGGACCACGCCGCACTGTAACATCAACGTACGACACAAACCAAACATCTGGCCGTACCGTAAGCAATAAGAGAACAAGATCCTCCTGATCATCTTTGTCCTCGGCCACCGGACCCCGACCGAATCGCACCACCAATCCGCACACCGCCAGCAAACTATCTTTTTGACAAGTGCGGCTCCCAATTCAAAATTTATTACACGCCGACCTGTGCGCGCGTCCACGTCGACGTCTTGCACATTTTCTCAGCCTCTCGCCGTCTCCCATCCAATGGCTCGTGGCGTCGGGAGCTATCAGAGCTTGCATCGCCGGGATTGCTCCTGAGCTTGTCATCACCGAAATCCGTTTCCATCGCTCGTTGCCGCCGAACCGAACGCTTCGCGTCTCCAGCTGGTGGAGTGTACTGTCCCAGTGTACGCCGCCCGCGCAGGGTTGTAGCTCGTAGCTACGCCTGCTGTCGGTGGGGACTTGACGTCGGACCTATCGCCAGCTCACCTCATCACCGGGAGACGGCCGATCCAGGAGATTGCCTCGTCGACTGCACGGCATTTGGCCGGCCAAACCCCTTAGTGCTGGACGAGGCTGGTCCTCTGCGTCTGCATCCTGCAATCGCCCGAGTCTTGTTTTGCTATTGAAACAGAAAAGTAGAGCTACCTAGAAACTTGGTTCGACGTGAAATTGAAATCAGAAAGCCAGCCAGCTAGCTGTCTTTCTGCTCGAAAGACATGTTCCTTCATGCCGGCGCGAGCCTGCATGGCCATGAATACTCCCAGCGCGCTTCCTCAGCGGCTGCTTCTGCCGCGCCCAACCTTCGACCGCCGCCGCTGCTGCGATCGGCCTTTGCTCCTCCCAAGCAGCGCAATCTGACAGCCGACGATGCCGCTGTGACGCCTGTTCGCCAGCGCCCTGCCTCTGACTGCATTCCGCGTGACTCTTCGCCCATGGTCCGGTTCCGCGATCCTCACGACGAGACTCAGTCCGCGCTGGCAACCCACGACGAGTCAGTCTCCGAGTCCGAACTCAGCGAGGCCACCTTCTCGATTGATGGCAGCACCGTAGTCTCGAAGACCCGTCGTCACCGGAATCGCCGGGTGCTTCATAAGAGCACCACCTACGGCCTGGGTTACCCTACCCCGAGGATATTGGGGAAGACGAAAGTGGTTCAGAAAGTGTTTCTGCCACGCCTGCTTCTTCAGCTCCAGAAGGTCGGCAGCGACGGCCGGACGGTTCCTGTCCTCGAAGTCTTTCCAGCCTCCAGGATAGCGGGACCGGTTGTCTCGCCACGTCTGGTTAAGAAGTGTCCGAATATCTTCCGGGTCAAGCGTCATCTGGGGTACGACGATATTGTGCTCGTCCGCCGAGACGACGATGACCATGCCTCTTCGGATGCTGCCGAAAACGAGAGCGACGAGAACTTGGAGGGGAAGAACCTCCTGGCCGTGTACAGCCCCTTGAAGCACTCGGATGAGGCCGAGATCGTGCTACATGATGGGTCTGTCTGGCTGGCCAAGCCGTTACCGAACGGCTGTTATGACTTTATGCATACCGATGCTGAGGGGAAGACTACCACGGCGCGGTGGGCACGTAGGCATAACCTGTCTTCCACGCCGACCTCGGGCGACTCTTTGGGCCAAGCCGGGGCCCCCCAGGTCCGCTACACCTTCAGCGTCCTCAACCCGAACACTCGGCGTCACCCGGTCATGGCCACTTTGACGCCATTCAGCCTGGAGGTGCAGGATACCTACACTTCTGTCTCGCCATCGCACTACCGGACCCCTCCCATCACCCGGACCGGACGGTCGGCCTCTGTGACGTCGGTCCCTCCTCCGACTTCTCCCAGTACCGACCTCTCGGTGTCCCCTTCACCGAGTTCTCCCGACCAGCGCATCATTTATGCCGTCGACAATGCAACCAAGTTTCTGATCGCTGCGACGGCCCTCTGGGTTGCCCTTAGCGAGAACTGGTCCCAGAACTACGGCAACTCACCCGCCATTGTGCCTGGTCTCGGGCAAGGTTCGTCGCTGACCTCGTCCAGTGCAGCAGCCCTTCCCTTGGTCAACGGCTCAGCCAGCAGCACGACCCGCAGCCGCCGAAACACGTGGACCCGCGGTTCGACATTGGATTCTGTCCGCCAGAGCGACCCGGGTACCACAGATCCACCGTCAGCATCGTCATCCGTGAAATTCGGCAGTCTTAAACGCTTCTCTCTGCCGGCATACCAGCCTGCTGCGAGGTGCAACAGCCTTAGGGCATGTATCTCACAACCATCGACGCCTCTTGGATCGCGAACCTCAACTCCTGTGCCAGGAGCCAGCCCCTCTGTAGCCGCAAATGAAGGAACGCCCATAGTCACGCCGACGATTCGTGCCGTCCCGCCGTTGTATGCTCCGAAACGAGCAACGATTACCGGGGCGACGTTCACGCCGCTGCGTGAGCCTAGTGCCAGCGACGCTGCTGGTGGTGTCGTGGACGACAACAGTGACGATTCTGGCATCGGAATTGCAGCAATTGCACCAGGTACCACGACGAGCATGGTGGCCGATTCAGCTCCGCGATCTGAACCCGCGCCCCCACCCGCACTAGCACCTTCTGCCACGCCAACCCAAATCACATCCACGCAGAAACAGCAACAGCAACAGCAACAGCAACCACTGCAGCTTGAAGGCCAACAACAAGGCAAGACCCGCCGGAAACGCTTCTCCTTTCCTCTCTCGCTCACTCTGCATCGCGCCTCTGGATCTAGATCGGCTTCAGCGGCGGCGACCCCGACGACACCGTCATCCCCCGCCGTTGTCATAGTGCCGGGGAAGAAGAGCGTAGAGCTCAACACTGCCGCCATGGCCTTTGATGTCCCCAGTCCTATGGGGATGCCGAACGGTCTGAATGGCAGCGGCCTAGCGAAGAAGCCTAGCATGAGAGCTAGGATCAGTCGCTGGTTCCAAAAGTTGGGCCCCGGGAGCAGCTCAAATGCACACACGCAGTAGAGCTGGGTGTGGGTGACCGAGCTGTCTAATGGGATCTGCTCTGAAGTCCGGAGCCTTCTGACCAACTTAGTGTATAATTAGAACTGATGTTGTTTGATGTCCCATTGGCACTGCGGCCAACCATATTCTTTTTCACATCTTGGCCTCAGCTTTCGATTTTGGCTTTAGCTTCGACATCACTCAGGGCCTGCTCCGGTTGAACCGAAGCAATGGCTGAGCCCGTTTTGGGACACTTTAGACGGTAGAACGGACCCTGACGGCCGTCCTATGCTTGCTTAGAAAAGCCGTTATCCAGCTGTTAGTGAGCAGATTTCCTGTTTTTGGTTGCTGAACCAGCAGCAATATACCCCCCTTCTTTCTCTTCATGATTCGAATATACCCGATCCCCAATCTCTTCAAGTTGTGTTCATCCCGTGTGTACTGCGTTGCCCTGTGGTCCGTCTTAGGTTGGCCTTCAAGTTTCACTTATCTTTTCATGGCTCAGATCTTCTATTACCACCTCGGTAACATCCAGACAGTAGCATTGAGTCCAAAACACAGTATATCTCCGGCTTCAACTTCACTGTCGCTCTCCTTCTGACTGTTGATGCTGCAAGTTGCCAGGGAACTGCCGGTCCCGTCCCACCGCCACGGTTCCACTCGCACTTCTACTCGGAATTCGGTGGATTGCCAAGCCCACGTGGTTGCGGCTCCCAGGAACGGTCGATCCGCAAGGAGCCGTGGTCGGTGCACGTCATTGCTGGTCGCTCCACCGGTGCGGCAGGGTGATGAACTGGGGATTAAGTACCAACGAGCAGACTTTCAACAGAAGTTGGTGGGTCCAGGGCTAAGCCGGGTAGGGACTGGATCGGGCTTTTGGGGTCTTCAAGCGGGATCTCTTCAAAGGATTGCTGACCGCGAACATTGGCTAGGTAGACTAGAGTCTCGAAAGAATGTTGGGACTCAGCTGGCTGTTGACAGTCTTTTTAGTATACCAGTTTGCTTCGAGGAAGAAAACTCGGAGTGGTAGCAGGGGGAAGTGTAAGGAAAAGCCTAAAACGGACAACATAATAGATAACTAGAAACTGAAATCCAACTGGTTGATGTAGGAACCGGCGACTCTGCGAATGGCCTTCTAATACTCAAATCTGATGCCCAAGGTTCTGGGTATCCTCTCTGGTTGTTTTGCAGGAAACATGTCGGGCTTCTATGATCACTCCCGATCGACCTTCCGTAAAGTGACGTACGGGGAATCGTCCAGGCCCAAACCCTTGAAGTACAAACCCATCCACAAATCGAAAATCGGCTATAGACACATGCGAATCTACCAACTTAACAACCCCTTCTCACGGTTGAAGCCGCCACGCAGTTGTTTCTCCGGCTTCACAACCTTGCCCTTCAGCACCGTGTACTTCACGATCCCCTCGCAATCCTCCGGCCTGACTCTCGCCAGCCAGATACACTGCGCCGCCTCTTCCCCTTTTTCCTCCTCCTCACTCCCCTTCTCCTCAGCCCCCTCCTTCTTCTCCTCATACCCTTCATGTCCTACATCATCAACCTTGACCCCCGGCGCAAACGCAAACGCCGCATTCCTCTTTCGATACACAAGCACATTCGCCGCGTACTTGTGCCCGCCCACATGACTAACAAAGTAAATCCCCACGCCGCCGGGCCTCTCATCGTCCAGATCGCGCGCCAGCCCCAGCGGCTGCAGATGCCGCATAAACTCTCTGCGCAGCAGCGGCGCGCTCTGTCCGCAGCGCGCGTCGCGCGTCTTTTGGCTGCACAGCAGGATCACCGCTGCGTGCGGACAGGCACGCGTGGTGAGAGTTTTGAGGGTTACGGGCGCGGCTTCAGGCAGGGGGGCTTCGAGGGAGCGGGGGATGGGGGGAAGAGTGTGGGACAGGGGCGTTGTGGTAGTGGGGGCGATGGAGATGATCTTGTCGATCATGGTTTGGACGGTGGCCGGGGTGACGTTTTCGATGAGGATGAAGGCGGGAAGGAGGAGGACGGTGGTTGGCTCGGAGTAGGAGGGCGGGTTGTGGGGGGTGGGCATGTTAGAGGCGGAGAGGAGCAAACGCTGGGGAGAGAGAACATTAGCACTGTAGGAGTACGTAGGTAGGTCAAGCTGATGTGAATGTTAAGGATGGAGGAACTGCCTTGGGCATTAAACATACCCCATTGGTAGGCTGTCGCGCGTTGGCAATGGCTTGCATCAAGCTGCCCTTCTCGTTGGCGACGTCGTGCACCCAGTCCGATTTGCCGGTCGCGATCAGCACATGGGTGCTCCAGCCCTTGACAAAGCCGTAAAGCTCGTCGTCTTCATTGATCTTGAAGCTCTTGGGGTAGTGAACGGTACAGGTCTCGCAGCTACGATCACAGTCTTCACCGTCGACGGACTTGTCAACGACAGGAAACAGTTCGCGCAGTCCGGCCTTGCGGCCCGAGTCGCCAATGGCGAGCGACTTTGCGCTGTTGATGAGCGATTTGAGCACGCCAGCCATGACGGGTAGGTACCTAGTGGGAATCAAGACCAAATCATAATGGTCACTCCGGAAGGCCAATGGACCGGGGATACGACCGGCGCGGCGCAAGTAAAAAGAAAAAAGTCGGAGTCGTCGCAACTAAAGTTTCCCGTCCCTGGTTAAACCTGGTTCGGCTCGGAGGCAATCCGCAATGCGCCAAGGTGTCCCTGGTGGGGGCGGGGCACCCATGGATCAGACCATACATAGGTAGCTGGCGTCTGGATTCTGGCTGGTCCCCGATCTTCCGGGAGTCGGGGGTCGGGACGCAGTGAAGAACACCAGGCGCTTGCTTTGTAGCTGACAGTGAGGCCCTCGTTGGCCATGGTGCTCTGGGCTGGACGTCAACTCGACAGTAACGAGATACTACCTATGGTAGCTGAGGCAGGACAATCCCGAAGCCTAGGGGGCTACATGTACGTAATATGATACTAATGCACCGAGTACCCACGAAGTGCTGGCCCCGGTAAATCTCAAAATCTCTCCCATTATCCATTCAAGAACGCTGGTATTAACAATGGAACAAACAGCCACTCAATACTTATATGTACCCAACAATTCCCGAACGCTGTCCCATGTGGCCGTATCACAACTTGACCCTTCCCCCCAGGAGTTCCCTCCATTCCTTCTCCCCAAACGGCACGTACGTCCCACCCCTCAACCAAAACAATTTATCCCCCCCAACCTTAGCCGGGTCAACTCCCTGCTGCCGGAGTACGTGCTTCTGCTGCTTGTTCGTGCCCGTTGTTTGCCTTCCTACCTCCTTCATAACCCTAAGAAAAAGCGGGACGGCATACTTGGGCAGCTTTGCCCTGGCGTGCGCGGCCAGATCGGCTAATAACTCGGGGGTAACTTGCTCGGTGTCAAGGACGATGGCGACGCAGCCGGCGCGGCCATCGTGGTGGGGGAGCTGCACGCCGTAGACGTTGGGCTCGAGGACGCGCGGGTGCAAGCCCATCATCTGGGAGACCTCGGCGGTCGAGACGTTTTCGGACTTCCAGCGGTAGGTGTCACCGATGCGGTCGTGGAAGTAGATGCGGCCGTTGGCATCCCATTTTAGGACGTCGCCGGAGCGGAACCTGCGGTCCTTAGGTCAGTCGGGTTGCTGAAAGGGGGCTAGATGGGGAGTATTACCAAGCATCTCCCTTCTTAAAGACATCCCTGAGAATCTTGGAGTTTGTGGCTGACTTATTGCCATAATACCCCTGAAACCGCTTGCTGATGTCGTTTGCCGGCAGGGCAGCAATCATCTCGCCAGCCTCGCCTTTCTTGACACGCCGACAGAAACCTGTCTTTGGGTCTCGCCAGGGAAGCTCGGTCTCATCGTCCAGCTTGACTATTGCCGTTCGGGTGTTGACGAAGGCGCTGGAGAATACGCCTAGTCGACCGATAGCTGCCTTGCCGAAGTCGTTGCGGCATTGGTTCCAAAAGCCGACGGGGGCTTCAGTGGCGGCGTAGAACTCGAAGATAGTCTGCCGGAAGTCAGCTCAGCTTCTTCAGCCAGGGTGTCAATGAGTTGAAATGACTGTTTGAGAGGACTCACATCAATGCCAAACCTCTCCTTAAACTTATCCCACACATCCGGCCGCAATCCATTTCCCATGGCCGCGCGCACGTAGTGCTTCCTGTCCAAATTCTCGCCCGTCACAGGGTCCCTCTCGGGCGGCGCGACGGTCAGATAGCGACATGTCTCTCCGACGTACTGAATGATGGTTGACTTGGTCTCACGGACCTCCTTCCAGAAGGTCTTGGTCGAAAAACGACGGCCAATGGCGCAGGTTGCTCCAACAAAGAGGACGCTGCACAAGCCAAGGCAGGCAGCAGCGCTATGGTATAGGGGCATGCACTGATCGGTCAGCTTTCACACAGAAACTCCTAAGTGGGACAATGAACCCACAGTGTAGAACACATCTTCACAAGTCATCATCGTCCCCTTTGCGGTCATCATCCCCGCCATATAAATCTTGCCCCACGACACAACTGCCGGCTTGGGCATCCCAGTCGTGCCAGAGGTATATATGAGGATGGCCATCCCGACATAACTATCCTCTGAGCGTACCTCATTCATATATCTCGTGGGTGTCATTCTCCCTGCCTCAGCCTCTACATCCGGTGTAAACACCACGAACCTCATCCCCGGCACCGCCCCCTTCACCTCGTCAGTAATATTCCCCGCCACTCGGGGATCTACAACCGCCAGCCTCGCATCACTCGTTTTCAAACAATGCGCGAGCGCCTCCCCTTGAAGATGGTAATTTATAAACGCCGGCGTGGCTCCCACTGCCCAGATGGCAAACCACAAGAACACAAAGGTATCTGAGTTCTGGTATTCCAGCGCGATGATGTCCTTCTCCCGGACCCCAAGCTTCTCCCTTAGCCAGGTGCCATACCTTAACACGCGGTCGTATGTCTCTGCATAAGTGTGGGACTTGCCCTCAAAGAGGATGAACGGCTTGTTGGCGAGTGACTTGGTCTTGGCTTGCTTTTCGAGGAGGTAGAAGAGGTTGAGTTGGTCGGCGCGCACGGCGCGGATGAGGTTCAAAGCGGTTGAGCCAACGATGCGGAAGAAGAGGAGGTCGTGGTCGAGGGAGAGGCGCGCGTGGAAGTAAGCTGTGCCGGCGGCGGCGCCAGCGAGAGATAGGGCGAGGGGGAAGGTCGCCATTGTGGGTGTTGATACTGGGCAAGACCGTAAGAATGATTGTGTGGGCTGAGCTAGGTGACTATTGAAGTGGCCGGATTAATGAGAAGGCTCACATTGGGGTTCAGTCCGCTCGCCGCATGCGGGATCGTTCCGAAGTCCGATCCAAGTTTCCGGCCGCAGGAGGAAGAACGGATGCAACAACGGAGTGCCAGTGTGGCTCCTGCTGTGCAGTAGCTAAGCTCCGAGTGGGTGGGTTTTAGTTTGGAAGTCGTAGTTAAAGATGAAGTGTAAAATGTCAAGACTCAAGCCACGTTTCACCCATTACACCAGGAGACGGGATGAACTTCCTGGTCTCCATGACTGCGCTTTTGTACTTGAATGCAGTAAGTGTCGCATCCATCCCTCAGATCTCCCCGATGTGATTGATACTACCTACACGGCAGCAATTCCTGGTTTAGCGAACGAATCCTGCAACGTTGTCCTCAAGTTCGACGCTATCCAAGAACACTAAGACTTATCCAAGTGAGGGGAAGGCGCCAAAATGCCGAGGCACAACCCAACCCACCTGCTCGATTCGTTCCATGTCCCAGATCGCATGCGCTCCTCGAAAGAAAAAAACCCTTGCAAGGCATGCGATGCATGCAGAAGAGTGAGCTTCGACGCGCCGTGTCTGGCCTCTGCCCCGTTTCCCCGCAAAAACTGATGAACGATTTCCCCACATTTAAGGACTTGGGGTGGGTCATGCGGTGGTCGGTGAGGCTTGGCATCAGGGGTTGGCGGGAGGGGTCTTCAACGTAGTGTTCTGGGGAAATGAGACGAATGGTTATCATCGCTATTGTCTTCAACTTGTGAAGTTAAGTAAAAGCTTCAAGGGATTGAATGGATGAAGAGTCAATGACTCATTTTTGGATTCATCGAAATGGAAGTGATGGGGAAACATGCGAAGTTAGACACTGCAGATGAGTTGTTTCATTAGCTATCTCGAGTCGCAAGCTTTAATGATGACTTGAGGCTTGAGGGCATGATGGGACTGGCAGGAACTTGAACACTTGGGATTTAGAATCCCAATTGGCTTGATTAGACACCTGGGCAACTATCCTGTATCGCAAATCTCTCTACAACTAGGTAACCAGGAATCTTAGTCAACTCACCCTCATCAAACGTCACCATGACCCATCATACCCCCCAACTCACCTCACCTCCAATCACCGTCACGATCCTCACCCTCTCCTTCCCCAAATAAAAACTCACCCAGCGATCAATCCCCTAGCACAAATACCCAACATTACAAGGCTCATCCGGCACCAGCGTCACGGTCACAACAGGCAGCGTCGTTGGTGTCGGCGGCTGATAGTAAGTAATACGCGTCGAGACGACAGTCGGCGTCGGCCCACCCACACTGAAGATGGTCGTGATAGTGCGTACTGTGGCTGGGGGCTGGTTCTGAGTTGTTTCGATGGGGATGCACTGGGAGTACCAGATGCTAGAGGCCATAGTCAGCATTGTTCTCAAGGGATTAGGCGGTAAGGATCACGATCATTTGCGTTTCGGTCAAAGGGCAAGACGTTAACTTTGATTAGGTGCAGGTCAAGTTCTGTCTTGTGGGAGTTTGATGGGCTGAAGGTTTTAATTGCGCGCAGGATGGAGAGGATGGAGAGGATAACTTACTTCCCGTCGTTGTAGCAGTATGCATTGTTAGGGCATAGTGTCGGGCCTTCGTATGTAACACCGCCGCCTGAGGATCAAGTTAGCACATTTCGGTCTCCCATGCAACAGTCTGAATTGTTTTGGACTGAGTGTGGACATACATTGTCCCCAAAGTGTCTGCGTAGGCTGGCTCACAGGTGGATTAGGAGGCCATTGGGGCAGGGCATATGAAGCACCCAGCCATGACGCAAGAGGGAAGAACAACTTTGCCATTATGAACGACTCAACAGCCAAGGATAGTGAAGCAAAGTAATCGCAGCAAACCAGGGCACCGAGGTCGGGCAAAAAGCCAAAGACCCGGACTTGTCACCTTCCAGACTCGTGGGGAGCACCTCTATATATTGGACCGACCCATCTCTCCTCACAGGACACACACGAAACCCCTTCTCTCTCCTGACAACTCCCAAAGGACCCAAAATCCGGGTTCCAATATCTTTCCCATATTGCATCCACACACCCGGGAATTAGCTTATTGGTCTGTCACTCTCTAGCACGCAGAAAGCAGCCCGACTCTGCAGGGAAACTAACTCATCCAGATCGCTCACGGCCCGGACCTCCACCGAAAATGAATCGATGATAGGAGAAAATATAAGGCCAGCCGTCCCCGCAGCCAGTCACGAAATGCTTCTTTACGTGTGATATGCAAAACCATGTGGCTCGCCACGACAGAGATGATAAACCTCCTAAGCGTGTTCCCACTGCGTATGTATGTCCATATCAAGCCGCCTCTATTTTGAGGTATGTGAGCGGTTCGCGTGGCTGTCAACGGTGGGAATGTAATCTAGGCACATTCTTGGATAAAGTGTCATATTGTGCATGCTTCGCGGATCTGAGAGCCGGGACGGCGGATAAAGGGGGGGTGGGGCGAACCGTGATATGAGTGCCATTAGCAGGCCTGATGAAAAGAAAACAAACACGACTTGCTAGTGCTATACAGAAACATGGATAAGTAAAGAGAAATGTCCAGTCACCCTGCCAGCAGGACAACCGATGCAGCAACCCAAATAAAGCTCTATAACAGATAAAGTCTTGGCCGATCCCCCGGCCGTCCAAACCAACAACACCAGTGGCAACCATCTAAGCATCCCTATTAACCTCAACATCCTCAACCTCACAAAAAGCCTTAAACGTCACAAACTCCTCCTCCCCGTCAATCCCCTCTCCCGTCTGCAACACACACTCCGCCGTCGCCCCCACAAAAAACACCTGCCCTTCCTTCAACTCCATCCTCTTCGGCCCCACGGAGATATACCCCTCCCCCTTTACACAAATTACAATACTCGGCCCCTCCAATGGATCAAACGTCGCCTTTGCGCCTGGGCCCCTCAACACCGTCCTTACGACAGAAAACTCTTCGATAGGCGGGTCGTACAACATGATCTCCGAGCCGAAGGAGTACCCCGCCCGGTTGAGCGTTGCGTATGCGTATTCAGTGGGTTGCATTTTTTGTTGCTCGATGGGCGCATAATCATACGTGAGCATGTTGACGAGCGTGTCAACGTCTTTAAACTTGGGGGTTAGGCCGGCCCGCACGACGTTGTCGCTGTTGGCCATGCACTCGACGATGTCGCCTGACAGGTAGGCGTGAATGTCGTCGGCGCGGAGGAAGATTGCTTCGCCGGGAGAGAGGGTGACGTAGTTGAGGAAGAAGAGAACAAATAATCCATAATCAGGGCCGAATTGGGTATGGAGTTTAAGGACTAGGTTTGCGAACAATGAGGGGGGGTGTTCCTGGCTGTCTGGAAGCCCAAGACCAGAGAAGGAGGTCTCTGTTGCGAGGACGACAAGTTTATCGGCCGCTTGCTTCATCTTCTCTTCGGGAGAAGACATCAACGACGAGAATATGGCCCTCAAAGCAGCCTTATTCTTCTTTACCGCCTCCTCAGACTCATCCCCTTCTGTGCTCTTGATGGTCTCAACAAACTCTCTCACCTTCTCCTCCCCCACAAGCTCCCGCAAGGGCTCTAGCGCCTCCAAAAACGCCACAATCTCCCCCAACGGCCGGAATCCACACAGCCCCTCAAAGTTTGTCAAGGCGATGGCCATTTCCGGTTTGTGGTTATCATCCGGGTAGTTCTTTGGATCCCGCGCGTGCAGCTCTTCCGCAAGCTTCTTGTTTGGGTGCGCCTGGATCGACAATGCCTTGTTGATAGACAGCACCTTGAACAAGAAGGGCAACTTGGCGCCATAGCGGGCGACGATAGGCGTCGAGAGTAGGGCTTGGTTGTCTTGGACAAGGTCCAGAAGCGTGCGGCCGGTTAGAACGTCTTTGGAGGGGTTGGAGGGGTGTGTACCCATCCAGAGCTGAAACAAAAGAACATGGGGTTATTAGCTTGGGAGTGAAGGGAGGGAAGAGAGACAGGGAAAAGCACCTCCCACGAACCTCGGCATACGGCGTGTCGTCTTGGATGGTGAAGTCTGCGGCTGTGGCGGCCGCGAAGCGGGCAGCCAAAGAGGAGCGGCCCTGCTTACCCCAGTCGTAGGAGTTGGCCCCGCATTGGAGCTGGATGAGGGGAATCTGCATGTTGGGGGTGATGGTGTGGTTTTGATTATAAGACTGTTGTCAGGATTCTGATAAAGCAGATACTCGAAGATGAGGATGTGGGATGAAGTCGAAATTGCCGGGTTGAGACAGGGGAAGTGAACAGTACTACTAATAGGGTATTGATTTAGAAAGAACGCTTAATGTAAGGCCGCAACCTGTACGCGTCCATCAACCCAACGAGCGGGACCTCAATGGACCTACCTAGCTCATCAATGGTCGATGGAGCTGACCCCTCCCCCTTTTACGTCACCCAGCATGACAACAATCTGTGGGGTTACTGTGTGCGGATTAGGGCGGATAGATGTGAGCTTATTGGGGGATTCTTTGGCTCTGGCTCCACTTTGCTGCCGATCAAGCACAGTGTGCATCGCTTATTGTTAACTGTGTTCGTTGCCTCCACTTAGGCGCGTTTCCCCGATGACGCGACAGCTTCGTCGGTGATGCAGCAACACGATCATTGTGTGAGAGTTCCTATTGCTAAGAGCCGACTCTATTGCGCGCATGTATGCTGTATGTTGACAGAGACTACTGTTTTCGGAAATTGACGCTTCAAATAAATTCGACGGCAACGCCCGCGCTGATGATAATGACGCCGAGTGACGTCCACACTCCCTCGTGATTCTCCGACGACGCCCCTCTCCATTTCTCAGTTACCTGCTCAATCAGAAGACTTTGTTCAATTGCTCTAAGGTCTGCATCAGCGCCCGGTATACTACATGATCCACCTGCTGATAAGAGCTCAGTCTAGACGAGTATCGCTGGCCGATCTCCTCTTATCTCAGCTCTTCGACAGTTCCTGGTTTAGCTAAACCTCGTCTACGAGCCCTCGAACCTCAAAGGCCGACAACCCTCGATACCCCCCTTCTTTCCTAAGCCGAAATGTCCTCCCGCAACCGCACATCCCGCGCCCCTACCCGCAACACGAGCAGCACGCAAGGCGAAGAGGCTCATCTATGGAGCCAGATCAAAGACGACATTCGCAGCATGCTCGATGGGTTGAACGCCAACAACGACCAGCTGCGCGCCATCCTTGCGCAGGACGCCCACATCGCCAAGAACAAAACTTCAAGCTCTTTTGATATTGCTGCTGAGGAAGAAAAGCTGGATTCCCTATTGAGGGCAGGAGTGAAGGGAGCCGATACTTCGAAGCAGCAGATTGATGCGCTGATTGAGCATGTGACTGTATTGAAGGCGTTGGTGAAAGTTAGGGAGGAGAGTGATAGTCAGGCTGGGTCTGGCCTGTCCAGTCGAGACAGGGGAGGTCTCTTGAGCTCGGGGAGGGCGTCGTCTGTACGGGGTACGCGAGAGAAGGACAGGGACAGGGACAGAGACCCCAGCTCGGTATATGACTTTGACGGATCGGGAGATTCACCGGTACCCTCACCAGTTGGCAGAAAACTTGGAGGAACTGGTGCAGGAAGCGATCGTACCAGCAACCGCGACAGCGTCCCGCCGCGGGACACCCCCAGCAAAGCGGACAGCGTCCCTCCAGAGTCAGGTACCGGCACTTCAAGCCAACGCACCAAATTCACCTTCTATAAAGGTCAGGACGTCGTCTTCAAGCCGAAACCCACAAACCCCAATGAAACCACCGAATGGATGCTCGGCAAAGTCCAGCAAGTCATTGGCGACGGCAAAACGCGACGGTACAAAGTCCAAGACGCAGATCCCGACATCCCGCCGGAACAGAGGGTCGAGTATCGCACCAGCGCGAGTAACATGATTCCTCTGCCGGCTGCGGACGCGGAGTTGCCGGAGCTGGAGAAGGGCAAGGTGGTGCTGGCGCTGTATCCGGATAGCACAACGTTTTATAAGGCCGAGGTGATGGGGACCGAGCCGGGGACCGGGAGGGTGAGTTTACGGTTTGAGGGAGAGGAAAATAATGTTACCTTGCAGGTTGTCGAGAGGAGGTTTATTGTTGAGTACAGAAGTTAGCGGGTCCGGGTTGAGGGTTGAGAAGTTCAATGATTTCAGTTTCATGTGGTTGTAAGTAATATATGGTCATGATGTCTTCCCCCGAGCATCTGGTTTCCGTTGATGATAGAGAGCAGCTCTTCCAGTTCGATGCTCAGATATAATGACACTTCCCGTTTATTAGGATTATGTCGAACTGCAGATTAAAGACTGTACATGTAAAGGTAGCTCAGCGGCACGAATGCTGCCTTCACAAAAAGTTTACAACAGAAAACGATACAAAAAAGGTTGCTAACGAAAGGAGCGGCCTCTTCCAACGCGGGAGAAATTCTCTGCACTTCTCCCAGTAGTGGTACTGGAAGAGAATCAGCACGAGGCCGACGGTGTCCAAGACGCGATAGAGTCTACAAGCAACATTAAAGTCAGTGTTCATCCAAGTCCCCAGCTTCACTTCAAAGCACAGGAAAAACTTACATTACCTCAACCATTAGCCCAATTTTCACCCACGACCCTGTCTCCATGGACCTCTTCATATGCTTCGCTTCCCGGCCCAGAAAACCTCCCCAAAATGCCAGCAAGCCAACCTGTAACATCAATGGAAGGATAGCCCACGCAAGCCCCCTATACGCAGTTAAAGCGGCTAGTCGGCCCAACAGGGAGATACCGATCTAAACCGTCAGTTGGCAGTCAGCCCCCTTCAACACAACCACCGAATGAAAGAAAAGGGGACTCACGTAAATAAAACAAACCCACAAAATCTTCCAACGTTTCAGAACCAACACCAACGTTGCCAGGTCAATCCCCAACTGCACTACTACCAGCACGATCCTCATCCAAAACCACCGTTTCCACTTGTCATAACACTTTTTATGAGTAGGCCATCTTCTCTTCTCCCATTGAGCTGGCTCACTGTGGCTTGTAGCGGGGTAGCCGCATAGCGTACAGCGCCATGCTACGCCGTTGGGTAGAAGTTCTGCGCCACATGATTTTGGTCGGAATTTTAATCGTGGATCACAATCCCTGAATGCGCAATTGAGACAGATATAGGGGAAAGCTTCGGGGTCATCGTAGGGGAGAGGTTTGAGGAGAAGGTAAGTTGCGCCCTGGCAGCGAGTGCAGTAGAGTATTTGGGCCGGGAGCGGGAGGGGGCGGGTTTGATGATCACCATGATGATGGCTAGTGAGTAGGTTATGCTTTTCGTCTTGTTCGGGGGGCTTTTCGTTTGTTGCGTCCATGTCGTTTGGTGCTGGAACTGTGTTTGGTGCAAGAGCGAGGTTTTGCAGAGGTGAGGTAATGCCGTAGCATAGTAGGGAAACTCTACTGGTAATTGTTGGTGCCGTAGATTCTTCGTTCGCTCTTCCACCATACGTCGTTTCGTTGGAATATTGCTGATATTCAACGATCGCTTGGGTCCCAGCACCTGGGACAGCAGTATACCCCATCATGTTGCAGAATCTTGACAAGCAAACGGAGTAGCACAACGTTACAACTTTATATCTCGTCGACAATATAAAGTCCTAGCAACCGGGTTATTCTGAGGGGCTGAGTGAATATTCCTCTTTATTCTCAGCTTAGGAAACCAATCACGAAATGCGATGGGGTGCTCTGATGCTGAAGCTCAGCCCCGTCTGGGGGTAAGCCTGCTTGATGACCATTGTGGTGATGTGACTGTGAGCTGACTAAGAGCAAATTACTCGCCCCAAGTAACGTTTCAATGTGACTATGTGTGCTTATTTACATTGTTTCATCCAATTTAGCGACCTAAGCTTATGCGTTGAACATCCAGAAACATAATGGCTGCCTAGCCAAGTATGTCCATTCCTAAATATTTTTGCTCTTTTACGAAGTTACGTTCTGCATTCGTGAGGCACGACACACCCATTCCCTGCTCAGCTATGCTCGTTTGCTGCTATTGAACCATTTTTCCTCTCGTCTGCGGGATCTGCATCTTCTCTAGGCCGATCGCAATGGTAGGTACATCCGTACATGTCCGTATGTTTGCTTTTAGCTTGATTGTTGGTTGCGCGATTGAAAGGGTTGAAGCGCAGGCTCCAGGAGTCTGTTGGTGGGTTCAAATGGCGAAGATATGGTCCCCACTTTCTCGCACCGACTGTGCGGCTCAGCGAGGCGCTGTGCCCTGTTTGTCCCCGTGGGCGTTGTTCACGCGATTATCAGATCTCAACCATCGATCGTTTCCTTCTTCAACCTCCCCTCCCTCTAGAAATCCCATCATGACCAGCATAGGGCATTCTATTACCCAAAGTGTGTCCTTCTACCAGGTTCCGAATGCCAAAGAACCTAAACTATAGTCGACATTTCACACGGTAATGGGGTATCTTTACTGAAAAGTGCCAACGGGGTTTCAAAGTCTGCCTAAACCTTCTCAGCCGGGTCTCTCGCTTTCTAGAAACCCCCCCGGGGGAATTTTTGCCAGAAGAATCTCTCTTCAGGACGAATGTGAGCATTTCTCGCGACTTACAACATCGACTATCCGGAGGTCAAACTATCTCACTCTCGCCGGTTATAGCTCAAATATAGGGTTGGCGCTTTCCATTTGCAGACAACGGCTCGAATATGGGCAGCTGAAAACGCCGAAACATCATGACGTGCACACGCAGTCTTCAAGAGATCTCGAAGTCCAACATCTATACGAGCCACTTCATATGAACTCTCTTCCGAACTCTCTTGGGACACTCGGTTTCCGAAGGGTTCAAAGCGAAGAAGTCAATCCTTGGTAGTTTCATTCCCTAATCAAGTACTTAATAATCCGGCTTGTCCCCCGTGATCCCCTTGCCGACTCTTACAGTCCCCAGTATCCTCTTTTAGTCCTTTCACTCCTCCTGGGGAACCAGTCCAAGCGCCTGCCTCCTCGACTTCGAGTTAGGGTCGAAGTACGGCTTCTCCCCCAGCGACACAACCCGATTACCTTGTCTTTTGCCGGCGTAGTCACTATCAATCGTCAGCATCATCCCATCCCATACAAGTAACAGAACATAGTGAGCCCATATCGACTTACTTCGTAGCAGTGTGGAAGACAGACCGGCTGCACAAGACTCTAAGTCAACTTCGAGTCTTTCTAGGTGAGTCGACTTTACAAGGCTATGAACTTACTTGTCCCAGATGGCGAGATCATTTTTGTTCCAGCGGAAGCGGACTTGGAGGTCGTGATTTTCGACGATAAGTTGGGTGACTGTTTGTGTGAGCCTGTGTCCTCACTGACCAACTGCCTCTCGGTGACTTGACACCATCCCCTTTCCTGGACATCACCACGCCAGGAGAGTTAAATAACTTACAGTACATCTTGAGAATCTCGCTCTCGCGTTCCGTTACGCCGTTGATCCGGCCATTTGCTATCTGGTTCCCGGCCGCGAAGAGACTCTTCCATCCTGTGACAGGGTTGGTGCGGACGACGGGGCTGTCCTCGTCAGCAAGTATCCCTTTTTATTTAGCTTTCCAAGGAGGATTCAAGGCCGACAAAATAACAACAGTAATGATGAAGAAGCCAACGATAAGAGCACGGACCCGGACTTCCAAAAGCAACAAAGAGAACAACGTTAGAAATGCGACTTACTGCACTGCGGTAAACTCCAACCCTCTATTTTCCGGCGCCCCTCGATAATCTTCAATCAAGTCAACCCCAAACTTCTCCTTGACCTCCTTAAACCCCGGTTGGTAATGCGTAGCCGTTAGGCTCTCAGCCAGCCTCTGGAACGCGGGACTCAGCCTGTCATATGCCTCGTAGCCCGACGCCCAGAGCGTGTCGCCGCCTGCGTCGGCCGGCGGATGCGTGATCTTGAGGATGGCGTAGTCTGAGGGGATGTGTTCGAATGTAATACTATTCAACATGGTCAGCACTCACTTGGCTTCATGCTCAGAGGACGGTTGTGTGAAAGATGGAGAACCTACTCAGCATGCCACCCCTCACTCCCCAACCTCTTCCCTAACCGATCGTACTTCTCCTTGTAGAACCTCCTGTTCTGCTCCGACGAGATAACAGATATCTCATCGTCTAATTTTCCGTTCTCGTCGACCGCAATCCCCCGCTTGCTATTTGCCAGCGCGTGGATGTGTAGCTTGCTGGTTTCCGGTTTGCCGGTAAGCTCGCCCAGCTTTTGGGCGAGGGTCTTTTGTTGATCGACGGTGAGGTCTTGGTTGCGGAAGAAGAGGACACCGCGTTGAGAGACTTTATGTTCAATGGTCAGCCATGCTTAATTTATCTCTCCCAGAGTTGAGTCCGACTCGTAGCCTTAGAAGTTCGACGTCCCCAACCCCTGACTGGCTGGATTAATGAAGTACTCACCCAAAATTGCTAAATCTCTAACCTTAATATCATCCTCTAAGATCTCACTCAACTGCAGCGTGGGAAACTCCCGGCCAATAACAGCCGTAACATCAAACTGCTCATACTGGTCCAGGCTGCCGGAGTAGGTAAGGGGACCGGTGAGCCGGCTGGCGCTGCTGTGGGTTTGGGCTGACGTAGGGGCAGCCTTATTTGGGACAGGCTCAGTTGTGATTGGCTGGATGTCAACGTCGGCAGAGGGAGGGGACATTTTGGTAATTGATGGGAAGGTAGGTTGTTGTGTTGCTGATGGTTAAGATTTGGCACGTTTGTTGGGCTAGACAGCTGTCTTGTCTGAACATTCGTGTTCTTCTCGAAGCCTGCGACGCTACAGGCTCTCAAATACTCCTAACAAACGGCGTTTACGGAATTAACCACATGACGACGATAAGGCTGACGATGAGGTGCAAGGTGTAGCATCTAACACCATATTTGGGGAGGAATATCTGAAATGTTGAAGTCATCTCGGAGAGATATCTATTTCCATGCTTGAGTATCATGATGCATCCTGTCAACAGACAGAGATAATAGGCAACCCTCCTCAATACTCTGCGCATTGGCACTCTTCTTGATCTGTATGGCTACACAACATCCATACGTGCTCAATGTCATTCTCGCACCATATTGCACCACATGACAACATCTCATCAGCGATATCAACATTCAGTGCATTCTTGTTTCTAAAGTGTCTTGAAGAGTACTGCAACAACTACCTTCCCTTCTCGTATGTGTCGTCCGACCGAGAGATTGTCCGTGTGCTGTGAGTTAACTGTGGAGATGATGGCGTCATGAGGGAAAGTTATCATCAAGGCCTTGGACTCGCATCACTGCAAGTTGGGGGACATTCCAGGAATCTGTCCGGAGTCTCTGGAGCTCATTTCTTTTCATTTCTTTCGTTAGCAGGTTATGCTGGAAGCTTTCGAGTCCGTCTTTAAGCGAGAGGCTTGTTAGCTCAGATCAACTGGATCAGTTTTTTTGCCTGGCCTTGGGCTTTTTAGTATTGCCCCTCCAAGAAACTCACTCCCTCCCCCCTAGTCCTAGTCCTCAATTGCCAGAAATTCTAAGCTCAGGTAGGCCCAGATCTGAGAACAGCACAACACTTTACTCACCTGTTCCATATCACCAGGCAAGTACAGCACTCGGGACAGACATCACCTACCACACGAATCATTCATTACGGAAAGAGACAAGTGACAAAACAGAACCAATCCATTCCACACTCGAAAGAACCTAACCTAAGCCTACGAGGACTGCTTAAGAGCCTAAGCTACAAGTGTAAAGAACAACAGCAGCAACTAGCTTCATATCATCAAAAAGCCATAGCCACAGCCCAGTTATGCCATATCCATGTTTGCCGGCTAGGCCAAAGAGGGAACAGGAACACTTCCATGGAGAGCACTATGGTATGTTAAGTAGGTAAGAAATGGGGAGACAGACAAGGACGGGGCGCACAGCAACCCGATCTCGCAGGGTCTCCCTTCCTTCCCTTCTTCCCCTTGTCAACTTAAGAAATCATTCCTCTCGCCTCAAGAAAGACATGTACGACAGGTTAGACATGTATTTCGTAAATTGTCCACCGAAAAACCAGAACAAAACAACCTCAACCCTATCTTTCCTTACCTCCAAACTTCCCTCATTTAGACAGCCCCAGCAGCGGCAGCAGCCGCCTTCCTCTTCTCAGCGCTAGTAAGCACAAGCCTAGGCGCCTTGCGCTGGCCCTCCACACCAGCACCAGCACCAGCCTTGTCACTGCCGCCGCGATTCTTTAACAGCGCAGCAAAACTCTCAGCTTGCTCGCGAGAGCCCTCATTATCTGGCGTCAGACTCACATTCTCCGCGCTATTCTTGCGCTCAGCCTTCTGACGGGAGCTAGGCCGATCTGAGCCGATGGCTCCCCAGCTGCTGGTGCTGGAGCGGGTGCTCGGCGGCAACATGCAGTCGTCGCGGTCGATCAGGCTGCCGGAACCGCTGCGCACCGAGTCGCTGTCGTTGTCGGTGAGGGGGGTCTGGATCGCCTCCTCGGTGGTCTCGGAGGTCGGACTGGTGCTACCGGAGCCAGAGCTGCGGGCCTCCTTACGGCGCTCGAGGCCAGCGCGGACAAGGTTATGCACAGCCGAGCGACGGGTGCGGGCAACAAAGTTTTTGCTGCCCTCGTGTTTGGCGGTCGGCTTCGACCGCAGCTCGTCCAGAGACGGCGGGTTGCGAGGCTGACGAATCGGGTGCTCGCCAGCACGGGCCTGGCCAGGACCGTAGCTCGAGGTCATCGGGGTCAGCGGGAAGACGGCAGTCTTGGGAGCGGCCGACTTGAGCGGCTCATCATTGACCGAAATCATCAGCTGGGTCTTGCCACCCAAGGGGGTCTTCTTATGGCCAGGGCGACGGGCAGCGTTCTGCTGAGTCAAATTGCTAGCGGACTCGGACGGAGAATCGAAGCAACGAGGAGGGGTTGGGACGCGGAAACCGGGCCGGTTATTGTTGGCACTCGCGGGTGGAGGAGAAACTTGGACGCGAGGAGTGCCAATGGCGGCCTGCTGAGCCTGCTGCTGTTGCGCCTGCTGCGCCTGCTGCGCCTGCTGTTGCTGCTGCTGAAGAGCAGCATAAGCGCTGACGAGTTGAGCCTGGTTAGCCTGGATCTGGGCGTTCAGCTGAGCATGAAGCTGGGCATTGAGTTGAGCCGTCAGCTGAGCGTTCAGCTGGCTCTGGGTGGTCTGGTCCATGTACAGCGACTGCTGGCTAGCGGCAGGATTGTAGACGCCGTACATGTTAGCCTGGTGAGGAGCAGTGGGAGCCATCATGGCCTGGGTGTTCTGGAGCTGCTGCTGGTAGACCGACGGGTACATCTGCTGCTGCATCATCTGGGACTGGCCGTTTAGGTTCATGTTTTGGAACTGTTGAGCGGCCTCCTGGAGAGCACGCAGTTGCTGCTGGAGGCGCTGTTGCTGCTCCGTCAGGTACGCGTTGGTGTAGAGCAGCTGGGCATGAAGGGCGGGGTCGATGGTGCCCTCACGGGCAGCATCGTCGAGGTTGATCTGCGGGGGCGCCAGCACCTGATCAGTAGTGTACTGCTGGGCAAAGCCCATCATGGGGTTGTAGGCCTGGGCCTGGGGCTGCAACTGCGGCTGCTGGGAGGCGAAGCGCGGCAGAGATGTCTTGGGAGGGTTGTTGTACAGGTTGGTCGCGTCGTACAGGCCGCCGCCGCCGCCTATCATAGAGTTGCGGTTCCGGCCCTGTGGGGCCGCAGTCGTGGGGGAGGAGGGAAGGGTCGAAAAGGACGAGACAGTAGCCGACTTGGGGGCGGTACGCAGACCGGCCAACAGGTGAGAGCGCGCAGTGCGGGGAGTGGGCAGACCATTGTCAACGCCGGAGGCCGACTTCAGCGCGTCAAAGGACAGCGGCTTGATGTTCTGCGCACCACCGCGACGCGACGCGAGACCCGAGGGCATGCCCATGCCGGGGGCCTGGTTAAAAGGAGCGTGCATCTGAGTGAGACTTCCAGAGTCCATTTTCGCGGAGACAGTCAGATGAGATTCGACCGGCAACTGGTCGAAAGGCGGATGCAGAGATATTAGAAACCTAAGTAGCGATGCAGATAGAAGACAAGACGCGCAGAGAAGACGTGATCGAACGTGCAACCCAGCGCGACGCAAGCTCTATACAGCCTCTCTTGGAGGATGCAATGCGAAATGACGAAATGACGATGATGGGAAAAGCTGCTGGCGAATCCAGGCAAGAAAACTGCTGCACGCGATGATGGAAATGCTAATGTCGATGTTGATTGAAATGGTGATGGGAAAAGGATCGGTTTCTTGAAAGGAGTGACGTGGGGCAATCGATGATGGCCGATAGCTACAGAGCAGAAAGCAGAAAGAGTGCAAATGCGCGAGATCGATGAAGACGAGAGCGATTTAGATCAAAAGTAGCAGGCCTCGTGACGTGACGCAGGGAGGTCAAGGCGAGCCTGTGGAGAGCCTGGACCCTAAACTGAGCACTGCAGCTAGCGGATAGAGGGTTGGTGGCGACGAGGGCAGCTGTCAGCACTGCCAGACAACAAGCAGATGGGACGGAGGCAAGCTTGAACTAGATTCCGGTTTGACTCGATCCAAAGTGGCTTGGTTGAGTTGTTTGTGCACACCAGCCAACGATCAGAATTAAAACCAGTTGGGCGTCCTTTGCAGTCGATGGCAGCGGTCGGCAACAATTAAGCTGCTAGTGCTGCTGCTGTAGAATCGTCACGTCGAGTCGTGGATTAGGCGTGCAGATGAGAAAGTAATCGGCCGATGCACACTGGCGACGGCGATGGGTTGACGGAAAAAGAAAACGGCGCAGAGTAAGCGTAGAATACACGATTAAAAAAATGTTCTAAGTGTGGTGCGTGTCGGTGTCGTCGACGTCGTGACTGGCCGTGGACGTGGACCGTAGTGAGGTGTGCTGTCAGCTTCCAACGCCCTCCTTTTTGTCCCAAATTTCGCTCGTGGATTGTGCAGCGGGTCCAAAGAACGCGGAGACGGGATAGAGTTAATGTGCGAGAAGTAGTCGATCGAACAGGACGAAAAAGCTTCCAATCAAGAATTACGATAATGACGACGGCGAACTGGCGAACGTGGAAGACGCAGAGGCCGACAACCACGAAGGGAGGAAGAGAGAAGGGCAAAAGGAAGGGTGGCGTGCTGGCGACTACAGAAGAGAAGGAGGAGAGAGAACCGGAAGGGAGGGCTTGCAGAGGAAGCGAGAGTTGAAGAGGCCAGTCAGGGCAGCCAAGCAGGACAGTGGGTCGGCCTGATGGAGCATGTACCTGGTCCTGGACAGCGGCACACGCCTCAGGCGGGGCGATCGATGGCTCTCCCGGCAAGGGGGCTCCCAGCCTGAAAGCCCTCAGAGTCCGTCTAAAACGGGCCAAAAACGGGCCAAAACGACTGGCTGCCAACCCTCTACCGCGGCAGGGGTGTAGGCCGAGCGGGTAGTGGACCACCCTGGTTGAACGACTGCTGTGCTTGCCTTTGATGCCGAGCGGTCTGCCCGGCCAATTAGAGTGCTGCATTCTTATTTGGCTGCTTGATGACATATTTTGCATCGGGCTGCGCTTGAACTCTAACAGTTGCACATATAAACCACTGCCTTATTTGCTAAGGGCCCATCAGCCCTGCTAAGCCGTCATACCCCGCGTGGCGCGGCCTAAATGTGGCCAAGCCAAATCGGGCTAGCGCTGCATGTGCCTTCCAGGAGCAAGCCAATGGCGGCCCGTGAGCGCAAAACTTTGACGGTCACCAACACCCAGATTGTATGCATCCTCGCCAGAACAACCGGACTCGCTCCCACAACACCTGATCAAAACAAATCGTTATTTTAACCACCTGTCGGTTGTTCCAAAGTTCTTTGTTGAGAGCTCCGTCTTTCTGATTGTCGTCTCTTTGAGTTGCAGAAGCGCAGGGATCAATTGCAAGGTGCACGCTACGGTTTGTTCCCTCATCGACGTCTGTGGCTGGTCCGGGGTCTCGGGCCAGGCATTTGTCATCCTGCTCCTCCGGCCCCGATCGCCATCATTCAACTTTTACATCGCTCTCACGATTCGGTTTTTACCAGGACGACTAGCATTGGCGGCGGGAGATCAGCAGACTGTCCTTCTATGCACCTGGAAAAGGTATTATTTGCTCTGCGAATGAAGGCAGGACGGCTCACAAAAGCAGGGTTTTCCCACTCCACTGCTGGGATCCGGATGGGTGATTTGCGATGAACCATATCTTGGGCGTCTAAGCCAAGGACGTGGGTGAGTTCCGTGGCCCTACGCTTCTGTAACGGCCAGGAGGCGGCTTGGCGGCGTCGCTGCATCCATCTCCAAATTTAGGAATCGCTGTTTCGGATTCTAGCAAGGGCTGTTGACTCTTTTGTCAATGACACCTTTCCATGAGCAGAAAAGACTATTGTCCCATTCCATCCATCTCAACGGTTTGCGCCGTTCCCTCAGAGGCTCACGCTAGCTGCTGGAAAAGCTAGTGCCCCCCTGAATGCCGCAGAAGGTAGCATCATGTCCACATGCGACTCGCGCGGACGCCAAAAACAGCGAACCAACCAAAGACTTCCTGCCTGGGCTCGGATCTCGAGTGTGCTTTTCTTTGAAAATGAGCATGGACCATCATTCTGCCGGCTCAGGTTCGTTTGGCTTGGGGAGTGTTGCTTTCTTCCTATCTTTCCATGCCGTTTTGCCCGTTCCTCAAGTGGGACAACCTCCGCAGAGACTTCAGAGCTATCATCAGCCAAAGAAATCAAAGCCCACTGTTTAAGCATTCTGTAAAGCCGCCAGCTGCAACCCTGCAGCTGTCGCCAGTACATGAATCACCGCACCTGTACCCTGCAGAACCACTGGCCATCTTGACGGCGCTTAGCCGCCGATCCCCAGATCCATACTTCATAACGGCCGCCAACATACTGGCAGCTAAATCCAACGGTCGACTCCAGTTCCCGTGCATGCAATTGCGGTTTCAACGACTAATAGAAAGGCCTCACTGGAGAAGATCGGGGTTGAGATCTGGTCGTCTTTATGGCCATCTCGTTGTTGACTTGATGGTAAATACCAGATTGCCGAGCTTCTCGGCTTTTTCTTTGTTCTTAGTTTTATTCTTGCTACGTCGCCGCGCCGCCATTGATGGTGTGCGGGCCGCGACCGGTGACGACCCACTCCCTCGGGTTGGGTTGGGTTTTAAGAAGGTTTGGATAAGATGGGACGATGGCACCAGGCCAACGGGACCCGATCCGACCTAGCCGCCGCCGACTGAGCCGATGGCTGGTTGTTTCGGCGATCTGATTATAAGAGAGAGTCATGACATAAAGGCAAGGCACGTACTGTGTATTACAATGAAGGGGGAATTCCCGGGGTTGGTGATGTGGGCTTGAGATGAATGCAGTGCTTTCATGCTCTCTCTGATCGTTCAGTTTCGCCCTGGGTGACTTTATCAGTGATTGATCCTTTGGAAACATGGCATTTATATATTTGTTTCCACATCCAGCCCTTAATTTAGAACCCCAAGGCTGTGCACTTGTTCGCGAGTCAGTCTTCTATTCGAGTTACGACGAACGAGTGGAGCATCCAGACGTCCCTTGCAACTTGCTCTTAACAAAATCCATGATTTCTAGCCTCTGAAACTCAGCTGGATGTCTGCAGACATGCTACTTTTCTGTCTTCCTGATCTGATTACAAGTTTCAAGGCTATTCACGCAGAGTGCGTGAATTCGGCAAAGCCGTCTCTGGTTTTCTGTTCATGATTCCTAGAATAATGCCCCACTCCCGAAGGTCATCAGGATCCGTCGAGATTCTCGGCAGTATAGGAGTTAGTATGCAAGCTTGTAAAGTTAAACTCACTTGATACCCGGGCTCGATTCCCGGCCGGGAAGCTTTCATCTTTACGATGATTTTTAGAGTTGAACTGATCATGGAATATCTCTATCTCTCGAATTACAGTTCGCTTTTGCCCACCCACACTATATTGTGCTCAATATTTGAAATCTGGTGCAAAGTATTCAAACTCCCGCTTTATCTGGCCTTCCTTGCCAGAAACGGAGAATTCAACAGCGTAACACGGCTGTATCAAGTGAAAACAGTCTCAGGCTGACTGTTCATAGACTGCGAGTTGTTTTCACATTCACAAGCTGAGTGTGGCACCGAAACGCTCAATCTTGAGCTCAAAATTGAAAAAAAAAAATTGCCCACAGGCCCTGAGCCTGGGCTCCCTCTGTCTGACCCTCTTGAATTCTGCGGAGGAGTCACGAGAATGAGGACGTAGGGAGAGCAGACCTTGTTGACGAGTTAACTCCAAATCCTGAAGCTTCAGTTCTAGGTAGGTTTCACACTTGGGAAGATGTTTTGCGATTGTCAACGAGGAGTGAACGCGACGATTCCCTCAGGGACTCGGCAATAAAGAGTGTCCCCATCATGACCTTCGCACCATAATTAGCAGTCAATAATCATCCAGCTGCAAATTTCGCTTACACCAGGTGTTAATAACAAGTTCTTAGTTCTCAAGAGTAAGTCTCTGACAATTCCTTCAGAGACAGGATTGTTATCGACATGGACAGAACTCAGCTACCGGGAAGGTTGACCTGAGTAGAACTGGAATTCCAAGCGAATACAAGCCACTTTTCCTCGCTTGAAGAAGTTCGGGATATCTAACTTTACGCTTATAAGATGTAGCCCAGTTAGCCATTTTCCACCCTCACACCTCAAGGGGAATGAATCACAAGTATCTCTGGACGGCATTACTTTACACCTTGGGCGTCCTCCGGAGCTCACTCAGCATGCCGCAAGACTTTATTCAATGTATACTTAAACCCAATAGCATGAAGGGAACCAAATCTCCGTTCAGGACAAGATTTATTGTGTTTATTCAGCTTTACAAAACAAATCCCGGAATGACTCTGGTATCCCCACCCACCCGTAATCCTTAAACCGGCTTGACACCCTGACGCCGTACGTTCCTTGTACTTCAAGAGATGTGTACCCAAAAGCGCCAATATTCACGCTCAAAACACACAGAATGCAAAAGTAAAGATGCCTTCAGACATGCACCAACTTGTTCCAAAGAGCCGTCCAAAAAGCTCAAGGGAAATTGAGCAGCCCAAAACTTTGGATCTGGAAGCCGCAACTCTGGCTGCATCACCGTAACTATTCATGCCATGCCTCAACTCAATCTCCAAAACCAAAAACCATGGAATCAGCACCATGAAGACCATGCCAAACATGCCATACACATACGCAAGCACCAGGATGTTGGCTGTGAAGTTGCCAAACCCCTGGCTTAGTTGGTAGTGATCGGTATGAATGACTGCGTCCTGCGTTCTGAAACTCTATGCTCTTTCCTCGACTCCTCTAGGCGATTCCCTTCTTTCACTGCCATAAAGCATGCTCTTCTTGCCTGGTGTCTAAGTTTGTTGCCATTATCCATTCCTCTACTAGTAGCCACCCATGCCTTCCTTCACCTTTTTTCATGGAGTCCCTCCTCTCCTATCCTCTAAAAGCCGCATGCCAACATGAGGAAAGGCTAATACCTCCTCTCCTCAACTGGAACATTTTCTCCATAAAACCCCCCAGGAATAGTCGGATCCCTCTCCCTGGCCAACCGACACGCCAGGCACGGACCCCCGCCATACACCCTTGTATGCCTGGTCCAGCCATGTCCATTTCCATCCAGCACTGAAATAATCTCTCCCTGGACCTCAATCTCCTGCTGCTGATGGTGATCCTGTTCTTGTTGCTCGGTTTGTTGCGCGGATAGAGACTGGGCTTGTTGCTTCTCCCCCATCTTCTCCCTATCTCCCGACTCCTTGCCCGACGAGGAATCATTCTCCCCCAGTGCATTATTCCCACTCAACGTCACCTCACTACCCGGGATCCGATTACCCTGGGCCAAACTCTCCGCATATACTGTCCTAGTCACAAACTCAATCTCACTCCCATTCCCCGCTACAGGCTTAAATCCCGACGTCAGAGCCGAAGTCCAAACCCCCAAAACTTCCTCTTTTGAAAACCCAATCGGCGCTGTCTTATTATATGACCTCCTCTTCGTCGGCACCCCCGACCCGGACCCCTGCTGCTGTTGCTGTTGCTGTTGTGTCGAAGATCCCTCGCTCACTCCGCTAGCAATACTCTTCACCTCGGCGTCGTCTATACCCTCGGCGTAATCCGGATTCGGCATGCTGAGCAGATCAGAGCCAAAGGTTGGCGGGGCTGATGCCAAGTCGTTAGGGTGACGGTCCACGAGTGATGATAACTCAGACGACGACAGCGGCGGGCCGGGCATGGGGTCCAGTCTAGGCGGGGTGAATGGGAGTGGGGGAGGGGGGCGGATGAAGGGGAATTTGTTAATGTTGAAGGGGAGGGGGATCGCCGTTGATGTTGGTGCTAATGATGGTGAGGCCGACAAGGGCGCTGTTACTGACGCAGGTGTAGGTACGTTATGGGGAAAAGGACGTTGATGTGTAAGTGGAGGAGGAGCTGGAAAACGTGCAGTGGTTGGGATAGTAGCTGTAGTAATGTTCTGCATCAGGTCGGGAGAATAGAACACCGAAGGGGGCTGAGGCGTACTTATACTCGCACGCCCACCTACATGCACGCTTTCAGGTCCGAGGCGGGCCCCAAGACCAGCTAGTTTATTTAACCCTTCGTCCGACCGTTTCAACTCCACCACAACCGCCCTACGTTTACCCGTAATTGTTGCGCGTTGTGAAAGGTTGTGGCCTGCTCTTTTAAGTTGATCCCTATCCGAACAGCTGCCGCTGCCGTTACGTGTGGCAGGCGATGAGTCGCATGGGGAAAAGCCCTTTGTTTCCGTGACACCCAAGAAGCCGGGCGCAAAGCGTGGCTGATCCGCTGCCGCACCAGTCGCACTAGCAGCACGTGATGGTGCCGCTGGCGGAGCTGACGCTGACCCGAGACTCTGGTTCTCGGGAATCTTTTCGTCCAGGGTAGCCATGCTTGGAGATGTCGCTAATCCGAGTCGCAAAACATTTCTCTGGCCAGAGCTCGTGAAAAACACCTTCGTGTAGATTGAATGCCTTCCTTGTTGGACAGTCCCCCTTTCTTCCGAACCAGCCGCAGCATGGGTACCCGGGCTGGCAGCTTGCCAAGTCAAACCGTTCCCGTCGTGCCGTGGTTTCGTGACCCTGGACTTGTCATAGCCTGAGTGGTGCAGAGCCAGACTCGGATTGCGCTTGACGTCAGCAGAGGTGGTAGCCCCGCGAGGTATACCCGATTCTCTTGACCGAGGTGAGCCAGAAGTGGCACCAGCAATAATGATGGAAGTCGAACACCGCGACCAGAGCAGAAACAGGAAGGCAACCGCGCCCGACAGGACAGAGAGAAGCACGAGGGTAGACGTAGCTGGAGGCCTCAGAAAGCCTAAGTGGTTCGTGTACCAGTGCGACGATGATAGAGATAGTACTGGGTTCCCAAAAGGGGAGTCTTCATTGGGGCCGGTACCCCGGCCCGAAAGTGTATTAAGGGTTGGCATGGGAGCAGCTGAAAGTCCCGGTGTCCTTGTAGCACCGCCCCTCCTTGCAAAAACACTAGCTGATTCTTAGGTAAATTAAAACTGTGCCAAGGGCGTGGGTAGTGCTAAGGTATAGTTCCCCTGCTGGAAGCGTCGGCGGGTGTATGAGAAATGTGTGCGTGCGTACGTATTACGTCCGTAAGAGGGGTAGGCAGCGTCCCTATCACTAGGCAAGGGTACTCTGACTCGGTTACTCGACCTTGGGGCCTTGGGAGTCGGGGAAGCTTGACTTCTCAGGGTTGAGGCACAGCCCCCGGGGAATCTGGGTTGGGCTGACGTTCGCTCTCAATTTAGCCACTCACTCGGCCCTGGCTGGGCCAGACGTGGGTTTGATGTTTCGGATTTTGGGGGGAAGGCTAGTGACCGTTAGATGGCTGACGCTGAGAAACCCTGGAGGAACGGTCTTGGCTTCCTGAACACTCATGGAGAGGATCAGAGCGGGACGGTTGTGAGAACACCGTTCGTCATCATTCACCAAGCCGAGTGTTTGCTAACATAGGCATAACAGAACGGTGAATAACCTGACCGCGGCCAAAACCTTGACCAGTGTATGTGAGGGAGGGTGTATATGCCTGGGGGAAGTGACAATTCGGGCAACAAGACGAGAGAGGGAGGGGACTTACATGTTAGACGTAGACAAGCTGCGATCTCGCAGGACCGGTCGGAAGCACGTTTTTGCGCCCGGCAGCCACCAGACACAACTTAGAAGCCTCGGACAGCACGATAAAAGGTCAAAAGCATCGGAACTCGGGAGTTACAACGGGTCCCGGACCCCGAAAGGGGGGGGGGAGGGGGCAGGTCATTGACGACTTATACTCGGGCTCAGGTCCAGGCCCGCGGTGAACCCAAAGCGATCCACCCTGCCGTATGCCCACAAACCTAGATCGTTGTCGCCATCACTTAATCTTAGTACAGGTAGCCATAGTGTTGTGAGAGTATCGGGCCAGTTGCAGAGGAGCAAGCAAGCAAGAGCCCAAGACATTGTTCGACAACACCGAATTCCTGTGGGCCGGGATTCCTAGGGCCAACCTGGAAAGTGGGCATTTGTCCACGCCCCTCTTATTCTCAGCTGCTTAAAGGACAACCCGGGAGAGGCACCCATTCCCAAAATAGGAATGACCAGGCTTAGCAGGCCCGCAGTGGCACCCTCAGCAGTCATGGGGTGTCATGGGCCCTGTGGGCTTGTTGTGTACCTGCTGTAGATCGTTCAAAACTTTCGTTTATAACCTCTTAGCAACGTCCCAACATTTCCGCGGCACATCGCGACTCTGTGATGAACTCATTTCCGAGGACTTGAAACAATTGGAAGAGAAGAAGGTTTTGGGTAGTTCATCCTGCCAGCCGGAGGGACAAGGCTGGCGTTACTCAGCAACAGACAACCTACCATCTCGCGATGTGGTTGGCTGGTACCCAGCAGGATGTACAGGTGGCCGAGCTTGTTTGTGCCCTGTCTGCGAGCGAAGATTAACCTCTGTGGACGGAACGGGGGCTCCTGTGGGACTGCAGCCACACCTCCGACAGCTGTGCTTGGTAGGGTACATGTACCGTACGGATTACAGATCACACACAAGCTGCTTGCTAGCGTAAACCATAGCATCCAAGGCCGTCAACGATTCAAAATATGCAGTGTGCTGCTCAGGCATTATTGGCGCCGTGTTAGCGCGCTGTGGCAGGCAGCTGAACTCTATCGGCAAGCAGCACAACCCAAGGACCATCGCTCTTGGCCCCGAAAAGCGATGGCACTTCCATGACAGCCCAGACACCAGACTCCCAGAGTTTACGCATTTTGACAGCGGAAATTCCATCCATCCATTATCTCGTCGTGCGCTTGGATAGCGGTGGTGGCAATCGCCGAGCGCCAGCTCCAAATCTGGCATAGCTTTTGTGCTTCAGCTCCCACGAGGCTCGTTGGCGCGGACCAGTTGATCCGTGTTGGGAGCGAGGCTGCAACGTCGCCCCGACGTCCCTGATCCCTGCGCTTTCAACGCTTTCCCACGCGTTGGTGTCGCGCTCACCAGCCAGCCTCATGCATGCGGCCGGGCCAATGTGACTAAAGCATGGGGCATTCTCTGGCTCTTTAAAGCACTGTTCCTTTTTGATCGCCGTCAGCAGCCATCAGCATTGTGGCAGGCGAGCGATTGTGACCTGATTCTCTTTTATCCACACGAGCGATGATGGACATTAAAGAAACCGTCGGGGTGTTGCTGAGTCGCTGAAATCAGGCTGCAGTTGGTTGAAGGGACCACGGCTGCAGGGTGCTGCTAAGAGAGAGTATGGGAGCGCGAAGGCTCACAGGCGGATGGTGGGGGGTGACATCCCAGAATGCAACAATCGGATGCAACAGGATGCAACGCGCATGACGGCTTGCAGCGAATCTGGCCTTCAGTAGCTCTAATTGGCTGAGAATGCAGCTGTACGCCATCGCTTCGACTGCCGTTGCTAGCACCGCAACCTGGGAGAGGCACCCGGATCACCAGCAAGGGATCGAAATCGCGGAATTTTTACGACTTTTTCGCTTCATGGTGGAGGACAAGCTAGCAACTCCGCAGCTGAGCCTGCAGTCAATTGGCGAATTCTTGGGCATGCTTCAATGGGATATTTGGTCGAGCTGTTGGCATCATTGGTGCTGAAGGACATAGGGGGAGAAGGGGCGCTTGGAGAGGAGAGGAAGAAGGGCAGCGAGCGGCTCATGCCTGAGGCCTCAGGCTGCAGACTGCAGCTTGACGGTCGCCCATTCCTCGAAGCCATCGCACTATTCATGGCAGCTGAAAGTCGCTGTTAGCGCTCCTCAGCTTGGCTCAAAACAGGCGACTCGCAGGCAGATAAAACCCTGCACTTGCCACACACCGAATTTCACTGACTCTCCTGGTACCCCATTTTGCCCGTCAAGTTGTGCAGTCGCTCTCGCGACGCATCCCCGTGGATCGCAGATCCCCGCGCTCTTCTCTGGGAATGCTCGACCATCCGGATCATCGCAGCTCTTCCGGCTTCCCGAGGGATCCGGGAGGCAGCCATAACTGCGCCCGAGCCCTAAATGACGGAGATAGAGTTGTGTCGAGTGCAACATGGAGCATCGGAGATCACAAATCACGGGGTTGTATGTTGCAACAAAACTATCCTTGGATTCGTACACGAAGAAGTTGGACATGCTGACAGTCAGTGATATTGGCAGGCAAGCAATCTCTCGCATTGCACTGTGGGCCGTTGCACCCCAAACAGCAGCTTCCTCAGCCCTACGGCGGGGCCCACCAACTCAGGCCACCCGCTCCTCGATCCCTGCGTACGTCCCCCGCCGCGGCTGCCCCATCCAGTCACCGTCCGGTCAATGGCGCTCGCTGCAGCGCAACAACAGGGCATTATCGTCCTGGTCCTCGCTTGTCGCTGCCCGGTCACGCCTGTCTGCCGATGCGAGCTACCCACTTCGATCTGCTCACTTACATGTTCTAAATGTCACCTGCAGAACCTTCTCGGATTGCAAGCGCAATACGGGCTGCAGAGCGCAGATTGAGACGAGCTGCATGTCGATCATCATGTTAGACTGCGGCTCTTACGCACTCAAATCTTCTCTCCGACGCAATTTTAACAATTTTTGCCCAGCCGACCTGTTCCCCTCGGCTCAATGGTGGGACTTTGAGGTTTTGACCGCTATTTGCTGGGAGGGGCAAAACGAACAACCACCCTTGCGCAACTCGGATGTGATGATGCTTCTTTCTCCCAGTCTCGAGCTCCTCCGATGCTACGGTGTCTCCCGGTGTCTCCAGCGTAACAGCTGGAACAGAGGCTCGTCGTTTCGAGCTGTGGTTACAGGGCAGTCGAGTATGCAGGTTACAACTGGAGCCATCAAGCGCCAGTGAGGCGACTGCCTGTTCAGCGCGATGGTTGGCTGCTTGCAGCGCACCATTCAGATCTCGCAGCACGCCCAACGCCACGGCTAAGAGCAGGGACACTTGCCACCACCACAGACCAGTGATCTTGGAGCCCTTTCGCTCTCTTCGTGTCTTAACTTCAGCTATTCCTTTTGTCATTTTTGAAGCATCTCGGCGTGCTGAACATCGAATTTTTCGCAGAAAGCTTGCTGAGCCGAGCTGACCATTTTCGCGCTAATGCGGCCCAGTTGTGCCCCATTCTTTGTCGTTGCCCGTCCCGTCTTGCGCCGAGCTGCCTCCCGTGTTCGCCGGTTCGGCCCCTGCTAGGTAGCTTGCCAGCAAGGAGATGACCTGCAGGGATTTCTATGGCTGACATTGTGGCCAGAGAGTTACCGGGTTGAGTTGAAAATGAAGGCATTCAATCGGAGGGTCACTGAGAATCAGATCAGCTGGTGGTCTTGGAGCAAAGGGCGCAGCGAAAACCCTCCTGGTTGTTGCATGAATCGGCAGGTCATCGAGTGATGGAGCTAGGGTCAGCGTTTCCACGCATTCCTTTGCGTCGGGAGCCGCCCGCTCGTCTCTGCTCTAGATCAGATCCGACGGGTTGTTGTGGCTTTGGTCAGGCGGAGTATGGCTAGAGCTGACGAAAGCTTCAACACGAAGCCAACGCCAGCTCTCTCACACAATGTTTGCCATCGATGTGGTATTAGTGCTGAGGACGCAAGTCCGTTTGGCATCAAGAGAAATCGGATGAGACATCTACACAAAGGTATTGCATTCGGTGCTAGTGAATTGGATCACAGTGGCCCTCTATGGTGGCGGTAGCGGCATCCAAGTGGATAAATTGTGCTCTGCGTTGGTAGCTGGCGTCCAACCAGCTCGTCACCAGCGCCAACCAGGTTAACCGCATCAGAGCCTTGACAATGACGATCGCTTAGCAAGGGGTTGCACACGACCCAGTCCTGGGGTTCGGCTTCCCTCGTTTCCGCCCCCATCTTATCATGCAACCGCCACTGAAGCTGGCGATGGCAAGCTGAAATACGCTTCAGCTGACGTGTTAGTTGCTGAGGCGAGTGGTCTTGTCGAGATGGATGGGGAAGCGGTAGGCGAGAGAGCCGAACAGCCGAAACCATCGTGAGAAGACGGTTAAGCTCGCCATCCCGCGGATCGAGAGCGGAAACCACGGAGCGAGCTTGCTTGAGCTTGTCGATCAACTGTTGGCGATCGAGTTTCTGGGTCCGATGCCTACGCACAACTTTGTCGGGCATGCTGTTGTCATCTTGAGGGCTGTGGCGACGCTGGAGAATCGCATCGAATTGACCAGAAGGCCGTTTCATAGCCCAAAGGAAGTCCTGTATGGGCAAGTAGATGTGACGGGTAAGTTTCCCTCTTCATGTCATCATTCTGCATCAGCAGCCGGCCCCTAGTCACACCATCGGAACACAGCCACTCTGCATGAAGAATCTAGGGTTAGCTCAAGTGGAACTTTTACAATTGTATGTGCTGGGCAACCGCCCGCTGTTCTAGGCCGTGAGACGTCAGCTCAAGTGTGGCTGACTGGCGCGCGGGGGAGGTTATGGTTGGCTATGGAACGATAGCCGCCTCGTGGGGTTGCGGATACCATGTGTGCCACTGATGGAGATGTCAGACTTTGAGGAGGAACGGTTGCCAATCGTTCAGTGTTGAGATGCGACTGGGCTCCAATGCTCCAGTCCAAAGAGAGGTAATGTGAGGTTCAGCAAAAAGAGGCCCCGCTTGTGACAACGAGGGGTTGGGTCGATGAGATCTTGGAAAGAGGGGGGGGGGGGAAGTGGATGGTAAGTCGACCGTCAGGCTTACCACAGAGTCCGTGTCAAGGGGATGATGATGGGTCTGGAAAGAGCATCAAAGGCAAGAATGCGCGAGGGACTGGAACCTGGAGCAAAGCAGGCTGTTGAACTCCCTTCTGAAAAACCATCAAGTACAGAATAATACGCATGATAGGTACTCACCTCCCTATCTAAAGAAGTCGTGGATATTCGCTTCTCGTTTATAATCTGTCTCAGAGTAGTTCCAGCTGATTTGGCTAGGCAATGTAGATATTGGTTTGGGCCCTGACTCCTGCTTTCTCGTCAGACGTCTTCGCTGTGCTATCTGCACCTTTCCTAAGCCATTGTATGCATAGCATGCCGATAGCCCATTCGCAAGTGATGGAACCTCAGGCTCACGAAAGCCTTGTCTCTTCAGTCTTCTCAGGTGAATCGTTAGAGTAAGATTAGGGTTGGCATGAGCTTAAACTACATCCGAGAGCCATGAGCGTGACTCCTGCCTAAAAACGGTTATGTTCCCGGTCAGCCTAAAGCCATCATCTCACGAGGACTTCGGGACTGAACCACATCGTCATGCTCTTGTAAGCAAATAGGGCTAACTGTGCAAGGCCCCTCACGCCTTGGTAGTCAACAGAAGGAGACCAAGGTCCATCTAAACCATATGCTGGTATTTGTTGCTTAACACTACGCAACCTAATACGGCTAACTTCCCGCCTGATAGCTCTTGCTAAAGAAACCCAACAACCAAGCAACCATCTTTTGCCGTGCTTTGTCATCGCAGACAGATCATTACCTAACCTAGCTTAACGCAGGATATGTATCTAAGCAAAGGTAGAGAGAGGGTTATGTTAACTGAAGCAAAGTCAAAAATGCCTTAACCAGTTTGCCCTGCGCCAGAACCAATGACATAGTTTATGAAGTTGTTGACAGTCCGTCCATCTCTTGCGGGTGGGCGGGCAAAGATGCAAGAGAAAACAAGCCGGTATAAGAGACAGGAGTAAGGGCTCGGGGTGACGCTACAGAGCCATCGTGTCTGACAACTCTCCCTATATCCCCTGGAACCCAAGCAATAGTTCCAGCCAGCCCTAAGTAGTATAAGGTTGAAGAATTAGACCTCACCTGCTCCATCCATGATCAGCACAGACGAGTATGCCTGCCAAACGTGTAACCCAACTGTGTAACCAGCAAGCCAACTCAACCAACCAAGTCACGACGAACGCACTACTCACTCAGCAATATACTCACCCATCCATCTCTCACAACTTAAACCAAACACAACCCCTCCCTCACGCTCAACCCCTTCACCTCGTCAATGGACTTTCGCACAATCTCAACTCTCGTCCCATCCCAAGTCAGAGGCCCCTACACCCCAACCTGAGCGACCACACTAGCCGCTGGCCCAATCACACCTCCCCCTTGTGTTACTCCCTCGGAGGAAGCCTCCTCTTCCATCATTTTGATGAGTTCCTCCAAGTTCTCGTCTAGCAATTCCTGGTCTTCAGGAGGCAGGCAAGCGCGCAGAAGGTGGCGGTACTTATCGATTTGGGAGCCGGTACCTAGTGCGCCGAGGGCAGAGACGTAGGATTGTTCATGACGGCGTTGGGTTGTTAACAGAATATACAGGTCTTGGGCGAGGGATAGGCGCGTTTGGGGGTCATCGTCTTCCATATGTTCGGTCTGTTTGGAAGGGTCAGAGTCTGAAGACTTTTTCTCGCCGTCAGGGTTCTCGTTTTCTTTGGTTTCCCCGTTCACACCGACCTCCCGCCTAACCCACTCCCTCAGCATAATCCTATTCTGATGCGTCACGTACGCGAGAACCCTCCTCGCCAACTCATCGGCTTCGTGCTCGACCTTTGCCGCACTCTCCTCTGGCTCAAGGCGCGCTTCCAACTCGGCGATGCTTGCCTTTAATGCCTGCAGCTCTGCTTGCGCGTTATTGAGGATCCTCTTTGCCTCACGCTCGGCTTCTTCCTTTTCATTCAACTCAGCGTCGTAGCTTTGTGCGAGATCGCGGATCCGCTGGATGATCAAGGGCTCGATACGTTGGGTGACAGCGTTGGCGGCTTCAGAGCGGAATTTAGGGGGAGGGGTTAACTTTCCAGCTTCAGCGGAGAAGGACCCGCGACGCTGGCCAGCTGAGTCGGGACCAAATGGGCTTGATGAGCGTTGCGCAGCGGCACGGGACTGCGATTGTTGCTTGCTCTTGGCGGCGTTCAATTCCCTAATCAAGTCCTCGGCGCGCACACCCTGGTTGTTGGGGATATCAGTGGCAGCGCCCCGCCCGAGCAGGGCACGAATACACTTCCTGGCATCCTGCATCGCCGCCAAATGCAGCGCCGTATTGCCATCATTATCCTGTGCATCCAGCAAAGCCTGCACCTCGTCGGGGGTGCGCAGCTCTTGCAGCTTGTTGAGAATATTGTCCAGGTAGTACCGCGAGCACGACTGGCTCATAGCGCGGCCACTCTTCATGACCGCCGCATGATGGATGACGGTGCACCCGGAGTTGTCTCTCGCGTCGACTGTGCTGAACAGCTCCTTCATGACGAGCGGAAAAGTCTGCTTCTCGTAGCAATTGGTGAAATGCACGGCGCGCATGAAGGGCGTTTCGCCGCGTACGTTTCGGGCGTCGAGAGAGGCGTTGAAGCGCTTAAGCTGCTTGATCACCTCGACGTCGCCCATGGCAGACGCCCAGTGCAACGCCGTATGCCGATCGGTGTCGATGGGCCAGTCAGGCTGGAAGTTTGGCGGGGGTTCGGGGCGCATGACGTTCTGTTCGTTCCTACTGAGTAAGAAGTAGTCGAGCAGCTCGTCGCCGTACATGGCGTGCTGCTGCTCGGTCAGATCCTGCAGCATCTCCTCGCGCTTGCGCTTGCGATGGCCTGTGGACGCATAATGAGGGGCGGCGTCGTAGCGGTCGTCCTCGGCCATGTACGAGGCCGAGGCTACGGTCAAGTTGTCGGGGGTGTCATCGTCGTTAAGGGCGGACTCGGCGTTGTCATAGTCGTCGTGGGCGTGCGAGGATGCGTGGGCCGACGCACCTTGTTGCGCGTGACGGTGTGAGAATGTCGCCTGGTGCAGGAGACTGGTCGATCGGTTACTATGCGACTTACTGTTCCATTTCGGAACGGCTGGCCGAGACTTGGGCGCCTTCGGCTTGCTGGTATGTCTGGGGGCAGGCGGTGGGCTCTCGGGCCCCGGCTCGAACTCGAAGATGGGGCGCAGTCGCTCGTAGACGTTGTTGCGTTGGGCCAGCAGCTGGCCCTGCTCGAGGGGAATCCAGGTGCCTGGGGAGTCAGCGCTTCTTAGTTTATCGAGGACAGATGGGAGGTTTGCCCACCCTGATACTTTCCGTAACCGCCCTGGACCTTCTCGTGCACGTCCTTCTGCACCTCACGCTCGAGAATGCGGGTTCGGGCGGGCTTGTCGAAGCCAGCTGCCTTCAAGATGTGTGTCGCGTTGATCCAGTCATCCTGGCGGCGGCGCATGACATGTTCTTTGAGGTCGGGGCCGAACTGGAATTCGTAGACGGGAATCTGCAGGGGTCAGTCTTGTTGCGCAGCATTAAACAAAGAGACAAAGACGAAGGCCTGTTGTCAGTGCATACATTGCTGTACGTCGCGCTGTAGATCCCCGTGAGGGGATGGTCGTCGGGCATAATGGGTCCTATGGCGCCCATCTTGGTCGGGTCGAGGGGACAATGTCAAATATAGATGTTGGAGTAGGAAGTAGGAGAGGATATTGAGATTGGCGACGGCGCAAGCCAGCGCAGGTTACAGACTGCGGCGGCACTGTGCAGCAAGAAACACGCACAAGCGCAGACACACAATTGTATCTCCGAGGGACGAATGGATGAAGAGGAGGAAGGGAGGGAGGAAGAGGGATGCGAACAATGTCACTGTCAGTCGACTTGATGGCCTTTTGGTTGAGGTCGGTCAGTTCGCACGGATGACTCCAACGCGAGAGGTTGCGGCTGTGGGCCAGGCAGGCAAAGGGCAGGACAGAGGAATCGCGAAAAAGACGCGGTCTGCTCTGAAACGTGGGGAATCTGCTAGGCGCTGTACGCGCGACGCGCCGCTCCTGATGACGCTTGTCACGTGAGTGTACGTGCACAGACCAATTACTTAATCAGGCTCAAGACCCTCGTCGGCAGCATCATTAGGGTTAAGGTGTTCTGAGACATCAAGGACAGCAGAATGAGGACGTGGAGATGCTGACATGCTAGAATCTGGATGCAAAATAACATAGTTTGATGATGTATTGATATGCAATTTCTAAATATTCGTAATTTTCTTCGAACTCAAAATTCCGTCGGGATGATGGCGAGTGTCCAACTACTCCTCGACTCAGGGACATCGATGACGTATTGGTACTCCTCGACCACTGCCAACCCACTCATTCAATTTTTAGCCTAAACGACATCAACGCACCGCTCTCACTTGAAACACGATAATAACAATGTCCGTACTCCAAGATGGCAGCCAAAGTATTGTTCCAATCCCCTGAGCCTATCACCGAGGCCCCATCCTCAAAAATGCAATCCCCTTCATTGCCAGAATCTCTTCCACACACCCCCCAAAACGGCATCCCCATCGCCGCTCGACGATCTCTCGAAGATGAGCTTCGCTCCCTACCCAAAGGTTGGGTGCGCGAGTTCGACCCTCAGTCCCAACACCAATTCTTTGTCGACACAAACTCTTCCCCGGTAAGGGCAATTTGGCATCATCCTTACGACGATGAGGCCTTTCTGAACTCGCTAGAGGCAGAAGAGTTGGAGAGAGTCAAGATGGAGGGGCTGAGCGCTGCTGTGGGGGAGGGAACGAAAGTTTGTGTGGAGGATTTGATCGCCGAAGAAAGCGATGAGGAAGAGGGACAGGAACAGACCCCCCCTCCATCTCCAGGGAAGGGTGACAAGCAGCGGAGACGGTCTTCAACTTGCAAACTTAAGGATCTGCTCACTGGAACTTCTCACACCGAACGACAAAGTCAAAGGGCACACCGATCAGCCTTAGAACACACCCTCTACTCCCTGCACCGCACCCTCCGCCGCGCCATGTCCCACACCATGATCACCACCCACCCATTTTTACTGTCTCGCGACGCAAACCGCACACATATGTACCTTGAACCCCCGGGGCACACGTTCCCGGGCGTCATTTCCACACGCCGCATCAACCCCTATTTCACGGAGATCCTTTACGACAGGGAGTATGGACGGAAGGCAGAGAAAAGTGGACGGTTTTTTCGGCCCGAGGGGGAGATGTATGGGGAAGGGTATGGAGCGTTCGGGTGTGGAAAGTTTGCTGGGGGTAGATGGGATCGACCTGAGGGGGTGTATAGGAGGTTTGAGGGGAAGGGGTTTGGTGGGGGGTTGGGGTGGCCGTTAAAGAGGTTCTTGAGGGGGGAGGAGGTGATAGGGTTGGAGTAGCCGTTAGGGAGATATTAGAGTTGTTGGATGTGTGAACTGGGGTAGTGTTAGAGGTTGTTGGCAATATATTAGGATGTGCTCGTTTTGGACTGGAGTTGGTCTGCTGAGGATATTGGAGTCCAGCGTTAAGTTCAATGTTTGTTGTCAGGTTTCGAGTTTTATTGATGGTTTGACATTGAGTGTTGAAGTGTAAATACTTTTTTGACGACCAAGAAGGTTCAAAACAGCATCAATTTGATTTGTTGAAGGGGTTGCATACCAGAGTGTGTGCTGAGGTTATGAAGTGGGTTCTTTGTTTCAAGGAAATATTCAAAACAAAAGTAGGTAAGTCCTACCAAGATTAACAAAATCACTGATGCTAACTCACACGTAAACTCCCAGATAAGATCCAATCGTTAATTTGCCAAAGATATGTGATAACAGCTTCAGTCCTTGAAGATTTCGCATGCGTTTCTCTTGAGTGTTCCCCACTTGCTGCAGCGCACTTGGGATAAAGTCTCTTAACTTGAAACTTCAATATCCTCAGAACTCACTTCTGACAGCCAACACCCACTCAATCGACTTACCATACTTGGATTTTTATGGGCTCAACATTGTCTCAGCCTCAAGTGTTGTTTGTGCTACGCCCGGTGTTTTGCCCCCACCCACAATAGAACTTTGTTCACTTGGAGGCGACACGAGACAATAAAACTCAAAGCTGCACAATAATCGACGCTGCTTACTTGAGGATTTGGTCACGCTATTTCCATGCTACTATTCATCCATTCTTTGCCTCAAAAGTTAGAGTCCCTGCGCCCCTGAATAACGAGATAGACCTTCATAGTTTAAAGAAACGTATACCACTACTCCAGCAATTTCCAGATCGTTTCGCGCAAACTGACCAGTATCGATGCTGACCAAAGGTCAACAGTCAGTCACCAGGCCTCCCATCGCAACATGAAGTTCCTCGGTAGCCGGCGGGCGCAACCTGAAATCCATCTACCACACCATCGTCGCGCACCCTTTGAAGAACCCCGAGATCAAGAACCCACCCTTACCAACGCCTGGGTCATCATGACCTGCGCGATCGGTTCAGAGGCCTCATCTTCATGCGTTTCTTCAAGCACAACAACGCTGACCACTGGTCACGCGTCTCCCTCTTCACTACTGCCGACCTCAAAATCGCCGGCGAGCCCTTCTAGGAGTTCTTCGTCGTCAAGAAGCTACACGGCGTCTACGAGCCGGAGAATTCTGTTGACCCGAACTAACCTATCCCCCCTAACATCAACATCGAGTGGCACATAGACCCAGATTCGAACCCGGACCTCGCCCGCGGCCCGTTCCAGCACAATCTCCAGAAGCTACTGGCTGTGCAGATCCATCGCTTAGGCACACCGGACGATCAGTCCTTCCGCCATATTAGTAGAAGGGCTGGCGAAGCCACCCGCACTGATCGCAATGAAACAAAGTCCATGCGACGCTCTACATGCGCTACAGAAACGGCGGCTCGCTGATGAATATGGCCCAAGCCTACTGCGAACACAACAAATTCGACATCAACAACCCCAACGAGCTTGCCGACTGCGGTCGCGAAGTCCTTCACAGCAGCCTGATCTACTACTTTATTCGCGCGATTCTACGAGGGTTGGCTGTCTTGCACGAAGGGTACGTCTCGGACTCGAACTTCGCACAGCATAATGAAGGCGATATCACCCGGCCGGAATTGATGAACGGCAACATGTACAGCCTCCAACAACTCCAGGCTCTCTATGACCGTCTCCTCCCGCCCGCCTCCCGCTTCACGCAAGGGAACTTAACACTCCCAGTCAACCTCTGTAAGCAAACCCTTATCTGGGACCCGATCATGCACACCGACCTGCACGCCTGCAACATCCAGGGTCACTACTCAATCGCAACTGACAAGTACCTCGACCCGGACACTTTCAGCCCCTGAAACGCGAGGTCCTTTCCGCAAAACTTCATCACTGACCTTGGCATGTCGACCCGCCTCCCCGACCGCAAGGATAAAGCATGCATCATGATCGACCCGTCCCAGGGCCGCCACGACCGCAACATGAACGACTGCCCCGAAGCCTGGACGCACGACGACAAGGGTAATTTCAGCAGCAACATCAAGCAGCTCATCGCCGCAGCTCTTCCGCACACCCGCTGCAACTACTTTGGCGACCCGGCCCTAGAACACCAGCAGGCCCAGCGAGAGGGGTACTACCATGCGCGATGGTTCGACAAGAATTCGCAGATGCTGAACAGGATTGGTCTTGACGACCAGCTGCGCAAACACATCGTCAAAGTACGGCAATGTCACCGAGATTACCGAGCAAAGCTCACCCCGACCGGGACGTCTTATGTCGGTTGCTCGCGGCGACAGATTGGAACACATTTTGCGAATGGTCGTCGAACAACTGGACGTATGGGACACTGCTCAACAAGGTGGAGTGCGAGGCGGCGAGGTACGAGGGGTTGCCGGAGGACGGGGAGGACAGGGAGGATGGTAGGCTTGATATTAATTGGGCGAGGCCGCAGCTTGTGTTAATGCCTTTATGTGCCACGAAGAGAGACGCGAGCACGACGGAGAGGGATTGGATGGCGGTGAATGAGGAGTTGAATGGGTATATTAAGGATCATTTCCGGGATTAGAAGCCGGGCACTGCTAAGATAAGGAAGGTGACCATGACGGGGGGCGCTGCGGATACGGATGTGCCTACAATTGGGCATGTTTGGGAGTTGCCCGGACAAAATTCGTCGAGACGGAACGATGCTCCCAGTAAATTGGAAGGTCGAAGCATAGGAGCAAGTCTTGCGGTTAGTTTTCGTTCTTAGAGAGAAACGCGAGGCCGAGGGTCTGGGCGTGGTGAGAACCAAGAGGGAGTCATGATCTCTTGCGTACGCCCAGGTTTGCAAAATATTTTGAGGACGTCTAAATCATTATGCGTTCCACACTTCGGTCGAAAGATTAAAAGGTCGAGACCGATGCAAAAAACAATGCCTACTACAGGAATCGAACCTGTGATCTTTGCATTTGTAAGGAGTTAGTACAAGTGCAACGCATTAGCCACTATGCTAAGCAGGCCCGTCAGCTGTCTTTTAAGGTAAGGAATCAACTTTGTAAAGCTGTTGTACCCACTGTTTGTCCAGATGGTTTCCCTGCCCTTGACTTGGTTGTCCTTGATTCGTTGACTGGGTACGAACATGAGAACAACACTCGAAAAGTTGTTCTCATTGGCTGAGTATGTGGTAAAGCCTGGAATCCAAGCGCTGAGCGAAGACGTTTGACATGTTGTGGGTATGGTCTGGTGACTGGGTCCGGAAATCGTCACCCCGACTTCAGTTTGTCCCCGCAAAATCTATCGCCCATTGTTGTTGATGCTTCTCAGCTCCACATATTTCATAGGAGGGGACACATCTCAATGTGATTGAGAATGCCGAGTGGAAACTAAGCTTATGAAAGGTGGTTCTATTCCGCCCCACACTTTACCCGGCAGCTTGGATCACTATGCGGTGAAGATCTGGGGGAGATGATAATCTGCAGACCACATGTTGTTCATGCTTTGAGCATTGCAGCCTCTCACTGACAATTTGAGAAACTTGACCTGACGATGGTTACATGCGATTGGAGTTGTCAGATACCTCAGTCCTATGTTAATTCAGACTCGATAGCAACGTCAAGGGCATGCACAAGAGATCCAGTTTCGTCGTATGCCAATTACTTAGAAGTTGTCTTTTCGATTGGACTCGACACCCCTCCCCATATCACATCAATTTCCCATAACAACGCCTTATTGCATCAGATCTAGCCTCTGACATTGCCTTTGTTCCCATCTGGGGCCATCAGGGCGGATGGTTCCCAGAAATGTATTCCAAGAACATAAGCCTCTAGTTGGAGACCACAAGCCTGAAAGCCGTTTCTAGAGAAGGACTTGGATCTTGATATCAAAAAAGCTGAGAATGCTGCCGCTTCCAGAAATCCCTCTATACCATCACGTCTATGTAACCCATCAATGCCCGATCCGTGACAGGCACGACATCTTCGTGCGCAGCACCACGGCGTTGGATGCGCAGGAATTTGAGTTGCCTATGCCGTGGAGGGAAGAACAGACACACTGAGCGCTCGGGAACGTTATCCGCGTTCACCTGTTGGCAGTAGTCAACATGGTCTAGATACGTTCTCCGCATACTAGCTCGCCTTAGCTTCCTACAGTCCCACAACCCTTCACCGGCAATTCCACTCAGCAGTTAGAGCAGTCTCGCTACTATAGATGATATTTACACGTCTCAACATGTACAGCGTGTTTCCTCTTGTTGTTGACAGTATCTCGACTCCCACCGCCCAGTTACATCAGAGGGTACGCTGAACGCAGCCATGGCCTCAGAAACTCCGTGGTTTACCAAGACCTTCCTTGCATCGATCTTCCTCGGCATTGGAGGGTTTCTTTATGGCTAGTATGTGCTTTTATTATGGTTAAAATGGCCAAGACAGATTCATTAATTTACTCTCCAGTGACTCCGGCATCATCACACCGAGCTTGGCCCTGAACTCATTCATGAGCTACTTCGATAAACCAAATGCGCCGCTCCGGGGTGCCATTGTATCGCTCTACCAAGCTGGAGGCAGGTTACCCTAACCCTGGATGCATAATGCATACGGTTGAGTCCATAGAAATTGCTAACCTTGATAAAGCTTGGCTGGGTAGCGCATCAGTCGGTATCACGAGCGATTGGTTTGGTCGGCGCAAGGCCATTGCCTTTGGCTGCGCGTGGGGCGTTCTTGGAGGTGCTCTGATGGCAGGTGCTGCCCATGTTTCTATGCGTATGTGACCCAGCTCTCCTCGATGTCTCGGTACCCAACTGACTGTTCCAGTTATCATTGGTCGTCTATTTATCGGTTATGCTGTTGGAACCATCACCGGCGTTGCTCCTGTCTATGGCGCCGAGATCGCAAAGGTGAGCTTGTCAACCATAAAAGAGCCTTAAAGCCATGCCGAAGGACGTTGTGTTGACTTGCCTTGACAGACATACGAACGTGGTCGCATCACGGCAACCAACCAGATGAGTGAGTCTAATTCGAGGATACAGAGGAGTATACAGGCTAACTGTGACTAGTGGTCGCCTGGGGCTTCTTCGTTGCTCTTTGGACCGGCGTGGGCGAAGGAAAATGGCACAATGACAACCAATGGCGCCTTGGCTTCGCGATTCAAGCCATTCCCGCCCTTCTGCTTGGTGTGGGCGTGCTCTTCCTTAACGAGTCTCCCAGGTGGCTGCTAATGAAAGGCTTTCGGGAGGAAGCTGAGAAGAGTTTTTGGGGTTGGCATTACAACGGCTCCAACGATGAGTGGTGCAAGATCGAGTTTGCCCGCATCCAGACCAGTATAACCGAGGAGATCGAGGCCCAGCACCGTCTTACATGGGTTGACCTCATCCGCACCGGCCCCTTCCGCAGACGTCTGTTCGTCGGGTCCTTTGTCTGGGCCGCCGCCATGCTCTCTGGCATCAGCTTCGTCCAGTACTACCAGACTGCCATCTACTCCACGCTGCGATTTGACGAGGATCGCCAGCTCCTGGTCAGTGGACTTTACGGCTGCGTGGCTCCGATTGCTTGCATTATCTCCCTGTTCTTCGTCGACCGTATCGGCCGCAAAAAGATTCTGGTCAGCAGTTCTGGCCTGCTGTCTATCCTCTACATGATCATCACAATTCTCGCAGCCAAGTTCCCAGCCCTCCCTGGCCTGCCTACAAATGAGGACGCCCAGCGTGCCCTTATCGCCTGCATCTTCATGGTCTCGGCTAACTACTCCGCCCTCCTGGGCCCCATGACCTGGATTATTCCGTATGTATCCTCAGTGTGTGTTGAGATTTGATGGATGCTGACTAGAAGTACAGTCCTGAGGTCTTCACCACCGAGCTCCGTGCAAAGGCAAACGCTGTTGTCCAAGTCATTCATTATTCGATCAGTCTCATCATCACCCAATGTTCACCTATTGCTCTCGAGCGTGTGGGTTGGAAGTACTATGTGAGTAGCCAGCTTTGCCAACTGGGGATATTTAGCTCGCTAACACCGCCAGATCCTGTTTATCCTCACCAACTTCCTCTGTGCCATCGTCTTCGCTATATTCTACCCGGAAACTAAAGGTATGACGTTTCGCTTCCTCATGTCAAGCGAGCAATCGAGACTAACGACATGCAGGCAAATCCCTCGAGGAAATCGATGAGATCTTTGGTGACATCGAAAAGAAGCGCGACATTGAGGTTCAAAACGTTGAGGTTAAGGACAGTGCCTGAATCGGTTGTTATGTGCCAGCCACGCTTGACGATTCATAAGTCAAGCATGAAGAAGTGATGACACATAAGTTCGCAATTCAGAATCCTACGGTGCAAAAGACGACATGATGATAACCAAAAAGGGACGGTTTTACTGTTTTCATGGTATTTTGGATCTCCGAGCAGATGATGATACTGCAGGCTATATCGTAATAATACTTGACTTGTCTGAGAGAATGAGCAGGGATACAATGATCAAAGTCCCAAAACAGCTAAATGACAGGCTTATCATCGACATGAGAAGATGACGCAGCCTGCCTCTACTGCCCTGCTTATCTTGGTCGTTCAAAACGCTTGCCGTTGGATCGTGTGGCACTGTGTATGCAGAATGAATGTTAAACGTCCACGAATGCCAAGGCTGGAGGGCCCATGTAACGCGACAAGCAAGGGAACAGACTCCAATGCATACTTGCGCAGCAAGCTTGCGTAAGCAGTCGAACCACCTCAATCTCATAGAGCATGATTTTTGCAGGAGGCATCCAACGCTCTGGGAGACTTATCTTGCTCTCTGATAGTCTTGAGTGCAGAAACAGACTATTTGCAAGGTTGAGAAGAATTCCTCGACATCGATAAGAGAGCATTCAATCTAGACAACGGAATTTGGCGGCCCATGAACTTTCCTGATCAGTGGTGACAAGAACGATCATTGTCTCTGTCTAGAAGTCGAGGCTCTTAACCATGAAACGTTACATATTGTTAGTGAGTGGATTGGAAGGAGGACTTATGGGTCGCTCTTGGAATAGCAGCAATGCTCAAGATTTGAAGTTGGCTGGAACGGCGGTTCTACTTATTGCTTGGGTTGCATACATCGTCTTTGACCGCGTGAAACAGTATTTGGTAAGACAAATCCGTGCTAGTACTCGGTAAGGTGCCTAACATAAGCTAGGTTGAGTCCAAGTTTGGCAGTAAGCATCGCTGCCAACTTCCCCCAGAACTGCCAAAGCGATGGCCCCTCGGCATCGACCGCATTAAGGAATTCTGGCAGGCCAATGCAGATGGCCGGCTTCTTGCCTTCCTTGCTTCCATCGCAGAGAACTATCAGCCAGGGAACAACTGGTGTCAACACTTCCTGTTCGGCCCACGAGCATATCATGTATTGCACCCCAGCAATGTCCAGGTGGTCCTGTCGACGAACTTCACAGACTACGGATTTGGGACTCGCCGATCTGTCTTTGCTCCTCTCCTCGGCAATGGCATTTTCACACAGGAAGGACGTGAATGGAAGCACTCGAGGGAGCTGCTCCGGAAACAGTTCATTCGCGCCCAGTATCAAAACTTTCGTCACTTCCATGAACATGTCCATAATCTCATACAATGCCTGCCAGAAAATGGTGATGTTGATCTCCAACCACTTTTCTTCAAGTTGACGCTGGATGTGGCTACCGACTTCCTATTTGGACGGTCTGTTTACACTTTGAAGGCTGGTGCAGACCAGGAAGACAGAAATCGGGTCTTTGCAGAGAGCTTTGAAGTGGCTCAAGATGGGCTTGTAAAACGCTACCGGCTTGCCCCGTTTCACTTTCTTTACAACCCACCCGCGTTTCGAAAAGCATGCCGAAGTGTTCATCAGTTCGTCGAAGAATACATTCGAGAATCTGGGGTGATGCAAAGGGACGGAGCTGAAGATTCCAAGGAGAAAACCTCTTCCAGCTGGTTCACGCAGCAAATTGCGAAAAACTCGGCTGACGAGCGTGAATTGCGAGATCAATTATTGAACCTCTTGCTTGCTGGTCGAGACACGACTGCCTGCTGTCTGTCCTGGACGTTGTAAGACGAGTAACAGGTGTCCTTCGAAAAGAGTGTGATGCTAACAGTATCAGCCGCCTGTTGGTACGCCATCCAAAAGTGATGGAGAGATTGCGCAAAGAGATTCGGAATGTCATGGGAGAAGAGACAACACCAACTAGGGACCTGATCAGGCGCATGCCGTTTCTATCTTGCGTTATCAAGGAGAGCCTCCGCCTCTACCCCTCAGTCCCTCTGAACATACGTGAGGCCATCAAGACAACAATTCTCCCAACGGGTGGTGGCCCAGATGGCACAAGCCCGATTTTGGTCCGGAAGGGTGAGATCGTTGTGCTCTCCCCGTATGTGAGTGCGCGGATGACAAGCCTGTTTGGACCAGACGCAGAGTGCTTTCGGCCCGAACGATGGGAAACAGGCGAGCTTGAAAAGATCGGATGGGCATATTTTCCCTTCAATGGAGGTCCTCGGCAATGTCTAGGAGAAGACTTCGCCATAATGGAGGTATCTTACACAACCGTGAGGTTGCTCCAGACATTTTCTGAAATCAAGCTGCCAGAGGGAGAGCCCAACGAGCCAGTTGGGACGGAAAAGCAAAGATTGACGTTGGTTTTGTCAAGTGCCGACGGATGCAGGGTGACTGTTCGCCGGAAGCAGCATTCTGGATTCATCATGTAGACAATGAGGTGGGGGCGTCTTGTCACCAAAGGGATTTCGTCAAACTAGGTGAGATATCTCCAATCAGGGCTCGGTTGTATGATCGTCTGGTGCTCTTCTCTTCCTAACTCAGTTGTTACTGCTTATTACCACCAAACCTTAGCAGCCCATTGCTACAAGGTCTTCCTCCTTCTGACTTTGTTCTTTTTCTGTTGAAAGTCTCTCTGTTGAGGTTTAAAATGCTTCAGGAACTACTTGTGATTTATACCACACAATGATTGTACGCTATATTCGCTCAGGGCTACATAATCTCATATCGAGACGGGTATCAATTGCTACCTTCCTAACCTTGCTCATACACAGAACAAGAATGTGCCCAAACTACCTACTCGATGTGACATGAAACTGCAAGAACGGAAACGGAAGCTAAACTGAGGAGAGATGTCCTACTCTTGAGAAAGCTGCCCTAGCTCAAGCATGTGTCTCAACAACTAGTAGAACATACCGCTGTTCTCCCGACTCATGCTTGCAGTCCTGCTTCTGCGATGCTCAGCAACGACAACAGGATCCCAAACAGCCGTAAAGATGTCTTCTAACTCATCCTCATCATCTGAATCGAACACGATTATGCTGTCTGAATCATCTTCGCCATTATGACCGGACTTCTTTTCATGCGGCAGCATAATCTCATTACTCTCCTCGATGTCCTCCCAGCTGTGAAAGCCAATGACCCTTCGTGTCTCCAGGATAAACTTGCCAACCTTGTATTTTTGTCGTTCGTCTTGAGCATCAATATACTTCCAGCCAACGACAGTACCACACCCGGCGCAACTGATGTCTGCAACGGTGTGCATGCCAGTAACGAGCTGTCGTTCTTCGTGTTTGCCGACAGTGATATTGACAAGGTTGCGGTCTACGGATTGGTATCCTTGATTGAAAGCATTTGATGAAGAAGAGGAACTGTCCACACTACCTCTGCCATCGCTGTTACTGCCGGTATTGCCACTGCTGCTACTTCGGGAGCTAATCTGGGATCGCTTCACAGAAGGAGGGGGAGGGGCGACGAGGTATGCACGGCCATGGCGACCTACGAAGCTCTTGCTGACGATTTGAGAGTGAAAGGCAAGGTCGGCGGCACAGGACCGGCAACGGAGGGTGGTTGGGTGCGTACGCGATAATCGGCGGCCAGAAAATCCCGGGGTCCGCGGAGAGACGGGGGAAGATGGGCTGCCAGCCGGGGAGTTGGAAACCGATAGGGCAGGGACTGAGGAAAACGATGATGAAGATGGGGAGGAAGGTGAGGAGTCTGAGGACGAAAGGGTACCTGAAAAGCTTGCCGCACGTGGGGATCTTGATGGAGATGTCGCTCGACGCCGACGGAAGGGCAGGTGAAGAGAAGGGAGCAGGTAGACTGGAAAAGAGAGAGAGCTAAGAGCCGGCTTCTCCGAAGCGCTACTATCGGAAGGACGGCGCAAGGAAATGAGCTCTCCGAACATCGTCATGGCGGCTAACTAAACGCGGAATGCAGGGGTACGGCGTGGTCGCTATCGGACTTTTCAGACAAGGAGCAGATGATATCTTTGAGTGGTTGTCGATTCGAGTTGATGGATCGCTCGTTGGATCAAGGTATGGGAATGCGATGTGCAGAGACCAGGAGATCGGCGAACCTCGCGATGTTGACATCAAGCATGGCGACAGGTTGGGCCAAGAGCGGACGAAACAAATGGAAGCTGGGAACAGTCTGAGGCACTTGTCCAAGCTTCTAGTTCCCGCTGGTCGAACACTTGATCATGACGCAATGATGTGATTTGTTATTGCCCAGGAGCAGCTGACCTATCCACTAAAGCCCCGCATGGCAGCCCAAGCTTATCGATAACAAAGAGGAGACTGGCATGTGGGTCCATCCTGCCGAGTCCCCGGAATGAATCCACTGACTCCACCAAAAGACTCCCAAAGGGTCAACCAGAACCACGACTCCGATTCCCACCTTCAAGAGATCAAAAAAAAAAAAAAAAGAAGCAGTGGCTCCAATGCAAGTTTTGTGCTATTAAGCGCTCCATCTTCGAATTAAAGGCCAGAGAATAAGAGGTGGCTGAGGCTGTCTAGCGTCAGGAACGGGCTTCGACCAGAAGCTGAAAATTAGCGTCCAATCATCGAAGACAGTCAGGCACAAGTCCTTCCATATGCACTGTTGGACCGGGTAAAGCCACTTGTGAACACTTCCTTCAATTGATACTCTTTGCCACTAGCTTGCGATCCGACAGAATAAGAAGTGTTTTCGAGCCTTCTGTAGTACGACACGTAACTCAGCATTGGAAAACCAATCTTGTCGGCTTCATGATGCCCCACACTGTTCGTTCAGGTTTCCATGCTGGCACGTGACCTCGTCCCAATCCTGGGGGACAGCGCCAAGATCTCCCACCTGATGTGCCAGGAATTGCTCGCTTTTCTATATCTTTTGCTGACACCTTCACTTATCTTTGTGCCTCACCGAAACTTCTCGACCCAACAATCGCCCCACCACATCTCAGTATTGTTGCCGCTATCCTTCGCGAAAAGCGTACAAAACGCCGTCACCAACCAACTCAATAACCGCTCGGAACATCAGGCCTCTCGCGCATCATCGCTGCCCGACTCCACGTTACCTCCCCAGCTTCGATTTTTCTTCCTATTTGTTCGTGCGAGTAGCAACCCTGGCCTCTCGCAATCATGGCGCCCATGAAACAGACAGAATACAATCATCATAGTAGTAATTATGGCGAGGACATTGATCGCCAGGTCAATATCCTCGCCAGCTGCTACGTCGTCGACTCTCGCACTGCCGATCTGAAAGGCTTCCATTACTGCACGACGGATCTCGCAGGAGCCGAGTGGTATTCCTGAGGTCCCTTCGACGGGACTTCCATCGCCGCCATCAAGTCCCCCCCTCGCGGCACTAACGGCGACCAACGAGCTCGCGCTGGCTCCCAAGACGTCTGCTAAGCGTAACAGCAATGGCAGTCTTGGTGGCAACAGCAACGTCACAAATGGTCGCGGTTCGGGCGCCGTCGGCGGCACGTCGATTGATTTGGACGCCTGGCATCGCCGGCGAGGGGGGGCAGCACTGCGCATCAGGGAAGAATGTGAGAGGTTCTTCTGTGAGACGCTGCGTGCCGTGTTTCTGGGTGAGAGGAACTCGGCTCCGCAGATCTCCAGCCTGACCGGTGCTCATAATAACGGCAACCATGCCAACCGCAATCGTGTCGTCATTAACAACAGTTCTGAGCGTTTAACAGCGAGAGTAAACGGCTCCGGCGTGACCAACGGCTCTAGCGTTACCAATAATCGGAACGATCGTTCTCATGTCAGCTGCTGGCTTGAAATTTGGGATTACTCCGGTGGCTCCAGCTTCCGTGGCTTCGTAGGAGAGGATCCCCAGTCATCTGCCAGGACCTTGTTTATCTTTCTCGACTCCCAGAGACCCCGTCGTGATTTCAAGCAGGCGTAAGTCCCCCCATGCACCACGGCATACAAGTTCACGCCACTGACTTTATATCTGCAGGCTCGTCGCGTTGATAGAGCTGGGCGAAGGTCCTCTTGCCTGTTCCTACGGAGTCATTTGCGTCGAGAGATCTACGCCGGATGAAGAAAGAGACTCGTTGATTAATGGCCTTCAGTGGGCGGGCTTCTCGCTGTCGACTCTCGACCTCTGGTCCAACGGACCTGACAAGATCAGCAAACGATGGTTATTCTTGACAACGGAGTTATAGGCTGGATGACATTTGGTACGTTCAGTGTGGGTTTGTTTGTTTGCTTCTCGGACAACAACGGATAAAGGCAGGAGGCTTCTGAGTCCTGGGATACAACTTGAACTTTTGCGTCTTCTGGTTTTCCTTTTCATCGTATTTCTTAGTTGCACTTGAAAGACCTATGTCGGTGTATTGCAAAGAATGAGCGCTTTGCCCTTTGAAGTCCTTGTCAAGCACACTGAATCATCTAGGTGTTATGTACTACTATTCAATCATAACTCTCCCTCGTGCTTACGAACAGTGAGGCCTTTCTGGGCCAGGTATTCCTTCACTTGCTGCACAGTGTACTCGCCGCGATGGAACATGCCTGCCCCCAGGGCAGCGTCGGTGGTTGTTTTTTGAAAGACCTCGAGGAAGTGGCCCGGGTTGCCGGCGCCACTGCTGGCGATCACAGGGATCTTAATGAACGACTTGACGTGGTTGATGAGCTCCAGGTCGAACCCACTGTTGGTGCCATCTTTGTCGATGCAATTGAGCAGGATCTCTCCAGCCCCCATAGCCTCAACAGCTTGGGTGAGCTGCACCACGTCAAAGTCCCTGGTCTCGCGCCCGCCCTTGATGGTGCAGGCATACCAGCAGTACTCCTCACCGTTGGGACCCAGGAACTTGGTTTTGATGGTGGCATGGGCAGTGGCGTCTGGGCTTGAGACGTACACCCGCTTGGGATCCACGCTAACAACCACAGCCTGGTTCCCGTAGGCCTTGCTGATGGTCTCAATGGCAGTCTTGCCGTCCAGAACCTTGCCCCGCTTGTAGTACTCCTCAGCAGCAATGACCGCATCACTGCCAATCGACACCTTATCGGCGCCGCTCTTGAAGTACATGGTGGCGATGTCCAAAGCAGACACCTTTGTCCCATCGACATCGACCGTATCGCGGATACCGCCGCCTATTGTCAACGGAACAAACACAGTCTCGGATGTCCTCCGCAAGATCTCCAGCATGGGGAGATCCTTGACCGGGATGTCACGGAACGAAGTGATGTTGAGGAAGGTCACCTCGTCAGCGCCCTGCTCATAATACCTCTTGGCCATATCGACCGGCTTGCCGAGATTGCGGACGGACCGGTCAGCGGACTTCTCGCGAACGTCGTACTGGTCACCCTTGGTGACGACAAGATCGCCCTGATCGTTGGTACGGACGTCCAAGCACGCGATCACTCTCCTGGTCAGACCCTCCTGGGAAATCAGCTCGTCCGACACCTCGTTGATATTTGTTGGCGGCTTTTCAGCCAGGTCTTTGGCGCCCGAGCCGTCTAAGAATGCCCGGATAACTCTTAGACCAGCAACACCACTTTTCTCGGGATGGAATTGTGTAGCAAAGATGTTCCCCTTGGCCAAGGCGCCAATAAATGTCTCGCACCCGTATGTGCCTGTTGCAACAGCCCACCCCAGGCTTTCCAGCTCGCCTTTTCTGTAGGGGTACTTGTACGAGTGGACGTAATAGTATTTGGAGTCAGGTCTCAGGCCGTAAAGGTCTGGTTTCGCCGGGCATGTCGCATTGTTCCAGCCGATGTGCGGCACCGCTTTTGCTGAGTCGTCGAAGCGATTGAGTGCTCCTGGAATAATGCCGAGGCCGGGACACGAAGGATCTTCGGCCGAGTTGGAGAACAGTGCTTGCAGGCCGACACAGATGCCCATGAAAGGCTTTCCGGCGTCGATGTGGGCACGAATGGCGGGGAGGTACCCAGCTGACGAGAGCTGGGAAAGGCAGTGGCCGAAGTGGCCGACACCGGGGAGGATCAGTTTCTAGCAGAGAAAATCAGTTAACTTCGCTAGTGGTTAAGACAAGGCTGGCATATGTTGCTCACCTCTGCATTGGCGACCTCCTCTGGTGTTCGAACCCACTCAACCTCATACCCGACCTTCTCAATGGCGTTGACCAGGCTGCGGACGTTGCCGGCGACGTAATCGAGAAGGTGGACCTTGGGCATAATGTTGTCTGTTGTTCCACAACGGACAAAGGGTTCTTAGGGGATTCGCCGGAAAGCTAGGGACAAGATGAGGTCGGCTTCTTATTTGTGCCCAGAATCCCTCAATAATACGTCGTGGGTGAGTCAAGGTTGTCGCGTCGTCTGAAAATCTTCGGCGGGGCAGTCTTATCGGGAAGGCCTGGGTCCGGCTTTCGCGTCGTCTTCCCCCGCCATCGGTGCATGTTTTTAGTAGGTCTGGGCTTTTAAATTCGCTCCCTGTCGTGCAGAACGTGGGGCGATCAACCCACTAGGCAAATACGCCAAGAACTGTATAAGAGCAGCCGCTGGCACATCGCAACCAAAAATTCCAGCGGTTCGCCTTTGAATTAATTCTAGAAGCGCCACATCACCTCCCTTGCGCCTTTGGCATCTTTTAAAACTACACGACTGCTGAAGCCTTCATTTTTGGTAGCATAACCAATCAGTTCCCTCAATTTCCTAGCGAGTCAACGAATTCTACTTGCGACGATGAACTCGATTGATGACGTTGACGAGTGGGAGTATGAATACTCAACCACGGAGACAGAAGTATGGACTAGCAGAATTCATCAAAGAGGTCATTTGCTGATTACATTGCCGCATTGTCCAGACTTACTATCTGACCTTGGACTTGTCCGTCCGCGACTTTCTCGAGAGACGAACCGACGAAATTTTTCACAACACACGCAGCGGGTATCGTGTTTGGTACAATCCCATATTCAATGCTCCCGAGCCGCAGGCGACAAACCCAGATCTTCTAGATGACAAAGATGCCGACGATGGAGAGCCCCCTGAGCGTGAAGACGCAGACCTCGATGCAATTGGCATGCCCCCAGTGTCCTCGCGGACCCCGGTTGATCCCATGCTCGAGCAGAACAGCGGCAAAGATGCGCAGGCAGAGGAACAGTATCCGGGAACGAAGGCCGCAGAGGAGATCCAAATTTTGGATCTTCATTCTAAGGAACCCATCGTGTCCTACCGCAACCACATCTTCCGCGGTACATGGTGCGAGAACATTGGCACCGAGATGATTTTTGCCCAGCACGACGACAGGTCGCCTCTTCCAGCTCTCCGTCGCCTTGGCCAAAATATCGATCTTCTGGCCGCTAGCTCTGTGAGAATCAACTTCCAAGAAGCCACGCTGCAGCCCCGCGACAAAGACATCATATCAGGCAAGTTCATGTATGGCACCGCAGACAACTGGGAGGACATTCCGGAGAGGTACAAGCGGAATGGCGGCATCTACGTCCATATAGGTGGCGACAAGAGCGGCCTGCGACAGCCGCAAGCGCATTTCCTCGAAGATTTGATCGCCCTAAAACGGAAGCGCGGCGAGACCGACGAAGTCACGATTCAACCCCTTGAAACACGACACAATAATCTGATGGTAGAGGACGAAGAGGAAGAGCGCCGTAGGAGGAAGCTTCAACAAGACCATGCCCGTAATGTGCGCTGGCGGGCAAAGCGACAGGAGGAGAGGGAGATGGGGCTCGAACCCACGAGGAGCGACTACGTCCCTGGGAAGAACCTCAAGGGCAAGTTTCCGCGCACAAGAGCAAGGCGCGCAGTGCTCATCAGCAGAGACACAGGAGTGATATCACGGTACAGCCAGCGAGTAAATCGGACAACAACAGCTGGCAGTTCTACAACCCCGGCATACTGGAATGAACAGGGCGCACCGGGCAGCAGTGGGGTTGTAACTGGGAGTGGGAATGGGCACAACGGATGACCCAGCCTGGGCCATCGGATGGTCCGGAACCCAGATTGGAGCTTGGCATTTTTCTTGGCAACCGACCCCTCCCGCATCCGCATCAGACGCCGCTTGGTGGAACATGTGTGACAAACCCAACTGCTCCCAACGTACAGGTACCCCTCTCCTTGGTCTGTCTCATCCTAGACACAGGTACCAGTACCTGATTTTCACAAGCAAAGAGGCACTGACAACTCATGCATAGTGGATAGGCAAGGCGATGTGTTGTGTGCGACTCGCTGCGAGGCGAACCCTGTACTGTTTCCTTCTTGCATCAACATTTGTATGCATCACATCCATTCGTGGCTTATTCGCTTCCACGTCGACAATTTCCAGTGCTGGACCTCCATTAAGGTCTTTTTCCTTTTCGATCGACACCTTTCAACATTTTGGGTTGCGGTTAGCATGGCCGCGCCCGTAGGCCATTATTACTACGCCGCTTTCAGTCGAGCCCTCTCATCGAAAAGCTCCCTCGCCCTCGATCGCCCTTTCCGTGTATTTCCCTATCCGTGCTCACCTCGCTAATCTGACAAACCTGTCATCAAGCAACCGACTTTTCTGCCTACTTTAGGCTGTCAATACCGCTCTCGCGCCATCGATACCCCCTACCATAGTAGTGGTAGTATATAAAATATTCTTTCGTCATGGTTTATGGCATCCGGAGGGTAACTGCAGCCACACTCTGTGTGGCTGCATTTATATTCCTTTGTAGATACGTTCCACGACTGCTCAACCCGACACCACCCGACCCCGAAGAGCGAGATCGAGACAAGCATTGGGTCAACACATCTCCCTCTTGGATCGATCGCCAAGTATGTCGTTGGCTGGGCCTCTGCGGGCTGCAGCATCTGCGATGGGACGCTCCGGCGCGCCCAGACCGCGGTGATCATTCCATGATGGAGGCTATCAAAATGATCGCGGCCGGCTGGAGCGAAGGGTACACTTTCGTTGAGAAGGTGGGGGAGAGTGACTGGGAAACGGCCCCTGTCAAGCCCGATCTCAAACGCATCAGGACCAGCAGGGCACTAGGCAACAACAACAACAACAACAACAACAACGACGACGACGACGACGACGTGAGAATTCTTAACGAGGTCCCGGACTATGTGCTCTTGCATGCACCGCTCGTACATTTGTACTCTGGGGAGAATTTTTGGCCCTCTGACATCGCGGAGCACATCCAGCATCTGAGGCCTTACCAGGATGGAAAAGAGTTAGACCTGGGAAAACCTTTGCATCTCGGCAATTTGGCGACCCTCAACGAGCTGAACGGGTCCGTTTTCTTGACGAGCGAGGACGACGTTGAATGGAGGCCCAGGTGGTTGCATAACCGTGTGGGCATTCCGACACCTTTCAAGGATGACGGCGACTATTTCCCCGGCGGAGATGGCAACCGCCAGCCCGAGCCGCCTGAGGACGGCAGTACTTGGTGGGATGCTGACCGAAAGCACCCGCCTCATCGCATCGTTCCGCCATTCCGGAGTCAGAATCACCGAAATCGCGGGCAGCTTGGTTGGAGGGATAAAACTCGGCTTCAGCGTCGTGCAGCAGCCAACCAGCAACGTCCGATTGTCGGATCGGGTCTGAACAACAAGCCCGATTCCAGCGGGTACTCCAAGGCTCCTGCAGTCCTCATCCTCGTCGATAAGGGCGCCGGCATCCTTGACGCCTTTTGGTTCTTCTTCTACAGCTACAATCTCGGCCAGACGGTCCTCAAGATCCGCTTCGGCAACCACGTTGGCGATTGGGAACACTGCATGGTTCGCTTCCAGAACGGCATTCCACGTGCGATGTTCCTTAGCGAGCATGCCGGCGGTAAGGCATACACATGGCACGCGCTCGAGAAGCGTGCCCAGAACGATGGCAAGCCTCCGCGTCCCGTTATTTACTCTGCTGTCGGCAGCCACGCCATGTATGCCAACCCCGGTCTGCACCCTTATGTGCTGCCGTTCAAGCTGCTCCGGGATGTCACCGACAAGGGACCTTTGTGGGATCCGACGCTGAATCATTATGCCTATTGGTACGATTATGAAGTTGACGAGGAAGAGTCGAGGAACGGCACGATTCGGGACACAGACCGCACTAGCCTTGTGCCTGCAGCATCTAACCCCGACCTGCCCACTTCATGGTTCCATTTTGAGGGGTTCTGGGGTGACGATGTCTATCCCCTCAGTGATCGTCGCCAGTGGAGGATTTTTGGCGAGTACCACTACATCACGGGGCCGCTTGGGCCGAAGGCCAAGTGGTTGGACAGGAGAAAAGTCTGTCAGACAGAGAAGTGTATCATTGTGGATAGCATTGAGGCAGGCAAGAAATCTGCTTGGTATTAACCATGGGAAGGAGGGATTTACGGTTTTGATACCCATTCATTGCATTCTTCCATCATCATAAACAGAGAGTTTAGGTTCTGGTTGGGTTGGCACGGTGGGGGAAACTTTCACGGAGTTGGGTTGTAGATTAGGTGAATACGCCGGGTATGTACTACAGGCACGGAGGTACCAGGTAGGCTTTCTGGTAGTTCTTTGGGTAACATGAGTCATCATTCATTTGCATCCTTATGTGTCGTATGTATCAAGCGAGTTACCTGCTGGGTATTTCTAACATCATCATGGGCACTCTATTGTACAATGACACCTCAATGGCACAGAAGCCTCCATCACATGTCATCGTTCATTATATTGTCTCATTCATCATATCAACTTGTCTGGGTATTAACAAGAACTATGACATTCAAAACCCCTACACACCATCCCCCCCCACGTCAACAACGCGCTTACTCCATGGGCTCCTCAGCAACGTAATGGAGGTACGCGCCGAGCAGCTTGATGCCCTCGATGTAGTTCCGCTTGTCGAGCTTCTCGTTGATGGAGTGGGCACCGTCTGTTGAGCTGCCCATGGGCAGGAGTAGCACATTCTTGCCAGTGGCCTTCTCGAAAGTGAGCGTGACGGGAATGCTGCCGCCTTCGCGAGTGAAGTCGGGCTTGACACCCCAGACACGCTCGATCGCCTTGGCAGCGGCAGTGAAGTTCCAGTGGTTGGGGCTGGCAACCCACCACATGCCCGTGTGCTGGGGATAGACCTTCATGGTATTCTTGGAACCGAGCGACTTGAAGACCGCCTCAACGTAGCGGGAGACAGCCTCGTTGGTCTTCTCAATGTCCATGTTGGGGACGGTACGGATCGAGAATTTGCCGATGACTTTAGCGGGGATGACTGTCTTCGCGCCGGCTCCGGAGAAAGCGCCCTCAATGCCATGGATGGACAGCGAGGGGAAGCGCCAGCGAGCCATCAACGTCTTCTTCTTGTCGTCATAGATCGTGGTCTTGCTGCCCAGCGACTCGTACAGCGTCTCCATGTTGAAGGAGATGTCGTCGTACAGACCCTCCTCCTCGGGTGTCACAGGAGCGACCTGCTCGTAAATACCAGGGATCTGGATCTTGCCGTTGGTGTCGACCAGCGAGGACAGGATGCGAACCAGGTCGGTCATGGGCTCCTCTACGGTGCCACCAAAGACACCACTGTGAAGATCAGCGCCAGGGCCCGAGATTTCGATGTTGTAGTAGTTGCAGCCACGTAGGCCGTAGGTCAGGCAAGGACGCTCAGTGCCAAGCCAGTAGTTATCGCTGATGCAGACGGCGTCGGTATCAGCGAAGAACTTCTTGGCCTCCTCGTAAATGAGGTCGTCCAGGCCCTCGGAGCCGTATTCCTCCATACCCTCGAAGCACATCAACAGGTTAACGGGGAAGTCGATGCCGGCGGCCTGGTGAGCCTGGATCGCGTTCAGCCAGCCTAGAACAGGACCTTTATCGTCGGTAGCGCCACGGCCGCACATGCGACCATCTGGCATCACAGTCAGCTCGAAGGGCTCAGTGTCCCAGCCGTCGCTCTTCTCGGCCGGCTGCACGTCGTAGTGGCCGTAGACGAGGATGGTGCGCTTGTTCTTGTCGTTGCCGTATCGGGCGAGGACGACGGGAGGGAGGTTGACATCGGAACCGGGCTGCCTCCCCAGTTCACGAAGTTCGACCTGAGCACCAAGCTTAATCAGCTCGGACTCGAGGAACTTGGCCATGCGGACGACATCAGGCCGGCGTGCGGGATCGGCCGAGATGGAAGGGATGGCAACGGCCTGGCGCAGCCTCTCGATAAAGGCATCGGCAAGGGCGTCAACCTGCTGGAAATAGCCGTTGAGCTGGGGAGCCATCTTGCGAGCTTGGTGAGCACGGATCGCGTCGGTCAGGTAGGGTTGTCGGGGATTGCTAAAAGTCGCGGGGCTGGTGTTGTTGTGAGAAGTTCGGCGTCGGGTGGGGATCTGCGATGGAAGGACGCGAGCAGCGGCGGCGGTGTTGATTGATCGGAGGGAGGAGAAGTTCGCAAAGAGGAATCCCCTTAGCGAACAATCAAGGCACCTTCCCGGGAAAAGGAGATGTGGTGGAATGGTGAGGGGCGTGCGGGGCATTCGGGAAGGTGTGCTGGAAGTTAAAGGGCACTAAGATCACTAATAGTTACCGTTCCTCTGCTTCTTTGGTTGGAAGGCAGGGAGCTCTGCGTGTTGCCGTTGGCTGTTTCACAACCGTTCGAGCTTCCGTCTTGGGATTCAGGGTTAGGGTTAACACGTGATTTCGCGGCTACCGTCGGCGATGAATTTTGGTGCTTGTTTACTTCAGCTCATCCCCCTGACAGGAACCAAAGGTCTCCAAATTTTTACAATTTGCCAGAATTATTTTTTTGTCGTCAAAGCCCAGTTCCCTCCAACTTCGAACATTTGGGATCAACAAGCAGTGGACATGCTTCGATGATGGCATGCACTGGCGACGATCTGGGAATCACTTCTCCATGCGATCGACTGCTTACAACGTTTTTGATGCGTGGGAATGGGGACACCACAATTTTGTCTCCATCCCCTTCCAGCCAGCCCGCTCGCGTCATCGCCAACTTTGTAGCCATATCCTCGCCTTCAGCATTTGCTTGCAGCTCAGCTCACCTGACATTTGATTCTGTTGCTTCTGCATAGGTAAGCAAAAGATGGGCCCCTCGCCTTTCGCTTGAATACCTTTGCAAAGTTGTGCGGCCTGGCCAATTTGCATCAGCCAAGCTAGAGCAGCCCTCTTGCCCTCTCCCTTCTTTCATCCATCACAACAGCTCTTATTATCCATGAGTTATTCTCACCTCTCATGCAAGAAAAGTTACAAATTGATTCGTCCCTCACTCGCATTAACAACTCTTATGTCCCATCAGTTTAACAATCATAACTCACAGGATACGAGACTTGTTCAATCCTTGCAATCCGCAGTCGATCCCCATTAAGTCCAATATGGCCTTGTGAGACGCCCTCCCTAATGGTGTATCAACCGCATCGAACCTGGATATGACTCGAGAGGATTCGAGCACCTAAGGGGAGCCCCAGAATCTTTTTCTCACAATGGCCGCGTTCACAAGCCCCTTTGTCACCGATGCCAAACCCGTATAGTTGCCTATCATCGTCCCTCACAATCCGTCAATGAGCGGCACAGCATTGTCTCCGGCAGTCATAAATTCGGTTTATAACACCTCCCTGATACTGAAAGTTCGGCATGGCGGCTGCTTAGGACACCTGGACCCAGCTAAAGTCGGTTATCGAGCCAGGCGGCTCATCCTAAGAGCTTAGAGCTGTGTTTGTCTCCTAGTGGGCCAGACTTCGTCATTGCTTATCGTTTCTAAACCTCCAAATGGAGTTTCGACAACGTTGGCCGTCGATATTTAGTTCCACGATAGGACCGGCGATCTCTCTCGGCGTCAAGTTTGACTCGTCTTCATGCCACTTCGTTCGCGCAAGGGGGCTCTCAGTTCTCGGGTCTACGGTGAAATCCCCCCTCGCCATCATGATGTTACGAACACCAGCTGCGGACTTTCCTTGAGAGCATTTACTGACGTGTTGAAACGCACGGGGTAAGCCCTCACGGGTGTTTTTTAGGCTGAAGGGTTTGTGTTTCTTAAGCTGGTTTCACTATGAGCACTGTGTCTTGAGGTGTGTTTACATTATATCCACTGCCCATCTGCAGTTCAGTTCCTCATGCCCGATTCAGCCGAGGTCATCACAGAAAACCGCCGCGATGTTGACTATCGCAAGAAAAGAGTGGCCACACTTTGTCGACAAAACACATCCGCATGCTATGTTTCAGTATCGACACACCGCCGGCTGAACTCTCCCACGCACACGCCAGTATTTTTAGCAGACATTTCACATTGCGGCTCACGCAATACGGGTTCAGCCCACATCACAAATGTCACCTTCTTCAAGAACGACCGCATCGCCAGTGCCAAGAAGAAGGAGTCCTAACTGTTGTGAACCTCGCGTAGCACGAGACACGGCTTACCAATCTCGATCAGGCAGTTGTTAGCAGGCTGTCAGGACTCCATGGCGCAAAGTTTCCCTCAACGGCTTCTGAAAATGGCTTTTCGCAATGTGAAATAACCCAGAGGGCGGGCTCAGGTCAACATTCTGGGAGGGGCGCGTGCGCGAATTCCGATGATGTTATCGGAGCCAAGCAGCGCCCACCACTCCACGGCCAGAGTGTTCCAGCAGACTCCAGTTGGGCCGTTTCCCGATGTGGAAGGCCGCGGCGATAAGGGGTAATAGCAGCAATGCAGTGACCCATTGGCCGATGCAACGGTGGGATAGCTGCTGTGGTGCTACTGCTGCTGTGTTCACCGCCTACCATATGTCCATTCTCATGACACCGGGCACCCGGGAATGTCAGAGAATCCGGGGAAGCACAGCATACAGTAGGGCCAGAAAGGTACCCATATGCAGGAACGGAGATGTTGGAGTTTGTGACGCTGTACCGCCTGGCTTGATGAGCCTTTGTTGTGCCTTTTGTCAGTACTTGAGTCGCTGGTAGCGAAGAAGCTAAACTCAACCAGCGTCTAGCCTGTATAATCAACATTATGCACTTGCGCTTGGCTTCCCATTGCTTGCAGCTAGGAAAACCCGGTTCTCCGGTTCGCAGATTAAAAAGCCCATATCTCAAGCCATTCATAGGTGAGGACAAACGCTCTACCTCGTCACCGTAACGCTGGCAGCGATCCGGCATGCCGTTGCCGTCATGATGCTTACATTCACCTAGTCCCCCAGACCAGCCCGAGCCCTCATTACCACCTGCCCAGCCTGTACATGGGCGGTCGGCCTCCACGGCCCCAGAGCCGCAAAGGCCCCATCCTGGCGGTCCCTTGGACCGCCTTAGGCCTAGCGCATCGGCACATTCTACTCTTTTCCCCCAAAGCCATGCTAGCTCTTCCCCACCATCCCCATTCCACGACTAGGAAACTCCCGAGGACAACGCTTTGCCTGCCGACCCTTGTGGACCAATGCAATTGTACGATTGAGGGCTGCCCCCTGGCGAAGTTACATTGAGATATGGCTTGCATGACCTACTGGTCCCAAACGAGCCATGTTTGTTGCTGTGTTTCACAAGCAACATCCTCTTTGTTTCTATCGCGTGAACCTTCCTGCCTACGGAGAGCACACGTGCAGTCCTCATGATTGGGTCGTTCGTGGGGCTGATGCTGGAATTGGCCATCAAATCGCCAGCGGCCCCTCCTAGATGTTTTCCACAATCCGCAGCGGGCAGTCAAATCAGCAGATTCACACGTGGGGTCTTGATCTCAATACCTGACTTTTCATGATACCTGGCCAGAACTGCTTCGAGAAAGGTATGTCCGAGACTTTCACTTCCTATGATATGAATATGACGATGGACAAAGCATTGCAGATGTCGATAAAGTACGTAATAATGAAGATACCGCGCTATCAACTCCTTAACATTGACCTGATCAACACAATCTCCGAGGCTCTCTTCTGCTGCTGCAAGGCTCTGGATCCATCTGGTCAAGAAAACAATCGTCTGAAGTTGAGCTATACCAACCATGTTCAAGGTACAGCGTTACGATTTCCAAGGATGGCTCCCAGCCAGTCCCAAACAATGGTCGCGAACTGTCAGCCACCAAGCTGAACTCAAACAGCCAAGACTTCCAGACTCAGACAATGGTTCTGTGCCGCATGAGTCGTTTACCAGCAATCCTTCATATCCAGGATCATCCTTCTTTGTCCTCATGGATGCTGTGCTATCCTATACCTCTGCGCCCTAACAGCTATCCAGCCTTAGCCCTGGAATTTTTTTTTCGTCTGTCTGCTGCCCACGCCGGACAAAGCAGAAAGCCCATGATCACCGCTGATGATGCAGATATGGATAACAGCTGTTAGTGGCGCTCACGGCTCAAACGGCGTGGGAATGCTGGGCTTGATACCCGCTCCGGTTATCAACTCCTCCTCTAGTCTCTCCTCTCCTTCCAGCTTAGACGCAGCCCCCTGAAATCTCGAGAAGGTGTGGCGTAAAGAGCGACCGGCACTTCATCGCGTTAAACCCGTTAAGTCAGGTAGCTGGCGTCCCGCAAGCGCGCGAGAGCTCTTGGCAGAGCTTGTGTCGGTGGGCGAGAGCTCCCACCCCACTGAGTCTAGCTCCAAGATCTGCCCACTCTCCAGCCATCTACGCGGATCGCTCGGGAACACCCGCACGCTCGCTGCAGACCACTGGAGCCCCAAGATGGCCCACGGTTAAGGAACCGAACCGGGAAGGTGTGTCTCCTCATATCTTTTGGCCTGCCGTTTTGTTCGACTCAGCCCGCAGTGGGCGCCGTGGGCGCCGTGGGCATTAAGACGCCCTCAGTAATGTCGAACGGTTTCCTCCTATCCTCCAGTGACTCCAGCCGGTTGGGCAACGGCCAGGATGGTGCCTGTCTGCTGCTGTCTGGCACCCCCGGTACTGGAGGCACAACGACAAAAGCGGCAGGTCAACAACGATGTTGAAGACATGTGTGTTGATGGCGCACGGCGTGAAGTTGTAATGCATCAAGCTCAACCAGAGTATGCTCGAAGATAAATATCAACTGTGCTCCCCGTCGTCCAACGGCTTGGAACTTGTCTCAGCACCAGCGACGACAACAACATCGACAGCAGCCAAACATCCCATCTCTTCGGTTCCAGTCTAGGTTCTGCATCCTCCCGATCCACGCCGACACAATGCACTTCTCGACTGCTCTACTTGCCACTCTCCTCCCGGCTGTTCTGGCCGCTCCTGCTCCGGCTGGTCCTATCGACAGGCGCGCCCCTATCCTCGAGGCCCGCGCCGGTGAGGTCATCCCTGGAAAGTACATTATCAAGCTGAAGGAGGGCTACTCCGATGATACCCTGGAAAAGGTTCTCTCCAGGGTCGGCATCAAGGGCAAGACCGACCACATCTACAAGATGCGCCGGTTCAAGGGTTTCGCCGGCAAGCTCGACGACAAGGTCCTTGATGCCGTTCGCTCTCTCCCTGAGGTAGGTGCTCAAGCTCCTGGATGCGGCCTTTTTCCTGACATTTGCACAGGTCGAGTACGTCGAGCAGGAGGCCGTCTACACCATCAATGCATACGTCTCCCAGACCAACGCCCCGTGGGGTATCGCCCGGATTTCTCAAAAGACCTCTGGAAAGACCACCTATGTCTATGACAACAGCGCTGGTGCGGGTACTTGCGCGTACGTGATTGACACTGGTATCTACACCTCTCACTCTGTAGGTGACTTCATGCCCTCGGCCTTGCCTTACCCGAGAGAGTAAGAAGGCACGTGCTAACTTTCCTAGGATTTCGGTGGCCGTGCTACTTTCGCCGCCAACTACGTTGACAACTCTAACACAGACGGCAACGGCCACGGTACCCACGTCGCTGGCACCATCGGTGGTACTACCTATGGTGTTGCCAAGAAGACCAAGCTCTACGCCGTCAAGGTCCTCAACGCCAGCGGCTCTGGCTCGACTTCTGGCGTCGTTGCTGGCATCAACTTCGTCGCCAGCGACCACGTGAACCGTAACTGCCCCAACGGCACTGTTGCTAACATGTCCCTGGGTGGCAGCTACTCTGCCTCCATCAACAACGCTGCCAACGCCCTTGTCGATGCTGGTGTCTTCCTGGCCGTCGCCGCCGGTAACGACAACGCCAACGCTGCCAACTACTCGCCCGCCTCTGCCGCCAAGGCTTGCACTGTTGCCGCCACCGACAGCAGCGACAGGAAGGCCAGTTACTCCAACTATGGCAGCGTCGTCGATGTCCTGGCTCCTGGCTCCAACATTCTTAGCACCTGGATCGGCAGCACCACTGCTAAGGTAAGCCTGGTCACCGTAACATCCTAGCTACCAGCTCCACGTGATGGCTAACATTGCATAAAGAACACCATCTCCGGCACCTCCATGGCCAGCCCCCACGTTGCTGGTCTCGGCGCTTATATCATGGGTCTCAAGGGCAAGATGGGCGGTGAGGCGCTCTGCACCTACATCAAGAACACTGCTCTCTCTGGTGTCATCAGCGGCTTCCCCAGCAGCACCACCAACAAGTTTGCTTTCAATGGCAACCCCAACGCCTCCTAAACGGCTGAAACTCCTACCGCATCCGAGTCAGTTATTCACGCAGCAAAGGATTGCGTCAATAACCTACCAGCACGCACGCCTTCCTCTTTGACGCTGGCAGTTGGGCTGCGTCAGTAACCAGAGGAGTCTGGACCAGACTTAAAGAATGGATGGCGTCATCCAATAGACGAGGGAATCAGAAAAGATTGTGATGGGATAAGACTGGGAGAGGAATGCAGCCCAAAATCACATCTCCACCTTCATGTCCATAGCTTTTGTTATTTTGTGTATGCAGACTTTTATCATAAAGTTCCTTTGAGGCAGATGGGGTGGCCAACCATCGCCTTCTTTCATAGAGGAACGAAATGATGAGGTAATTTCTGTTCTTCCATACACATCTCGAGTGTATTTGCAAGTGGCCTGAAGTGTCATATGAACCCTCTTGAGGACTTCCTCTCCATGTCCCAATGCATAGTTCCTTAAGCCACGAGTCCTCAAGGCTTAAGAGCAATGCTGGCATGACTAGTCTTTGTTTAACGATAAACAATTAACCAGAGATAAGCCTTGCGCATTGGAATTGTCTTTCTCTGTGGTTGTCGAAGCTATGATGGTGAGAGAGCTTGAGGAGAAAAGGGGGGTCTTGCTGGCGAACAGCTTGACTCCACTTGCCCCTGAATCTTAAGGGTGGAACCGGTCGAAAAATAAATTCAATCCCAGGTCTGCATTTTGGTTTCCTCAGGATTGAGGAAAAAATCACAAAAACCTAGCCACAATCGTAGTGTGCAGTGCTGAATGTCGACGTGGGCCCGATTCGAACGGGCGCTCCCGAAGGAACAAGATTTCTAGTCTTGCGCATTAGACCACTCTGCCACCACGCCTTCCGCTTCGCCACATTCAAATAAGGCAGTTGTAGGTACATGCGACGGGTCTTGCGTTGAGCATTTGCAAAAACCCAACTTGCGACGACGAGAAGTCACATGTTATCAGCTGATTTGACATATTTCTGGTACTTGTAATTGCACCAAGCTATATACAAGTCTCTAGGAGTTGGTTACTAACTGATGGCAAGGTTGAACTAGATTGCATAATCTCAAGCCCTGTTACAGTGCTAGTTGTCAAGGACTGTATCAATGGCCGAAGGTTCTGATAATGGTAAGTCCAGGAGACTAAACCTCAAGGAAATCGCAAAGAAAATCTTCAACTTAAACGGATCTACAGTAATAGGGTAACTAACTCGTATCCAAAACGCTGTCTTGAGCTATTAGTAAGTTGCATCCCTCATTACGGAAAACGATCCGCGCCTTGCATGGTCACAAATTTGAGACTGACAGATTGGGATTGGATTGGATCTATTTTTCGACCAGTTCCACCGTTGAGGATGCTAGGTCGTGCCCACGACGACAGCGAGCAAGAGCTATCTAACTAGATGTCGAGTAATATAATGATGCCTTCATTTGCAGGAACGGGGTTGCACAACTTCTTGCATGCGATATGAGCTGTCTGACATCAATTGTCTGAGATTACACAGGTTTCCAAGAATCTAGGACAATAAACCAAGAGAAACAGACTCAGAACGTAGTTCAGTAAGTGCTGTGTCAATTCAGGGTATCACAGCACACTGTAGGTATATACACTGCCGAGAGCCGACACTGCGCTTTCCTTAGGACCATAATGATACGTCATTCCTTGATCCAATTATCATGTTAGGTGCTTAGCAAGCGGCTGTCTGAATGTTATAGACAGTGGTGCACCCAATCTTCTGGCACGAATCGCTCTGGCTGCAAGGGAACGACACTGTCGCTGTCGGCAGCGCCGCACACCCGCACGGCCTAGTCACGGTCTGCGTGGTAGTGCACTGGGGCACAAAGCAGGTGGCGCAGGCGGTCGCGGTGCGGGTCAGGGTCGGGCAGGAGGCTGCGCGGGTTGTGGACGACGGGCAGGTTGTGACTGTAGACAGGCTAACGCTGGTGATAGTGCTGTAGCTTACGGAGGTGGTTGTGCGAGTGGAAGTGACTGTGCGCGTCGCAGTTGCGGTCCTGGTGGCTGTCGACGTCTTCGTCGTAGTCACTGTAGCCGTAACGGTCTCGTGGCGGATGTAGCTCTCCGTTGTGGTAGTCGTTTCGGTCGTCGTGCTGACCTCCGTGGTGGTGACAGTCTCGGTCACGGTTTGAGTAGGCAAGACGCTCGTGCGACCAGTGCGGATGGTTGACGGGGTCAGGGTGATCTGACCCAGGACGATGCTGTGGGAAGGATGGTTAATTGGTGTGACTTGTGTCGTGGGACCAAGTACAAACGCAGAGGGAGTCTTACTTGGCTAGAAGTGCAAGGAGAAGAACCGCGCGCATTTTGAATGAGTTTTCTCCAACCGCAGTGAAGTTATGCCCGGAGTTCACGACAAGTCAGTTTGCAGCTTGGCTTATGGTTAACTTTCAGGCCTTGAAAAGTCAAGTCATGTTGTGAAAAGCTCAAGGTTCTTATATAGCAATATCCAGAATACCCGGATCTGTCAACTCGTGGAAGAGAGGAAGTCAAGACCATCTTGGCATCGCAATTGCTGGCCAGTCTGTATATTGATGTGGTATATTCCGGAACTTCCAGATTGGGAGCATGTAACGGGATCGCGAGGAGCTGAACGCAGTGTTGTCGCCACTGCACCATTGTATCCTGGCTCTTGGGAGAGTTCCGTTGCCTTCGTGGCCCCTTCGCCGCATTTCGTAGTCTATGCTTGCAGCTGTGCGTCGCTGAAAGTCACAAGAGGTAGTCATGGACCAGAAGCTTTAGTGCGTGGATGATGCAGCAGTATGTATATTGATGTTGCAATATGGTCCTGGCTGGGGTATCATCTTCCGCGACGTTAATTTTGCCGCGAACACTGACGTGCCACTTCTCGGGGCAGTTTAATCTATCCGGTACTATAAATAACAAAACGCATGTAAACGTTCCAAGTATTTTCCTTGTATGGAAGGGCCCGAAAAAGCTTCCGAATATTTCGTTGTTAAACCATGGATGAGCGTCGAGGAGGACCAGGTCGGCAACGCGGAGTATCGACTTATTGATGCTATTTCTGGAGAGTTTCTGCCAACTATGGCCGATTTTTGCGTGATGCAACCATGTCGACTAGCAATGTTGAATGATACTAACCAAGCCCCTGTCAGATAGTCAACCAGTCTCTATTCTCCTCTAAGATGGAGCATTTAGAACCTCACAAGTTATTGATCTGCCCTCCACGATCCTTAGTTCGAGCAGTCTAACCCGAACTATGTCCGGTGAGCCCTGAGCTCCATGAGCGAAAATGAGTGGAAGATATGTGAAATGTGTTACAATCGTCACACCGTCTGGTTCCTCCTTCTGCAACAAGCTAACGATAAGAAGTAGGGAAAGAGGAGTCTTGTCATGCGAGTCATTTGGCAGATCCCAGAAGATGCGGACTGCTGTATCCCTGTATGATTGAAGCTTTCCCAAGGTGCATGCTCTACTGACTAAAGAGAGGACTCAAGCTCCACAAAGTCATCTCAAATTGCCCATGGGGGAGAAGCTGGCTAAGTTGCACCCAGCATCAATGAACCTAGCGTGCTTTGCAACCGTAGTGAACCACCAGTAGTCCAAGAATGGAAAGAACGGCCTGCCAACCTGTCAATCGGTTGAGCGATGTCCAAGACCAACTCAGTAAGTGCCGGAAATCCGATCCCTAGGAGAAAATATCACTCACAACTCCAGCATGGAGATACCAGCAAAAATCCAAAAGAAGGTTTTCTCTCCATAAGACAGCAAGGTAATCCTAACCAGTCTTTTCCTGGAAGTTATCGGCCACTCCCGATGTAGCAGGTAGCTTATCCGACTTGACATTCATCTCTAGTGGTGAATACTGAGCTACCACTTTTCTCCAGAGCCATTCTGTGTGCAACAGATCAGGGGCACCAGTGCTCTGAACCTCGAGGACTTGCGTCCACTCTTAAGACTCAAGAGATTTCTTTGTCTGATAGAGCGGAACCAATGATCCAATGTTGATCTCTGGCGTACAGCACTGACAGGCGGGATCCTCAAGGCCGTCCTAAAGCAGTTTCTTGCCAAATGTAGCATTCTTGTAGCAAAGATTTACTCCTGGTACGTCCAGCCGCGGGAAAGTGAAGGATATCTGGTCACAGTTGTCGATCCTTCCCTTGCCGACCAGGGAAAATGCATCACGTCTCACGAAATACGCCGGTAAACAGAAAATCAGACCAAGTTTGTCACACGGACACGGCAGTACAAGGAAAAGGTGTACCCTACTGCCAACACGAGGGACAGAGATAGAATGATTGTGGACAACACAAATACGTGGTTGATTCCGGAAGATATATGAAGCCACGACCAAACGAGCCAGATAGCCGAGGCAGGAGGACGAGACCTTTGAAAAGCCTGAAAGGCCGAGACACCCACAAGGGCAAGAGGATTCCATAAAGGAAGCTGCCCGGACACGATGGACTTCTCTTGGTTTTCCTCTCCCTAACCCAAAGACACTGAGAACCAAGAAAGATTATTGCGCGTATCAATTGACTTTGCTGTGCAACCCACATCGCCAGTGGCTATCATCTGACCCATTTGACACTGTCGATTCCTGCCTACACTAGACCAAGTCCCCCGTTACAGTCCCAGGGTGGGCGGCGCATGTTGAAGTCTCCGACGACTGTTGCCCGTTGTGTGAGGCGCAGCGATTTCAGCCGGGTCCAGGCCTGGAGGGCTCTGTCTAATCTTGGGTGCAGGTAAACCTTAATGATAGTGACTGCCTGAAGAGAAATACCGATGGAGTATTCTGAGGGGAAAATCTGGTTGCCTGTGAATCAACGGTCAAGGTATGGCCACGCGGGCGTTTTCACCATCGAGGGCTATTGTAGCAAAGCCGGGGTGACGACGAATTCTTCTAAAAGTTAAGGCAGTTCCTGGATGCAGACGACCTGGCACTTCCTTCTTGCTGCTAATTCTAACACTCCATCTGTGTTCGCGATGGAGCGTTGGACGTTGGCCGAGATGACCTTCAGGGAGGGTAGCATATGTCTAATGCCTCACGACGATGGTGTCTCCGACAGGTCCTCTGCGGATATGTTGGCGCTCGTCAAGGATGGCACTGTCTTCAGGAGAATCTCGGGAGAGCAAGTACCATCGGGGTAGTCATATGTCGATACTGGAGCCCTGCCAGAGGTACGGGGGTCAGTGAGGTTCCTGGCGTCATGCTCGACGTTCGTGATGATTGCTTGAGCCTCCATCATAGCCTCAGGTGGTTGGTGCAATGGCCAGCTTGGCAGGGTTTCTGTGTCCATGGACTCAGAGAGGGCGGTGGTGGGCTGAGATAATTCCTGGGAGTCGCGGTCTGCGTCTAACTTCCTAAGTATGGACCGGTAAGCACCACGGCCCTCCCTTCTAATTGAGGTACGTTGCTCCTTGGTGGGCTTTGTGACTTTGCCTTGCGAGACCTTCGGTTTGGTAGGGCAGTCTTGGCAGCCGGAGTCGCGGGGCTCATATAGTTCGGGCACTGCGGGATGGGTCTGCGTTGTCAGTGGCCTCTAGGACAACCGCAGGCCGCGCAAACTGGGTTATAGCGGCACTTGGCGTCGTGATGAAAGCTGAAACATTTAGAGCAGGTGTAATACGTGGTCTATGTGGGAGAAACTTAGACGGGTCGAAACCACCGAAGACTGAGATTGGGGGAGCCTTATGCTTGAGAATGAACAGGTAGGACGCTGGTGTACTGAGAGGATGCACCTGAGCTTTCTGCTTTGTGATCACTTCAACTTCCTCCGCTATGAGGGGATCGGTTGAGCGGTCGCTGCCGCCGCAGGCCCTGATGGATTCCGGGACATTTGTGAGAATGTAGACGTGAGTACCGTTTCGGGCTTGATGAGGTTGTGGGCCGCAGCTTCTGAGCGAGCTGCTCCCTGAGGGAGATCTTTGATAGTTCGATGCAAAATTCGGATTTAACGGGGTAGATTCTGGAGATGTCCACACGCGGGAACCCGATTTTCTCGACGAGAAGGGTCATGACACCAGCGGAGTCGCTAACCGCCAGTCTGGGTGGTTACGGTCCAACATGAGGAAAGCCCGGCGGCTGGGGGCTTCAGCCTGTCGTTTGTGAGTGGTGGGATCAGATGCTTTTGAGAAGTCCGGAGGGCCAATCCGCTTGGTTGAGGAGTTGGAGCTAATGATTGCTCGTTCTTTGAGTACCTGTGCATCGGTGATGAGAAAGTGACTGCTCGGGATAACCACTTCAGATTGGTCTATCCCACTAGCTCTTCCTCTGATTGGTCAGTTCCGATAATCCGAAGAGGGAAAGGTTGGCTGACCGAGGTAGGTCTGCGGTGACCACACCGGTCACTTGCAGCTAACAGCATGTCTCGAACCCATCTTAAGGGTTCTGTCTGGATCATCACATCACAGGATTTTTCAGCCCGCAATACATTAGCTATTTGCCAAAGCCGATGACTACAGCGTCGAACAATCTGTATAAGACCTTCTGTCTTTCAGATTCTATAGCCTAATCACAACCTTCAAGGCTATCTCACGACACCATGGAATCACACAACTTGCATTGTATTTCATCGAGATTTCAGCATAGCTCACTGGGAACTTACTCCCAATTCACGCTTCGCTCAGAGCTTGCTTTGTTTAGGAGGATGGAATGATATCCGTCAAACAATTAGGCAAAAATGAGGCAATATCTAACTTCGAACGATTCAGCTTACAAAATTTTCCGAGACTGTTCCTAAGGTTTCCATTGAGAGAAATAAGATATGATCTACTATCCGAACATCTTAAAAACTTGACAACAACTGGGACAGTCAAAAGTTGAAAAGTAAAGTGCAACGCGGATCTCTATGCAAAAAAGGACTGATTTTAAATCTCAGATAGCTTAGGAATATCGGGAAGAATGCCACCAAATCAAGATTTGTCCCAACTATTTTATTGATCAAAGTCGCCCATCACATAACAGAGTTTTAACAACCTCGGTATGCCCATTCCATGCAGCCCGACTCAGAGGCGTTCGGCCTTCCTTGTCTTGCCGGTCTGGGTCAACTCGCCCATAACAAAGTTTTGATAACCTCCGTTTGTCCATTTCCTGCAGCCCAACCCAGAGGCGTTCGGCCTTCCTTGTCTTGCCGGCCTGGGTCAATGTCCTGGGCCTGCATAAGGGGTAGCTTAACTAGATCGTTGAGCCCATAGGCAGCAGCTAGGTGAAACGCATTTTGAGATGGTCTCAAATACTCCGAACTCAAATTCTGATCATCAAGGAGCCAAGGACGCTCTCTGATCTTGAAAAAAATATCACTCAGTTGTACCACCATACTGACCCACTCCGGATTTATCAAGTCAAGCAGCTGAGGAGTGCAGAAGGAACCAACAGATGTATGATATCCCCAGTAGTCAACAGCGTAGGTGAAGAGAGGTTTCTCAAGTCGTTCACGCCCCTCCTCATGTGTCTTGACTGGGCCACCTGAAAAGTCCTCAAACGAAAGGTATGATACGCATGTATTTGCGATATCGCGGTGGGCGTTCGGAAACCACCGAGTTAAAGCATCTTGGAAATATTCCTGAACTGTGTAGTGAGCAAGTCGAATGACTTCGCTTTCTTTGTCGATGACAACGAGTCCACAACATGCCGAAAGTATGTCTTCGGCATCAGGAATTGCGGTTTCGTCAAGCTTGTTCAAACTGTTTTTGGCAGCCCACGCATACTGAACCTCTATCATTTTGAGAGAACGTTTGGCGCAGATGATCCAGAATAATACATGGTTGGCAAGCTCTCTGTGATCAGCTGGTTCCTCATTGATTCGCTCCATTGCGTCGTCATATGCCTAGTGCAATAAGACAAGTTTTGGCTCCTTTCCTGGAGAGTCGTTGCGAAGCTTGTTCAGTGTCTCACGAATGTGCTTTGCGCTAGGTTTATTCTTCAAGGACTCAAAGAAGAGGTGGGCAAGCAGGAACCTGATTTTGCAAGTGAGCATATGCTCAATTGAATCAATAACCCATGCTATATGGAAAACTATGACTTACATGCCATCTGCGACATCGGCAATGTAACTAATTATTTCATGTTGGAGGTCTGGGTACTTTGAAACAGCGCGCCAATTGGATATCTGATTGCGCATATATATCTCGATGTCGTCCCTTCGGATTACGATTTCAAGGCGCGAATGTCCATCAAAGGCTTTCAAAATATCAGGTACAGGCCAGGATGTAGCCAGGAGGTTGACGTTAGTTTCCTTCGATTGAAGGCACAGTAATACTTTGATGAATTTGAAACGAACATTGTCGCTCATTTGACAATCGTCCAGTGCATCAATAATACCAAAGACCCCATCCTTGTATAGTGCAGCAACAGCATGGAACATCTCATCAAGATCGCTCAACGATGGCTGTGACTTATACTTTTTATGTCGAGTATAGGCATCCATGACTGTAGGTGGTGGTGGGAACTTGTTGCTGAGCAGTTACTTTACGAGGTTGACAATGAGCTGCTCCACGGTTTGGTAATCTACACGCCGGAAATTACAGTATAGGTATGCAATGCCGATGTCACGGCCTCCCGAAATCCTCTGGAGATGATCGATGATGATTGATACAAGGATAGTCTTCCCAGCACCAGGTATGCCGGGACAGAAGAGAGCCACTGGCTTTGTTGATAACCTAGTAGCTTTGTTAGCTTAGAAAAAAAGGAATAGGATATGGTTGAAGAAAACAAGGACCATACCATTCCCGAAACTGAGGAGATTCCAGGAATCACTGCCCTGTGCCTTCTTGTCATTGGCGAAGGAAACCAGCTTGTTGGATAGAATAGTCCACTGAAGCCAGTGAGAACAGCCAGTCGAGGATTTTTTGCATCTTTTTGATCTTTTGGAATTTATGTCAGCTCAAAAACGGCCACAAGGCGATTACTCGCAAAAAAGCTAGATCAAGGTTCGGACAAACCTTCTTGGTGGAGTTTTATAACACCAAAATTCTGCGCCACCTGGATACCAGGACCGTTTAGGTCTCCAAAGTGCGGCATCGCATACCTATACTGTAACTTCCGGCGCGTAGACGACCAAACCGTGGAGCAACTGATTGTCAACCTCGTAAAACAACTGCTCAGCAACAAGATTCCGCTGCCATCAGCAGTTATGGATATATATGCGCAACACAAAAAGCATAGGTCGCAGCCATTGTTGAGCGATCTTGAAGATATGTTCTATACTTCTGCCGCACTGTACAAGGATGGAGTCTTCGTTATTGTTGATGCGCTAGACCAGTGCCAAATGAGCGGCAACGTTCGTTCCAAATTCATTATAGCATTACTGCGCCTTCAATCAAAGGAAAGTAATGTCAACCTCCTGGCTACATCTCGCCCTTTCCTGATATTGTGGAAGCCTTTAATGGACACTCCTGCCTCGAGATCCTAGCCCGAAGGGACGACATCGAGAAATATATGCGCAATCAGATGCCAAATTGGCGCGCTGTCTCAAAGTATCCGGACCTTCAATATGAGATTATTAGTTGCATTGCCAGTGTCGTAGATGGCATGTAAGCTATAATGTTCATATACCATAGGTTATCAATTCAATTGAGTATATGCTCACTTGCAAAATCAAGCGTATAACGATGCAATGGAGCGAATCAATGGGCAACTGGATGATCACAAGGAGCTTGCCAACCATGTTTTTTCTTGGATCATCTGCGCCAAACGTCAGCTGACAGCGAGAGAAGTTCAGTATGCATGGGCTGTCAGGGATAGTGAGGACGAAATTGATCGCGATTCCTGATGCCGAAGATATGCTTTCGGTATGTTGCAGGCTCGTTGTCATCGACAAAGAAAGCGAAATCATTCGACTTGCCCACTATACGGTTCAGGAATAATTCGAGGATACATTGACTCGGTGGTTTTCACATGCCCACCGCTCAGGAGCGGTTATCCTGAGCAGTCACCCAACACCGGCCGTCCGGCTCCCCGACTCAACCATGGCGCCAGCCAGCGCCAGCTTCCTCTCGGCCCTACGAAAGGCCAGGGACGTCAAAGTCAAAGAACTTAATGCCCTCGTCTCTGTCGTTGAAAAACTCTATGCAGCGATCGAGAACGTTAGGGTTAGGGTTAGGGTTAGGGTTAGGGTTAGGGTTAGGGTTAGGGTTAGGGTTAGGGTTAGGGTTAGGGTTAGGGTTAGGGTTAGGGTTAGGGTTAGGGTTAGGGTTAGGGTTAGGGTTAGGGTTAGGGTTAGGGT